TTTTCTTGAGATAAAGGCATTTTTAATAATAGTGGTGATAAAACAACGCGTTGAAGAAAGGAAGTGGGTGGCGTAGGGAGAAATTCGTCGCTCGGTGGTATTCGTCGCTCGGTGGTTGATTACGTTACCCATGGATTCTACGACCCGAATCCCCTCATTTCGCTCCCGGTACCGTCAATTCGGATCAAAGCTGGCCTTCATCCAGTACCATGGCTCGCCTTGGGACAGAGTAAGTGCCTTCCACAGAGCAATCTATATGGCCTTGAGCATGGGCATTGTTGATCATCAACATGAGAGTAGGACAACGAACTTCCCCGCAATCCGCGCCTGCATTTTCGACCTGGACGGGCTTCTCATCAACTCCGAAAACATAATCACTCAATCCACGAACCGACTTCTTGAAAAGTATGGAAGGCCCCCCTTTACTCCATCGATTCGAGCCCAGCTCATGGGCGTCCCAGACTCGACAAACAGCGACGTGTTCCACAACTGGGCCAAGTTGCCCATCTCCCGCGAGCAATTCGCGCGTGAATTGAGGGAAGAAATGTGCCTGCACTTCTCGAATTGTACGCCGCTGCCTGGCGCGGAGAAGCTCCTGTCGAGCCTCAGCCGTGCACGGAGTGCTTCTTCTGGGGACAGGATTGAGCTGGCATTGGCATCCAGCACCAAGAGCCATAGCTACGAATTGAAAACTTCAAGGCCGGAAACGAAGCAGCTGCTTAGCTTTTTCCCGTCTGACAGGCGTGTCCTGGGTGATGACCCGAGAGTACGACAGGGTCGAGGGAAGCCAGCGCCGGATATATATCTACTTGCGTTGCAGGCGTTGAACTCTGCGGCAGACTCTGGGGGAAAGGCCATCTTGCCCAGCGAATGTTTGGTCTTTGAAGATAGCTTGGTTGGGGTAGAGGCTGGAAGATGGGCTGGGATGAGGGTTGTTTGGGTACCGCACCCAGATGTGGCGGTCGAGTATCAAGCCAGGCTGAAGGATGTGCTGGCTGGGAGGACGGGGATTGAAATCGAAGACGACTGGCAGCTAGGAGAGATTGATGACGGCTGGGCTGAAAGCATCCCGAATCTGGAACACTTGGATTGCCAGAAGTACGGCATTGTTGTACAGTCCTAGGTAGGTCTATTCCCGACCAAATTGGTCCTTCTCACGAAACGACTGGAATCTGCTCCCACGCAGGATGCGGTGTGGAGAATCTATCTATCGATGTAAATTAAATGTAGATGGGGGTAGATATATACTACATCTATCTATCTACCGCGTTGCCGGTGGGTTATCTGCTATCTATTTGGCCCTCCAGTGATAGATGAAATGTAGGTATACGCCAATATAGGTACCTCTTCATCCTAAGATATGTCTCGTTTGCAAAAGTTACCAGTGACCCTCCTTAAAACATTTCTTTCATTCTCGCACTCTCAGCATCCATACTTGACCTAGTATTTCGTAAATAACATGCCACAATGACCAACCCACTCACCTTGAGCACTCATGTTTGAAGGACCGTTCTGCCTGGTGATGGAATACTGAGGCAATACTAGTCAGTAGACTTTGGAGGGCAAGTAGATACGATCCTCTAATTGGTCTCCAGTGCTAATGTAGAAATATAGAGTGGCGTATCTCGACATCTAGTCATGCCGTCGGTTATTTGTAAGACTACGTTGGACTATACCATGCACAAGTCTAGACCATTGATGACATAGTCATACATTTTGGCTTCATACTTGATAAGGCATAAGTGCTGCTGTATTATGGTTACTAACCTTCGCAGCGAATGGTGAGGTCATTGGGTTGCATTGAAACGAACTGATCGGAAGAGAGAGGTATAATGTCAATGACATAGGGCTGCATTGGACTCCATCTAGATTACCTACCATTAACTATATAAAGCATCAACCTCGCTCATCTGGTCGTCAAGCAAAACAACAACCACACGACCAGTTCAGTTTACAATCAAGAGTGTACATCACCCATACCAAGACATCGTAAGCTCACAACTTCTCCATATAATTCTTCAAGTTCCTGCTTATCCTAACATGAGATGCTCTTATGAAACAGATGCCAGCGTCACCAGGAAGAGTGAGGGGTTATGGCCACAACATTATGGCTCAATTTGACGTTGATGGCATCACGCACAATCTCAACTTATACGTTACTGGTGATGAACCTCTTCCAGACTTCAACGTCTCCAATGCCATGTTGACCTACGAGTCGCCCAGAGCATTGCGGGGCCCTGAGATGCTTCAGCCTAGCTCACGAGTTGGAGGATCCGACATTTCTTTGACTCTGGCGGGTCCTGAGGGTACTCAATCTATTACCGAACCTCCACTGCCACAGGATTTTCAAATCTCTGGGCAGGGACGTTGGGGAATCACTAAAGATGATGACGACTAAGGAAAAGTCTACTGTTCTCATTACCGCCTGGTATTTTTGTTTAGTACACTGTTCTTTCTTTGTATACTAGGGTCACGCGAGCAAATAAGCAACTCAACCTACTTGGCAATATATTAGATGGTACAATAAGTAATGAGCCCCATCTTGGAATGAGATGGTCTGAGCTCTTTAGATACCCGCGGGTGTGTATGTAGTTAAGTGCTTACTAGAAAATACAGACTGAGTGACCCCGGAGGGGAACTGATGTGATTAAGTGCTAGGTTGGGCGCTCCAGCAAAAAGCATTGAATTGTTAGGGCTATGGCCAATGTTTAATATGCAATTATGCATGCGCTTCATAGGGTTCTATTTAAAACTCCAGGACAATACCTCCTAGCAACCTATAGATGAGAATTCTTCTAGCCCTGTCCCTGTGTCTAATAAGAATATGCATTTACCTATTATAATAGTCCTGCTGCCTGTGTTGCGAGCAGGGCCCGCGATATGCTCGTGCTGCCCAGCACTCGCGATATGAAGTAATTTATGGACTGACGGTCCAAGTCACGTGATCCCTCGCTAGCTGCGCGCAGACCCCCCTATTCTAGTTCTTCAGCGAGTTCTTATTGTACATACCTAGTCATAGGTTTACCTACGGCCTAGCCTGTAACAGCCTGAGCTTCTAGTCCCTTGAAAAGATCCTATCATCTTATTAACCTAAATCTTAAGCTCCTGTCTTATGATCTTATCCTCCTCTGAGTCCTCTCCCCAATTCATTAATCTGTGATCTTAAGCTCTACCGTCCTAAGTAAGTTTATTTTCTGACCCAAATTGGCCCTTCTCATGGAATGACTGGATTCTGCTCCCAAGGCTAAGGATGTCAATATATTTTGCTCCTCATGCTATAACATACGACCACAGGGTGTGGAAAACAGGGCTTCCCGTCCGCTCAGCCGTACTTAAGCCACACGCCGGCCGGTTAGTAGTTGGGTGGGTGACCACCAGCGAATCCTGGCTGTTGTATGTCGGAATTCACCCGTTCTTTTTAACTCGTCGGGTTTAGCGCCTGTGCCGCCCTCTTCAGGCCTTCACCTGAAGCCTCCTGAAGCCCTCTAATCTTCACCTGCCAAGCCTGAACTGCTGACATGTCTTTTTACGCCACCCCCTCGCTGAGCAGTTGCCTGGTGGTAGGGAGTTTGATATGTTTGCACTCAACAAATTCTTGTTGCGCTAGTTTGGCTTTTCCCCTGTGTGTTTTGTTTTCCCGCTGTGCTTCGAGTTAGTCGGAACAGTCGAAGCAATTATTCCAGGGTATACAAGATGTACATCCATTTTATTATTCTTGATTTTTTGGTCCTTACATGGTCAAGTTACTGATCACTCTTGCAGAGCCTAAAGGGGCTTACGCCGCGGAGTGTCATGCTCAAATAATGTCACGACTAGATCTACTCACGTTGGTTAAGTAATGTGTTAGGTGATGGATGTCTTCCATTAAGGGGGCCTTGGACGGCTCTCCCAAAGTGCTCTATCTACTGACTAAGCTATGACTAAACTCGGTTGGTCAAAGGCCCTTGGCGGGTACCCGGTTAGGTCCTGACAGAGCTCGCGTTCAAGATGTACTATGTACATCACCTCGCGAGTACCTGATAGGCAGGCTCGAGCACTTTGCGGGCCCAGCCTGCTACATTATTAGGTAACATGTGTAGCTATCCACTGGCTAGCTGCGCTCCTGTTTGCCCTGATCACTTCAAGTATTAAGCATTTTTATATAAGAATTTAATTTTGGCACTGTGGTCGGATGCTATAACCGAGGTTATTCTTATATCGAAGGTACTTATAAGAAGGTTGTATTAGTAGTAGACATCAAGCCATCAACAAAGGATAGAGTCAGATCCCGTTTTGAAAACAGAGGATACATGTCCTAAAATAGTAACTATATGTTTTTCTGTATCTATGAGCTAAGCACGTGATTTGATGCGCTGGCAAATCGCAAGCAAGGCTGAAACACGCAGCAGAAGGATGGAAGAAATAGACCTTGACACAGCCCGCCCGTGGGCGGTGGGAAGGCGCCCGTAGCCCGTCCGTCTGAGCCCGCCGGGCGGGCAGTACCCGCCCGCTCCCGCCAGGGGTGTCCGCATAGGGCCGCCCTGGGCGGCCCATTTTAGCCCATTTGGTGCACAATTTTCCCAATTAGGAAGCATAACTCAATAATTCAGCTAATAAATACCTGTTTTTTTACGCCTGTTATAGTCCTGTTCATACTAAATGACAACCTTCACCTACTCTCGCCCGGAAATTAAATAAATAATGCTTGTATTTAGCTTCTGCATAGTTTAATTATCGTAGATGTTTACTAGTTTCAAAACTAAAGGATTAGGTGGTAGGCTATTTAGTGGAGTGGCTCAAGTACGCAGGTTTATGATGATAATATATTTAAACACCAGAGGTCTACACCACCACAATTCCACTAAACTTACTACTACTTAAATGATATATGTCCTGAGTTTTTTATTTATTTGAGAATGCAAATAGATAATTCTATATCTGAAATCTTATTTTTTAATGTTAACAGTGCTAATTCATTGACATAAGCCATTAAGAAGCCTCCTAATGTTACAAGTATGGCCGAATTAGGACAGTGGTGTGATTCAGATAGAGCATGGGGATTCTGTGGGGGAGCTGGGACGTGTAAACAAGGCAAAAGGGAAGGGCATATTATCAGAACGCGTCCCTACGTTCCTGGATCTTTTCTTCCTTTCTCTCTAGCTTCGATACTTTCGTCAGTAGGCACTGAATTGATCTGTTCCTTTCGATTGGCCTGTAATACCTAAGAGTCTGCGGCTCTAGCTAAAAGAATCGCAAAGGCCGGGGCACTGCCCTCTCACACATATTCATGAGAGGAGCGGGCTGCCCTACGTAGCCCTGGGCTGCCCGCGGGCTTGTAGCAATATTATCCAATCTCACTAGGAGGATTCCTAGGCGGTAGGTCTACTATGTGATAGATTGACTTTATCATAATATAGGTTGATTGAGCTGAACAGCCCCTGAAGCACATTGCTTGCCTGCTAGACTTAGAGAAAACTTGGTAAGTCTCCTGATTCCTTCTTCAGAGTCTTTACCTAAGACAAGACTATTAGTTCTTACTCATTATGTCTCAACAGTCTGATATCTACTCCTCGTCTCTTTACGAGGGTGATCCTACAGCCATACTTACTGCGGGTCCTACTCTCGCAGAGACTCTTTCTGCTTCCTACTTTGATACCGATGACATTTCACTGTTTACCTCTGAGCCGCACTTTAGCCAGCAGTCATTTACGTCTATACCTGATTCTGACTTTATTCGACCTTCCTCAATTCCTTCGAATCTCACACGTATTCACCCTGATTGTCTGACCGAATTCATCCTTTATACCAACATGGATAAAGAGGTGTTTGTCAATTGGTGGCTACAGACGATATATGGAAAGAGACCTGAAGGAAAAACCTTCAACTGGGATCGAACTGGCCATTTATCTGAAGTGTGGAAACACTTTGATCAGATTGCTTCTGCCACTAATGGTCTTCCAAAAGTGAAATGTCAACGATGCGGTAAGACCCTTAATCATCCAGGACACACAAAGATGGGCACAAACTCAATGGGAAGGCATTGGAAAGGGGAAAAATGTCGGAGGGCTGCCAAACAGGCTCAGCAGCCTAATATTCGCCGGCTTTTGCAAGACAAGGTAAGCAAAGCCCTAAGAATCATATCCTATACCAATAGATCAATAGGCTGGTCAGCCCTGGAGACGCACACAGACGGTTAGTAAGGAGGAGTGGGAAGATGAACTGACTACCACAGTCACTGTTCTCCGGCTTCCTTTCCAGGTCGTGGAGCATCCACAGTTCCAAAAGTTTATACGACTATCTCGTTCAGTCTTAACCTTGCCTGAGTTTCCTACAGGGAGAACCATTCAGCGACGTCTCCGCAGCCGTATTAAAGAAAAGCAACAATGTTTACTCCAGACACTACCATTAAACACCAAGATGTCTATTGCACTAGACTGCTGGACATCTCCATTTTAACAGGCATTTATGGCTGTCACTGGCTACTTTATTGACTGGGACTGGAATTATCGCGAGATTCTTCTTGGCTTTGAGCCACTTCATGGAACCCATTCTGGTATCAACCTAAGCGCCGTGCTTCTGGATTTGCTTCAACAGCATTAGATTATTAATTAAGTTCTTGCAATCACCACTGATAATGCATCAAACAACAACACCCTTAATGTTAAGCATCCAGGAATCAATCCAGTCGCTTGAACTTACTGAAAACACAACCATTATCCGTGTGCCATGCATCGCCCATGTTATCCAACTTAGCCTTAAACAGCTACTTGGCCAAATGAAAGCAAATCCAAAAAATGAGACTGCGGAGATGAACTGGTCCGATGCTTAATTTCACTCAGCCTATGCTAGGCAACAGAATCGAGAGATTGTTGACACTCTAAATAAGGTCAGATATATATTCGGCGCTAAAGCTCACTGCTAACTATGGTTCTAGGTTCGGAACCTAGCTATCTATATCAACGCAAGCCCTCAATGCCGAGAGTCATTCTGCAATCTCCAACCTGATTCACCAAAGCTAGTTCCAATTCAAGATGTCAAGACGCGCTGGAACTCTACCTTCCTAATGCTTCAGCGGGCTAAGCGACTGCAGTCCACATTCAACACCTTCTGCTTAGAATACGGACTCAGATACCTTACGCTAGACCAGGAAGAATGGCGTCAGATTGATTATCTGCTTTGGATCACTCTCCCGTTTTTCAAATTCACTACTGCCCTCTCCAAAACCAAGGACATCACATTCCACAATGTCTTCGAGATTTACAACAACCTGTTCGAACATCTTGAAAAGTCAACCCGCCAGCTTAAACGGAAGAAAGTCCCCTGGAAACAAGTCATGCTGAAAGCGCTAGGTGCTGCAAGAGACAAGCTTGCGGATTACTATGCTAAAACAGATGAGGTTTATGGTGATCTCTTTGCTATTGGCACAATCCTTGCACCAGAATATAAGCTACAGTTCTTTACAAGCAAGGACTGGGATGACGACTATGTCAGGCCATACCAACAACGTCTTGTTAACCCACAGATGTCATCACAGGATCAGGCATCTGCGCGGCCCACGGAGGTTAGTGCGATTAGTAGGATCTTGAAAGGAGCAAAACATCAGCGGTTAAGCCAGCGTGACGAGCTCACCCAGTATCTTGAAGCTGGTAGGTGATACTAAGACCCTGTTTGATCGTTTACTAACCTATATACTAGATCCTATTGAGATTTCTCCTCTTACGTTCTGGAAGGAGAATCAACACAAATACCCTGACCTTGCAGCTGCTGCGCGCGATGTGCTATCTATCCCTGCGACTGGTGCAGGCGTAGAGCGGCTTTTCAACTCTGCTCGAGATATCTGCCACTACCGTCGAGGCTCACTAAATGCCACCACCATCCAAGATCTTATGATGTTCATGTGTGTATCAAGATTTGATATTGAGGAGAAACAACTCGCATTGATTAGCGAGCAGCTCTCAGAGGAAGAGAAAGAGGAGGCAAATGATGAGAAGGACACAGAGTATCTTGATGATCTCGATCCTATTAGTGATAACGAGGAGGAGGATATGATGCTTATCCAAGAGCAGCCTACGACACAGGGACTTTCGGAGCGCGTCGCAGGGAAAAGACGAAGAAGTGTGGCATCCGAATTAGAGGAGGAGGCTCAGGAAGCTGCTCAATCCGATGAAGAAGCAGAAATTCCATTGCCTAAGCAGCCTAACACCCAGCAGCAGATATCAGGGAGAAAACGGAAGCGTACAAGACGTGAGGATGATGATTTTGTTCATTATTAGCGGCATAATGTAGAGTAACTCAATTCATTTAAAGCTTGATTTATCTAAACCCTCGTTCTTCTATCTCATGACTCTATATGTAAGATAAATACTCAAAAATACAGAGAAAAACCGCACAAATAATGCATATCACGGGATTTCCTATGTTTGCCCTGTTTGGCAGCCCGCCGGGCGCCCGTTTTGGCCCGCCGGGCAGGCACTTGGAGCCCGTTGTAGCCCGCCGGGCAGGGGAAGCCTGCCCGCTGCCCGTCTACGGGCAGGAAGGGGCTCAGCCCGCACGGGACCGCCCAGGGCTGTGTCAAGGTCTAGTTGTCGTAGTGTGTTCCGCAGTTTTGACTGTAACACACCAACCAAGGTAGTTGTTGATGTTTCTTATGTCCTCGGTAATGTTGACAAATGCACCAACCATAGTCGCATGGATGGTAAAAAGATCCTATTGGTTTTTTGCTCGATACTTCCTTCAAAGCTTCGTGGTAGTCAATATTCCGTCGTCCGCACTGTGGACAGTAAATGGGGTGTCGTCCGCATTTGGTCACGTGCTCTTCCCATTTTTCGACCTTCTGTTGCCAACAATCAAGGTTCCAGTGTATGCATCCGCGCACTCCTTGTTCGATCTTTTCCACAATGGCTTGATTCAACCTGTCCGCCTCTTGTCGTTGCTGTAATTCTGCCAGTATTCGCGTGACTCTCTGGTCCGCTTCTTCATCATTTTGTGGGGAATTGTCTCGGGGTATCTCTGGTGTCTCACGGGGTTTCTCCCTGCTAGGATCAGGGCCCTCCCATTGAGTACCGTACTCTTCGTCAAGGGGATCAATAGCGGTATAGTCTATTGCGGGATAATCCACTTGAGCTGGCTCAATTGGTGATGGCACTTCCCAAGCCTTGACTTGGTTGGACCCATCCGTCCAAACGGCATTTTCATGGGTTTGTTCTGGGTTGGTTGCTGCAAGTTCCTTTGAATCCATTGCAGACCATCCGATATCCAGACATTCGTTGTCGGTGGAGTCTTCTGCGCTAAGCTCCTGTTCGATTTCTTCGTCACTCAAGCTGGTACATTCCTTGTATAGCTTCCTGAGTCGTTCATCACCCTTCGTTGCGCTCAGCGCGTTGGTTCTCTTGCGCGGCGTGATGACTCTAGTTGTATCATAGGCTCCTCTGTCCGTCGTGGCACTGAGCTCTTTCGTCGCACGTAACTGTTTCTCATGTCTACCCCTCATGGGTTGTTGCTTGCAATCTTTCGATATATGTCCCGGTTTCCCGCAACGGAAACACAGTCGTTCTTTTCGTCGCCGTTCTCTTTCCTCATTGGAAAGTGTCGTCTGTTGAGTTGCGTCCAACTCCATTGGTCGTGGTCCATAAGGATCTGCATATCCTTGGTTTCGTGGCTGCGCTGGCCTCCTATCGTTCGCTCGATAGCTCGTGGTTCGTTTGTTGCTAAAGCTGTTCCAGTTGCTCCGCTCTTTTCTGCGCATATTGAAATCATATAACTTGTTGTCGATCTTGACCGCCTGTTCAATCATCTTGTTCAATGTGTCGGGTCGTTCCATCCAGATCAGCTTTTCCTGGATTTCTGGCTTCAGCATCTCTTCAAACTTCGCGATGTAGGCGTCCTCATCCTAATCTAGGTGTGAGATGATTTGCTGAAATTCCGAAGCAAGTTTGCTAACAGACCCTGTCTGTTTCAGCCGCCATAACTGTCTCTCGGCGTTTCTTGACTTGTCGATGTCACCAAAGGTTCCCTCGAGTCGTTTTTTGAACTCAGCATAACTGGCGAACATAGTCTTGGTTTCGTCATCCTGCAAGTCTTCGGTATGTTTTTGGTAGTCCCTGACAAAGGGTTCAAACTAATCAAACGCTGGTCCAGTCAGATAAGTCGTGGCGAATAAGACCTTATCTGCTTCGTTGGCGAGTTTCTCTTAATTCATCTGAATGTACATGTCCAACTGCGTGAGGAATGCACGTAGCTTGGATCGTGTTCCGTTGAATGGTTCTAGTGGTCTGATCTTAACAGATTTGACTGCTAGTCGTCCATTCAGAGTCTCATTCTGTCGTTCCAACCGTTGAATATGCTCCTGGAGCTGTTCAATCATGCCCATCAGACCTTCTGCTGTGATCTGAGGCTGCGCAGCAACCGTTTGTTGCTGAGTTCCTGTCCGACCAACATTCGAGCTGGTTGGGGTACGTGGCGTGTCATTCGCCATGATGTTTAATGTCAAGAGTCGATCAAACTTCCCAAAGTGATTCGTACTGTACGGCGTTCAATTTGTCACACCCTGGGATCCGTCTCTGCTGTTCTCTGCTAGTCAACTACTTTGGAAACGGGGTGATATAGTCCCTGGACTATATCCAACACTTGCCTGAGGCCTACCGACCAGGTAGCCTGAACACTATACCGATCAGGTATATGTCGATCACGACGATACAATGATCCAACGGGGATCAAGGACAATCCAAAGGTAACACAAGAACAATAACAGTAGAGATAGAAGCACTAACTATTAAGGATGTATCCTTAATAGTAATAGAGTAACTGACGAATCGGACTAGTGAACTTATACTCAAGTGAGTTATTGATATTGAACGCGAGGAACTAAACTAAGAGTGCTAGATACAACGGTAATGAGTGTCCTTATATAGTTCCTCCCTTCCGGTCCATACCTTGAGGATATCATGAGGTCCCATTATGGACTGTTGTCCATGGTCCATGGTGGTGTTATATGATCACAGTCCCTTACGGACCGTTACCTTTTCTTGGCATCAGGGACCGTTAGTCACGTGACCTAACCGCCCTCTGGCCCCGAGCTTGGTTGTACGTCAGACTGCGCTGTCTCTCTCATAAGCCTCATCCAACCATTCCGTGTTGACTGCAGGTGTGCCGTAACACTAGGCCCCAAACCCACACCCCTGCGAGTTTGGTGAGGGTTGGATTCGATTTTAGCGGGTTGGTTATGCAACTCTACTCCTCAAGTTCCACCTCATCCGCTCCTCCAGTGATTGCCTTCTTTACCGAAGGCGCCGGTTTAGCCGCCAAAGCGAAATCAGTCGATATGACGCCCATATAGGCAAACGAACTGACCACTGAAGCAACGAGGTTAACTTGTGTCCCTGCGACCGAAGTCTTGCAAAAACCGCACACATTTCCGAAACCGCTGAAGAAGAGCTGTACGGTTGCGATGGTATCATGCCCGGCCTGAATCATTTTTAGTATGGCAGATAGCTATTTGGTTGAGACATGACTAACAGCTGGGTTTTGGCTGGCCTCATATATACCACAAATCAACTGTGCTATCCCTAAGAATCCTTCAGCCACCAAATACATATCACGGACTGTTGCCTCCTTCGAACTTATCAACGGTCGACCGCTGATCTTCATGTCAATATAACCCCCACTGACGCGCAAAACAGTGAGGATGATGGTTAGGTAGCCCATTGTTTTGGCCTCCCAGTCGACATTGCTTGTGTTGTTGGGAGCCGTGATATTAAAACCAGGGGCTACTGAGGCAAGGGATCGGAATCGAAGGATCGTCCAGACCACTTGGCTCCGTGAAGTATTGACTTTGATACTATTGCTTTGTTAGCTTTAATGACAGTGCTTGTATAAAAAGGAAATCTTACGCTGTTGTCTCTATATCACTCCATAAACCATAGCCAGTGGTGCACAGCTTGAACACTGCGTGTGCCGCATGTTCCCATTGATCACCAGACATGGTGAGTGTATTACTCCGCACGACATTTCCATCCTTGGACGACGACACATAAGGCGCCTCGTTGTAGATGATTTTGAAAGCGAAGGTGAAAGGAATGGCAAGGCAGAAGCAAACGACTTCGCTCAAACTTGGCATCGAAGTACCGGTGATTTGCTCATAGAGCCACGATATACCAGGAAGGTATATAGGGTTTTCAATGAACTTGATCATTCGGGCGACGATATATCTAGAGACATTGAGGAGCAGCGTGAAGAGGTTCTTAACTAGATCGATGCTGACGGTCGCCAGAGCGTGGATGACGGACATGACTGCACCGAGGGTGATGGAGTCGAAGATGCTATTAGTGGTGATGCTATCGATCATGTTCTGCACCGACTGAATGGCGGCTTTGCAGTCAGCCTGAAGCTGGCGGTCGTATAATGTGTCAAGGATGCCTCTCATGGACGTGAGGAAAACATCGATTCCAGTGTCATTACCGGCCTCAATGGGCTCGCCTTCGAAAACCCACTCGAGGATACCAAGTAGCTTATTGAGTAACCACATGCCTGGCGAGGGAATTTCGTCGAGGATGTCAAGCACCGGGAAAACGCTGCCCACTTGCCCTTTTGCTGTAACAGAACTATTTGCATACTCACCAAATGTCTTATGTCCCACTGTGCTGCCCGCTGAGGTGAACCACGAATCCATGTTCGCCCTAACATTGTCAAAGAACTTCGTGCCCAGTGGCTGCAGTGTATTGTCAATGAAGTCCAATAGTGCCATGTCAGTATCATGCACGACCTTCTGGAAATGTTGCGCTGTGAGTTTGATATCACCCCAGTTGAATAAGAATCCTAGCCACTGCACAACCAGGTCCCAAGTGCTCTTGATGTACTCGAACACCGCCCCTGCAATGTCGGCAGCTTGCGTGGCCAGATCCACGATGCCTTTCCACACCCAGTTCGCGGCATCCTTCAGAGCGCTGATGCCGCTCATGACGATGTTGACGGCTGATTCCCCGACGCTAACGACAATGTCTACTACGGAAAATATGCCGCCTTTGAGATTGTTCCAAAGATCGCCCCAGTCTGTGCCAAGGAAACCGAAGGGAGAGGAGAGTTCTTTCATCAAGGCTTCGGCTTGGGCGCGGCGTAGCTTGGTGCAGGAGAAGCCGTTCTTGAACGAGATATGGAATGCATGTTCGTAGCCGACCGGCAACTTCCCGAGACGATGGCTGGAGTGGCCTTGTCTGCTTGATCGAGCGATATGTGGGGATGTCCTGGGGTGGAGGTATTCGGATTTGATGCTGCTTAGAAGCTCTGGTGGTCCGGTTACTATGGTGGATATCTCCCGAAGGCATTGTACTGCAGTTTGGATATGAGCGTCGTCAACTTTCGGACCGGCGATTGCCTTCACTTGGTCGGCTGTGACATTGGCGAGTTTGGTGTGAAGATCTTGAGGACCAGGTTGGATGTCGATGCGGGCGTCGTCATCCATTCCCTTGACCCACAACCTACATTGCGATTAGATCATTCCTGTTATTGAATACTATGCTGACTCACGAGTAAGTATTAGGAATAATTGATCCCCAGGTTTCCACCGTAAGTCCACATCTACCAGCCAGATTGAATGTGATATCGACCTCGTGGCCTGGCTGCAAGGCAACATCTGACCCATTGATATTGATGATTGTAGCAATCGAGGTTCCGAAAGTGCCCTTGACACCGGGAGTAGGAAGTCCATTGTCATCAACTGAAGCAATATCGACTGAATAACACTGTGCCTTGGTGCCAGTAGTAGCAGCAGAAGATGAGGTGATGACATCGCTGACCCATTTACCATCTGGTTCTCGCCTAAACACAGAGAAGCTTAAGTCTTGCTGAAGCACAGTAACAATATTTTCTCCATTAAAGGAAGTTACAGATAAGCCAAAACTGTTAACGCTTCTGTTTGCAAGAAGATAACCCTGTGGTGGACGTAGGTAAGGATTCTGGAGGATGGAGTAGACACTGTCGGTAAGCTTTGATGGGATGCTCCACGAATCTGCTGTTGTGCTGCTCACATAAGGATCTGCTCATCTATCAACCAAATGTGTACTCACGTAAAAATACCAAAGTCCTCCCTGATAATCAACCCATCCAGAGTCTGTGTATGCCACACTTCAACGCCCGTCAACTTGCCAATCGAATCTGTAATCTCAAAGATGCCGAAGACATCGATGCCAAAGCTCACTGTCGAGTCTATACCTCCCGAATATGGCCTAGTCGTGGCTTCAATCCAGACTGCCTTGCCAGGCACATCACCAAACAATTGTATTGGTGCACTAGGCGACGATACAGGAGGCACAAGCAATTGTGGGATATAATAGTCATTTGGAAAAAACAACACCTTTGATGTATTATCACTATAACTCCGTAGCCCAATAAGCAGTGGTGATGTCCCTGTGTCGTCCAGATGGATGGTACGCAACATGGTCTGATACTGCGTGTTAGGTTCGACCACTGTAGCTGGTGATGATGGCATGGGTTCAGGCACAAGCCAAAAGTTCTGCGTTCGAATTACAGTGTCGTTGTTATCTGATTGGTACCCTAAGACATAGTACCAACGCCAATTTGAACGGTGGTCCTTGTTGATGGGTTCGACGTCCTGAAAGCTCCAGTCTGGGGATTTGCCGTAGCTGATGTCCCAAATCATCGGTGTGTATTGATTGCCCTTGGAGTCCTTAGGAGGCATCGCTGTTGTTGAGTTGGGATATTGGATGCCTTTTGCACCACTAGGAGACCATATCCATGGCCCGTCTGAGAAGTTGATTGTGGGATTCTCCGCCCAACAGGAGCGGCTGTAGCTGATGATAGGGTGGGCATCGTCGTCGAAGGCGAGGTCGACGGATAAACAGTCGAAAGCCCATGTGCCTTGACCGATTGAGGCAGTCTGCCAGCGCGGATAGCGGCCATTGAGTTCAATATAATAGATGTAGCAATACCTGTTTATGTTAACGTTTGGCGGTGTGGCAATATTGATATTGAATGTATTCGTGGCCAATACGCAAATTGATTTGCGTGTAGGATGTAAAGCCGCTTTAATGAACCCAGTGTGCAGAGCAGTGGTGTCTAAGGGAGTCCATGTAGTGTCCTCTTCGACCCAACTCTGTCGAAGGTCATCGTACCAGACATTGTAGAGCACGCGATTGTCCGTAGTCTCGCCTTGTAAGAGCCAGAAGATATTAAGCTTTCCATTGGCGTCGGTTACTGTTGCGAAAGTGGGTGGGTTTACTTGGCCTCCTGCCTTTGCTGGGACCGGCTTTGTCACACGACAGGGCACATTGGGAATCCAATTGTCCTGCAGTGCTGTCTGTACTTTGAGAGTGGCCATGATGGAGGATGATGCTGGCGCGCCGGTCGATCGCCAATACTATTATGTATTGCTCCTTTCAACCTCCCTAGAGAGACACTCTGCAAAAGAGCGAGAGTGGGCTTGGGGAAGAAGATTTAGGGTCGGATGCGGAGCCGAATGTATACCTCTGCATGTCAGGTGCCTATCATACAGAGTGAAGAAGTAGTCTGAGCAATCGCCTAATAGAAGAGGCAGAAGCAGGGTCACTGTTATGTTGCTAGTAAGAGCCTTGCAAGAAAAATGTATATTCAGGAAGAGGAATCAAGAGACTAACTCTACCTGTTTCCTTTAGGGAACTAGCAGTTGATTAATACAACCTAGAAATGTTTTGTGAGAATCCAGGAATATATAGCAACTATAGCAGCTACATCACAGCTACCTTAGAATTATGTAATAATGACACATGTTTTTCTCCAAAAATGAAAGACTAAAAAATAATATAATTATCTAAAATATGTCTGTGCATACTATCTTAATGCATGCACAGAGTCACAGACTAGATTTAAGTATATAGACAAACTTTCTAGTTTATCTACATGATAACTGAACCCTTAAGAGTTGCGGTAGCGGTGCACAGTCAGAAATTAGAGGTCTGGTACAGAGTCAGACCTGGTTGACAAGTGTTCATAGTTTCGCAATACAGCTAACCATCCCTTTATAGTGAAAGCTACAGAAATTCAATACAGACAACAGCCTTCGCAAGCCCGATCTGGTCTTTTGACAGCTGTCTTGAAGTTATTACACCACGGGAGTTACATGATTCGTACCTTTAGGGCCTAGGGGTGGTCCGAGCCATACTAGGAGTGAAGAACTTGGTGGCAAAGGTTACATTAAGCCAGGCCTTCTACTCGCACCATAGCAGTCAGATCTCTGTAGGTAAGTATATGAAGATTGGTATTCGCGATTACAACATTCTGTGAGGGGGGCCAGGTTCAAAAATCGACGGTTGTACCATTTGTGCCATACGGGCAGTATGAACTGACAGCTGGCCAAGAACTCCTTACAATACAGCATAATGAACCAGTATGTATTATGCACAGAGTAGTGTCATTGAGGTTTATTAATGCGAGCCTCAGCGTCTGTGTCCGCCAAAGCTGAATCTGTTGACGTCCGTAGACACGTGGTCCATGGTTTCCATGTCCTAGATCGTCTATGCTTTCCAAGCTTGCTGCAGCAGTTCAATCATGGAAAGGGGCTTGATCTCTGGGAATCGCTTGTTGAGGGTATCCGCCTCGGGCAGGTTAAAGGCTCCTGCCTCAGTCCATTGGCCGAATACAGCCAAGATATATTGAAGCTGCTCCTTAGGAAGGAAAGGATACACGGGAGGATGCGATGGAAGTTCAGTCACTTGGAAAGTCTTCAGTTTCTCCTCGCTGTCGTATTTAACGTCAAATTTGGTCCCTAGCGATTCTATGTCAGAGCAGGTCAAAAGCTAGGTAGGGCTCTGCATGGACAAACCTTTGGTGGTTTTAGCAAGGGAGACAAAATCATTCCATGTTAACTTATCGCCGATGATGATGCTTCTTTCATTCCACTTTTCCTCGCCCACGAGCGCGGCCACATACTGGGCAACATCGAATGTGTGTGTGAATGCCACAGGTGTGTTACCAGATCCAGGAATCGCTGCAGTATTGTTTGCGATGTCGACAGCGAAGACAAAAGGCTGCAGGTAGCTCTTCACTTTGGGGAGGCCATAGTAATCCCTGAAGAACCCGTTTGAAATCAGAGTGTATTCCAGACCAGAAGACTTCAACTTTTCCGCTGCCAATATTTTACCCTTGATAGGTGGAAATACTGCAGCATGACTATGCAGGATCAGCGGCGGTAACGAGCAAGCGAATCTCCTATGACACTTACGCTTCGTTATACATGATACCGAAGTCACTAGGAATAAAACGCTTGGTGTTTGGCGATTTGATAGCAGCGTCAATGAGGTTGAGCTGAGATTCGGTTGCTGAAGCATCGGAAATGGGAACAGTGGAGATGATAGTGTCTATTCTGTTCTCTTCCAACACCTTTCCCAACGACACAACATTCGAATAGTCGACCGGGATAATGGGGACGCCCAGCGTCTGAGACAATTGATCGTTTGCCTGATCAGACGGTCAGCTGGTAGGCAGAGCCATTACATTGCAAGAGTCACGTACACTTCTCGCCAAAACAGAGACTGTATGGCTGGTCTTGCTCTTCAAGGCTTCAACAATCGCCCGGCCCACTTTACCGGTTCCACCAGAGACAGCAACAATGGCCATTTCGATCTTTTGATTGAATAGAAATCTTCGTTGAATCAAGTTCTTTTGAGGAATAAATATCTTGATCCCATTATATTTTGGCAGATAGGGAGAGCGTAATTTATAGTTTCCCGATCCCTAAGCCAAGCCACTGCTCCGCGAACTTGGATGAGTCCATTAGCACATAATCAGGCATAATGCTTCCAAATATTTAAGTTAACCACTGTGCAACGGGTTCTTGGTGGCTTTACTTCCGATGTGGTCCACCATGAATAATAAATCCATGGAGTCGATTACAAACTTATGTGGACAAGATAACAGTAAACAAGAACTCTCAGTGGGATTGGCATTGAGGACTGATAGGGGCGACAAGGAAGTCATCAGTGGTTTTGTTACTGTCTGACGCTGGGTGAGCTTTCCCATTTGTTGAATGACAGTTGTCAGCGAACACCAGAGCAATTATCATCACGCTCATAAAAAATGTAGGTGGTCCTGCTCATTATCGTCCACATTTCCCAGCTGGGAGCCTCGGGCTTAGACAATTGCTTTTGAACTTTTGATTTGTTTTGTTTCCCTTTCATCAACATTAATGTTACCTCCATCACAAAGACATAATGATCTGGTTCCTCTGGATCATGTAAGACAATTTGCACTAGAGGATAAGCCTTAGCAGTTCTTTCCTTGGGATTTAAGCGGGCAAGGAATAAAAGGGAGGGCATCAATTGCCAGAAGGCTGGAGCTTGATTTATCGAAATCAAGTCTAGTGACCCAGTGAACTGAGCCAAAGTCATGTAGGGGCCTAGAGGCGTCAAGGGTGAGCATTTAGAACTAACAGGTAACATTCTTAAATGGTTGGGGTGGGTCCTTTCTTCCAGGTCAGTAGGGTATTTGTGGGGGATCGTGTCCCCGGCGGGTAGGCAGTGCTGAGCACTAAGCTCAGCACCCTTGGTCTTTTGGTCTAGTGCCCCTCTAGACTAGTGCTTACAGCACCTCTCTTACACCCTGTACATTTCAAAAATAAAGTTCTGGACTTTCCCCACCAACCTGATGGCGACATGATACACAAACCAGAACATCTTATCTGGAAAATACCAGATATGAACCATATGGTCTCCCGGCAAAGCAAGGCCTTTGGCCGCGTGCAGTCTGAGGAATTAATCAATGAGTCTGTGATCAATCCAGCAAAGTAAGACTCCCTGTAGAGCGGAATAATGAATTAGTAGGTCCCATGACTCCCATTGTATAGAAAGTAACTGATTGATTGGCCTATTTTGTTCCACAGGAAGTCTTGCCTCACTGGGAGGCCTTTTCAGGTTTGGGATCCCAATCCAATCAACCCCGGAGAACAGGAACTTAGCTCTTGGTGAAAGCAATTAAGAAAGTTCAGCACTTCAAATGCTATTATCATATCAAGCGATTTCTCATACTAAGATTTCCTATATTTTAAGTACTAGATTGTTAAATCAATTAAATGTTATCTATACTATAAGTCTATAACATATTGATGAGAGAAATGAAGCATGGAAGCGCATTCATGGATGCTTCTCTCTAAGAACTAAGATGGAGAATGAGAAGAAGCCCATGTGTGGAGAGTGGAGACTGGAGACAGCTTTAAGCTGAGCGAAGCTCATCGGAGCTGCGGGCCGATCTTGCGGGTGGACTTACGCCCCAACACATATTATTAGGGTTCAAAAACAAAATATATCATGGCTTTCCAGCTAAGCTGCAGGCTGATCTTGCGGGTGGCCTTACGCCCCGCATATGATTAGGTTTCAAAATCATGATTTTTCAGCTAAGCGAAGCTCATCAGGGCTGCAGGCCAATGATTGCGGGTGGCCTTACGCCCAAACACATATTCTTAGGTTTCAAAAACAAGAAATATTATGATTTTGATTCCTTGGAGGATGGCAGAGGATGGGGGCCGTAAGTTGAGCTGTCACTACCACATAGGCCAAAAGACAACTATGATCAGCCCGCATGGCTGATCACGCCTGGATCCTATGTAGGCACTACCACGGCTCCGCGGGGGCTGTCAGCGACCAACCTGACTGGGACACTGAGGCTTAGAATATGTGAATATTATCGGTACATTTTAGAAACACTCTTCCTGCTTACAAGCGTCCCAGCCCCCAATTCAACCCCACTGGTTGGAGCGGATGAGGGCGGGTTTTGCAGAGCAGGTTTGACACCTTGTGTGGAGTTGTTTAATGTTTGGCGGTGATATTGCACATGGCAGTGGGTAATACCAAGATGATTAATGATTTGTTGACATATATCCCACATCACACATGGAGATATGAAGGATTCAACCCCTGGGCATGGGGGGCCTGAACTATGAAAACCAGTGGTCAACTGGAGTAGCATTTATTGTTATTGCTGTGCAAGATAGTTACATTGCTCCCTGATTAAGGAGAATTATGATTTGACAGCATATATCCTGGAAGCCGGAGCATTCTTTTCGCCCCCAATGAGTATGATTAGACATCATAATTGATATGTGACCTCGTCTATAAAAGGGGGCAGTGAGCACCAGATAGCTTGGACGGAATCCATGGTCAAGACAATCAACAGTGTTACATGAAGAGTTTCCTATTCTCAGTAAGTTTTAGCCACCCTAGAGATTTGTTGAAGAACTTCTTTTCCAAAATAACAGTGTTCAAACCTCATAGTTAAGAGTCCTGTTAACATTTTATAGGATTGATTGCTGTACAACTTCATAACAACAATGCGTTCCACAGCAGCAGTGTTGCTGGTAGGGTACCTCGCAAGTATGGCCAGAGGTTGCTTGGAAGTCACACTGAAATTATATTGTCCGGCTCTCGAACCATACTGTCTCTGGGACCTGATCACCTTCGTCGACAATGGCGTCACAACCTGTGCCGGTGCGACTCAGAGCACCTTTCACAGTTCGACTGCCGACTCGAATTGCATAAATGGGTATGGACTGTCAGTAGGATTTGGCAGCGGGCACTTCTCATGGACATACAATACACCCCATGGGACGTACAGTGTGAACACCCCGGCTGCTTATGAGGCGTCTGGTTGCAGCCCAGGTTTATATGGCGCAGGTTGCATGGAGAGCAGCACTTGGTATATCACCAATGAAGGGTTCTATGGTTGTTGAAGGTATAACCACTTTTGGGGGTATGGAATAGAGAGGTGGACATCACTGATATCTGACTCTCATTCTTGAGAAGGGTGAGGCTATTGAGAAGAAGTCTTAATTTGGGAAGCTGGATGTGACCCTGGCAGGCTCTGCGGAAACTTGAACCATATATGTTGACTAATTACTTTGAGATGTTTATCACTATGTTGACCTGTCCAAAACTTTTGAACCCCCACGTAGTGCTTGAAATTCCATCAGTGATATTAATAAATATATGTCTGTAGCTAACACATTGATCATGAACATAAGAGGCATTTGTTATTAAAATTGTGATAGGCCTATAGCTTCAACCTTAAACAAGCTTTGTTTAGAAATACAAGGAAGGCTAGAATATACGTTTCAGACTTGGCTTCACCCACATGGGCTTCTCGCATCGGTGTCTCGCCTGCCAGTCTTTGATCTTTTCAGCATCCCAGCCAGCGGAAAGTCGCGACTCCGGAGGATTGACCTTTTCTGAGCCAAGCCTTATGGCACGCACGAAGATGCAGTGTCCACTAGAGTCATAGGTGTATGAAAGACACTGTGGGTGGTCATGACAAGCAGTCCGGCAGGCGCTAAATGATGAGTGCGCAGGAGATTCCGGACGTTCTTGAAAACCACCCCAGTCGCCATTATCCCAATCGACCTTTTCCGCGAAAGTACCTAACTTCAAAAAGTCCATCAGATCAGCGTATAGCAATGGATACTGTGATAAATTAATCCTGTCCAAAACATCATAGTAACACAAGGGTGGATCAATATGAGAACTTACAGTTCGGTTGCGTTGATTTTCGAATTTAATCAATGCATTCATATCTGCCAGTTGAGTCTTGTGCAGACTTATGACGGGCTGACACCAATGGACTTCATCAAATGGAATCCCATGAAGCGCATGTGCATTAAACATTGGCCATAGTCCTGATAGTTCAATGCCTTTCTGGTGAAGCGCCCAACCTAGCACTGAATCACCACAGCAGTCCCCCTTAGTCAAATCAGCGAACTGCATAGCCACGGAAGGTTGCTTATATTGGCCATACAAGCCAACTTCCCTCTTGAGCAATTTTTTGACCGCGCTCACAGAAAGAATGAACCCTGATCCACCATAGGCAAAGTATGTTTGTCTATCGCCATCCATTCTTCCGGGGGCAGGGGAGCCAAAGTACAAGGAAGTTTGTGGGTCGTAGTGATCCAAGAGTCGAAAGACATTATCCCAGAAGACGTAGGTGTCAGTCTCAAGAAATATGAACCACTCTGCTGCTGGGTTTATTCTATAGGCATGTTCTACCATTGGCAAGAATTTAAAGCGGTCGAGATTCCAGCCTTTAGTCCCATCCACAGGCTTTCCATTACCCAATTGGAGAGCCTTGTACGTTTCGTAATCAGTGAGGTCGACCCAAAAGGACGGTGGGTATGTTGCGAGCACATCATGAATGTGATGATCCTCAGATTCGCGATCAGACACAATGATCAGGTTTGAGATGCAGCGAGTGACCGTGGCAGTGTGAGTGTGAAGACGATCCGCGGGTTCAGAGGAACCAAGTTTCAGGACGACTTGAATACGCGACAGGAGATAGGAGGGGAAAGTGTTGCAAAGGTCATCATCATCATCAGCCTGATTGCTGTAGAAGATCTTGTCATTATTTTCTGTTTTCACTTCAGGAGTGAAATGAGATAGAGTCTCCCAATCCCAGTAATCTGCGTCATCGTCCTGGTTAATGAGATGAAAGGGGACAGAGGAGGTGCTCAGAAACTCCCGCGTGCATCTAAATCCAAGATAGATGATAGAGGCAGCTACCACTAGTAAAATGAAAACCAGGATGCTCGTCCTGCGCGACAGAATCCTCTGCCTTCGCTTGGAAGAAGTGGGAAGTGAAGGAGAAGAGAATTTAAGGGAATGCATTGCCTATAAAAAGACAGTGAATATAATTGTGGACTTCTTATTCTGGTTGGAAGCAATATTAGAGACTATTATGACCTCCTCCCATGCGGAATGGGGATGTTTAAGTGATTAGAAAAACCCTGCTGAGTGTAAACCATTTCTGAATGGAGTGATTAAATTCAGCAACATTTGTAGATAATTCAACTAGGTCTACCTTCATTTTAGGAGAACTTTGAGTTTAGGCGGCAAGTGTCTCCTCCATGCTAATGACTTAATCAATCTGCCGCATTCTGGTGAACCTTGTCATGAACTTCCAGATTCATACTATAGAGGGAATGTACCCATATGATGGCCCAATAGAATTCTGCCCAGGAGTAGGACCGCCGCATCTGGACCCGCCCCTAATTCTTGTTCTTGGGATTTAGTTGAATATACTTTGACTACTCAGGAGCGCATCAATGAGAATCAGATGACGTACTACAAATGGCTCACGTCATTTCCTTTCATAATCCATCTCGCTCATCCATTATGTAGATCAAGGACCATATAGTGAGTGGCTATACAGAATTTTTGTAGAAACTTTACAGTCATTTCCGCCAGACAATAGGCTATCACATGATCTCAAGTAGAGGCGCTCTGGATCTTCCAGGAATTACTGATGGATTTACTCATGAATTGCTCATAGATTGCTCTCCTCTTAGACTATCCTTAAGCTCAGAATTAAAAATCCATAGCTCTTAACAAAATATCTAGTAGACTCACTAATAGAGTGTCTTCACCTAAGCAAATACCCCCTTCTTTCTTTCATAATGTAGATATGCAACACTGATTCTCTCAGTTTCATTCAAACATAGGGTCTAACATATTACTTAAACCGGCAACAACGACTCATACTATCAGTGTAATGAGGCACATAATCATGCATTTTACACTGTACTCTAACCTTGGCTCTATATATTGTCCTTATATTATATACCTCTGCCTTCTTGTCCTAAATTTCCCAATACTTTTCATTTTATAGAGTTTATTCATAATAATCCATTCATCCTTCACTCTGACAGTAGATAGGACAACAATGAACTGTCTCCCGACATACATTTCCATCGCCATAGTGGCCATACCAGCTAAGCTTTATGGAGCCAATAGTTACTTATGTAAATTTTATAGAGTTTACTATAAGTAGTCTAGTAGTTTAAATTCTATATACTGTATTTCGCTATTGAATCTTAGGAAAATAGTAAAACGTAGGAAAAGAAGATTAAGATAGAGCTTAAAATTATGCACTAATAGTGTTAAGCATACTATAATAATTTATGGTTTAGTGATCATTAAAGATGCTGCATTTCCCTAATAGAATCTGCCATTCTGCAGTGGTGACTGCAGAGGGTTGCTTGGTAGGCCGACTTCTTTGTACCCCTTTAACCCTACTCATGCCTTGAATCCGCATCACAATGGTTCGGCTGCATATGATGTGATCTATGCATTCCTTTGGGAGCAGGGTCTCTAGGTGTCGATCCCCCCGTGCGCGCGAAGATGTTGTTGACAGAAGAATAGAGAAACTAGTGCAACAATTTGTATAACTACTTAGCTCTTTAGGTTGTCAACCTACTGCCAGCCCATCTCCATAGCTACTGTACTCTGTTGCATGGGATGTGACTACTACTACAAGTAGCACTCTGACTTATGGTACCTGTAAAATAAAAGATAATCTAATGACTTATAAATCCAATCAAACCACAAATACTACACTGCCAGATGAAGTTGTGCCCATTCCTCCGCAGTCAAAGCATGGATCCCAACCTGACTGTTCCACGTCTCCGACAAATCCCAAGCAACACCACGCCCTTCACCAAAAACAACCTGATATTTGAACAAGGTGTTATCTGGGTGCCGCAGAAGATCTGCTCGAGCAGCCTTTATGGTTCTTATATGCCTGGTAAATTTGCGGCCGGTGATCCTCTCGACTAACTGTGCCAGCTGCGCATAAGTCAAGGTATCTCCTGCAATATAGATTGGCTTGTTACAGAAGACTGAGTCAGATCTCAAGCCAAGCACAGCCTCAGCAGTAATTCTGCCAATATCCTCCGGTGCTGTTACAGATACCTTGGTATCTAAACTTCCAAGGGCAAGTATAGTATCGTCCTTGAAGTTGACTACACCAAACGAAGGCTCAAACAAGAAACTTGTGAACATGCCGGTAGATATGATCACCCACTGAGTCTGGCTCTGGGAGCGCAGGAGATCCCTCACATCAAGCTGCTCATCGAATAGGTCTTGTGCGGATCCCCGTCCGATAGTATCATAATCAACTCCAAATTGCCAGGGCACATATCGAGGAACTTGCGCCGCCAAAACAGCACGGGCAAGTTTGAGCTGAATGCCAGAGCCAGCTGCAAAGCCGGTACAGCCGATGATTGTGTTGTATTCACCAAAGATGTCTGAGAGGTGCTTTTCGGAATCTTTGACAATGTCACCAGGAATAAGTTGCACATTCAAGTCGCGCAGTACCTCGAGCTCCTTGACTTTTCCGGGGTGGGTGGACGCGATGCTCGAGGGCCGCAGTAAAACGGCAATAGTTCCGCCATTTCGATGAGGATGCTGAGCTAGAGCGAGTAGGACCTGGTTGCCCAGCTCGCCTGCGCCAATAACGAGGATTTTCGCACTGCCAGACATACTGTATGAATAAGATAAGATTCTGTATTTTTCTTGTACTAAGCCATGCCCTCACATGGGGAGAAGCTGTGGCGATATTTATAACTATATATCACCCATGTCAGCCTCGGACTTAAGTGACTGCGTCCATATGATTGTGCATCCATGTGGACTTTTTAGGGCCATTTTTTGACGTTTTCACAGCTCGCCAAGGCGCAAAATGCATGGATCAGTACATGAGCTACTTGGATTGGCAAAACTTCTAGTCAGTTAACAAACCTCAGTAATTTAGATTGGTAAGCAAGATCCTCATTCGGCGACTTTGGCTAAAAGTTTCTCCATCTCCCCGTTAAGTGATCCCCTCAAGAGTTCTCAGGCTAGCAGGCTCGCGCATTCCTGGGGCGCTGTAGCTTCACAACTGAAACAGCCCACTCCTGGAGCCAACAGAACCGCTGAAAAAAAAGGGCGAAGTGAGTGCGCCTCCTTTTCCTTGGAATTTTCTTCACTCATGCAGAACAGATTTTTCCCCAGGAGACAGAAGCATAGCAAAATAAACAAACCATAAAAAATAATGACAGACATGGCAAGACTGGTCCGACACTGGCCAGGTGGCATTGCATTCCCCGCTGTATCAGACCCCATCACAAGGGCGATCTGTCCCTTAATCAGATCAAGGAAGAGGTCAAGGCGTGGCTCCTCTTTGTTCAAGTAAGATATTGCATCTATACACAGGGGCAGTTGAGGGACTAACAGGCAAGGTTAGGAGAGCTGGGTGTCGCGTGGGCGCGCCGCCGTCGCCGTCCTCAATAACGATGATGAATATGAATTGCGCCAACGGCGAACCCTCATCGAGCAGTGGCTTCGGCCACACAGGATTTTCGTGATGTAATCTCTCCCCAACTGGCATTGACAGGTTGAGACGTGAGTTCCAGCTAACCTGCCCGGTGTAGTCATTCATGACCGAGCTCCGATCGGGCTCCCCGGCACAGAAGGGGAACGATCATACAGTGAGCCTGAGGAAGGACTGCGATACCCGGCCGAGGCTTTGGAGCGCATACTCGACACCCACCAGCCCTGTGACGCGAACGGCGTCATGTCACTGGTGCCAGTGGATGTAAAGAACCCTATCAACTGGGCACGGTGGGTGAAATTCATCATTCTTTTATATCGATATGATATGGAGGTTGGTCACTGTCTGGAGAGTACTTACATGCCTTCAGAAGCTGTTGTCAACCCAGTCACTACCAGCACCGGCACATTGTCCATTGAGGATTTTCCTGCCTGGCTTAATCTTGAAGTTGCCCTTTTTGGGTCAGTCTATCTTACGCGCACCGGGACAGTAATCTACCTTGGGAATCCAGGCCCATATGCGCTTGTTGACGAAGATGGGCTACAAACAGGTCGCCTTGCACTGACTGTGTTCACAAATACTGGTGCAATTGAGGACTCTGTGCTTATTCGTCCTTTCAATATGCAGGAGCCGCATATGCGGTACTCTACACTTGGGAAAGGTTTAGACGATGTCAAGCACAGCAAGGGTGGGTACAGACATCAGAACCCACCGTATGCTTCCCTCTGTGCTTTTTCTCTGCTTTTCCTCCCCCGCGTAAGGGTATGCTAACAGAAACTTTCAAGACTGGATATGGACCTACCGATTCTTGACATTCTCTGTAATGCCCAAGCGGCGAACCAACTTGTCAGTGATTGGTTTTATGCGACCGTGATCAGTGGAAGGAGGATGTTGAACTCTATGCACCAGGCTACTTGGCCCTCGAAGCCGTTGGGAAGGGCGGCGAGTATAATCTTAATGATCTAGTTTCTCCAGATGTTATTGGATGTTACAATAAACCACGCGTGTGGGAGAAATTGCGGTCCGGGGCTGATCCAAGGTTTATGTTTTGAGTCGAACCTGAAAAGTCCGATTCAACGAGGACAGCATGAGTGGACGATCAGAATGTAACTTATTGCAATACTACGCGCAAAAGGATCGTTGGCCGTAGTTCTGCTATTACTGGGGTGCTTTTTAGCTGAGTTCAATCAGCCATTAGCGACAACATCGATGGGGTAAATCAGCTGGCGAACACTTCCTATGCGTCTCATCCTTGAGTCTCGGATTGCCAGTGCCACAGAAGGGCGCCGACACACGCCCTTTCGGAGACAAGAGTGAGTCACAGTATATCCAGTGTAACGGACAAATCAATGCACAAATATAGAATATATAATCAGCTCTACACCTCTGCTTTCGAGATAATGCTGTCAGTGAAACATTAATAATCAAACATCATAAAGCTCGCAATGGTGAAACTTGACACATTTGAGATTGACCATGTAAGAAAGGCAAAATGTCTCGAAGCGATGCAAATCAACTGATTAAAGAACCACAGTGGATTCTGACTCGCAGTCCTGGAGCCAAGCACAACCTCGCCCATTCATATTCCCTTCCTATCACTATTCAGGAACTCAGCGCGCTAGGGAATGACCAAGTTGAAGATGTCGATAACCCCTTGGCCAGAACTCTGTCACTGCCAATGAACTATGGTCCATCTTTCACGGGCTTCGAAAAGCTGCGCATGAATATAGCTGCCTTGTATGCCAATGAATCCGGTGCTGTCATATCTCCCAACAATATCATCACTACTCCTGGTGCATCGCTGGCGAACTTCATTGTGTTCCTCGCCCTGGTCGGATCCGGAGATCATGTCATTGTCCAATATCCAACTTACCCTCAGCTACACTCCCTTCCATCCTGTCTCGGTGCTGAAGTGAGTCTCTGGCAAGCAAGCGAGAATAATCATTGGGAGATGGACTTGGAGGAACTAGAGCGTCTCATCCAGCCTAATACTAAGATGATCGTCTTGAAGTAAGCTGTTTCCTCTCTTTTTCAGCCCGAGTCTATTCATTTGACGCTCTTCACCTCCAGCAACCCTCAGAATCCCACAGGCGCCATCATCGCCAGGTCAGCTCTCAGAAGAATTGTCGACCTAGCCCGGCGTCACTCCATCATACTTTTCAGCGATGAGATCTATCGCGCGCTGTTCCATTCCATTTCAACGGCGGACTCTGAATATCCCCCCTCCCTGCTCTCATTTGGGTATGAGAAAACAGTGGTAACGTGCTCGCTCTCAAAGACCTTTTCGCTCGCCGGGATTCGCGTGGGCTGGATAGCGTCTCACAGTTCTTCCATTCTCGATCTCTGTCTCAACGCGCGCTCCTATACGGTTATCACTGTTAGCCAGATCGACGAGTGGATTGCTGCGATGGCCCTCGAGCCTGTCCGTCTGCAGGAATTGATGAAACGTAATCTCGCACTCGCAAAGCACAATCTGGAGGTTGTGCAAGCATTTATTGACCAGCATTCTTCGGTCTGCGAGTGGGTTCGTCCAGTCGCTGGACCAGTCGGGTTTGTCAAATTTAGCCGAAATGGCCTACCTATCGATGATGTTGAACTCTGTATCCTGCTTCTCGAAAAGAAGGGTGTGTTGCTCGTGCCGGGGCAGAAATGCTTTGGAGAGATGTTCAAGGGCTATGTTCGACTGGGCTTTGGGCAAAGCACTCCGGCTTTGGAAGCAGCTTTGGAGGCGCTGGCAGCTTTCATTAGCGAGAGTTATGAGGAGGTACCCGTGGCTGAGTGGAAATGATCAGATTTTCGTGTAGTTTTGCGTCTCGTACAAAATATTTGTGCTCTCTGAGGGAGACCACTCATCTATCCCCTGCTTGCCCACCGTCAGTTTATAACAAGCATTCAAAGCAGAAACTCGGTTGCTGAGCTTTATCTCGCTATTAGAAATATATTGTTCTCAGTATTTAATACTATTATCGACGCCTCAGGACTTACGAAAACATCAAGCTCATGGTCAGGTTGAAATCTCCTGGCGCCGGGAAATCAACACATCCAAGAAAGATTATACGAACCATACCAAAACCCTGGCAGGGAGTTTGGAAAGACTCAACGGTACCTAGGTTTCGTGGAATCAATAGCCATGACTCTGGACAGCCCAGTCTTTTGGCCTTATAATCCTAGTGCTGATGGCTGGTGTGCATATGGATGAAACGGGTGTGAGATGTAACATTGTCCAAGTGTTCAAGGTCGAGATCAAGTATTGTTTGTCATGTCCTCATTAATGTAGTGTTAAATATCATAAGTCTATTATTACACATTATCTATCGTAACGAGTTGTCTCCTTGCTTGGTCTCTTCAGCACCATGGTCAATAGAGAGGATTGTGTACATCCCGAGAGCCTCGCTCAATGACCTCTTCTACGCTCCAGCGTGGGGGACTGATTAGTTTCCGGGCATTCCTGACGCTCATTCCTGGAGGCAGCGGTTCTTTCAATCCTCCCGCCACGCCTGTGGAATATTTTAAGCCCAAAACATCACCGATCTCGTCACATACTCGGAGTATGTGGTCAAGATCATCCTTGGTGTGAGCTGCAGAGACACATAGTCGGGCCCGAGAGAGCTCCAGCGGGGTCGCTGGATAGGTCACGACGACGACAGAAATCTTCCGTCGCAGCATCTCGTGGGAGAATGCTGGCATCTTGGCTGGGTTGTACAGCATGAGCGGCACAATTGGCGAATCATCATGTCCGTAGACTATAAAGCCGAGGCGTTTTAGGCCCAATCGCAAATATCGCGAATTGAACCCAAGCCGTTGTACTCGTTCGAGACCCTGACCCGGGTGAAGAGGATCCTCATCGGCGATCAGGCGCAAGGAGGAGGAGATCTGTGCTAAGACGGCGGGAGCAGGGGCCTCGCCGAAGATTTGCCCAGCATTTTTGGCACGGAGTTTTCTGATGATGGTCTTGTCTGCCGCAATGTATCCACCATTGGCACCAAAGGACTTGGTAAAGGTACCCATAAGGATATCGACCTCGGCAGGATCGACCTTGAAGAAATCGCAGACTCCCCGCCCACGAGGTCCGACCGCGCCGATGGAGTGGGCTTCATCAACGAAGAGGTAGAATTTATATCGCTTTTTAAGCTCTAAAATGCGAGGTAAATTGCACATAGTGCCTTCCATCGAATATAGACCTTCGACCGAGACCAGAATCTTCTTCCAGGGCCGGTGGGTGCGGGGTTGGCCCTGGGAGATTGCCTCTCGAAGTCGTCTCTCGAGATCAGCCATGTTGTTATGTGCAAAGACCTGGATCGCAGCTCCCGAGAGACGTGCCCCGAAGCGAATGGACGCATGGTTGAGCTCATCTGAGAGGATCAAGCATCCCTTATCCATGAGGGCAGGGAAAATCGTGGCATTGGTAACAAAGCCCATGGAGAACACAATAGCATCCTCCTTGCCTACGAACCGCGCAACCTGTTGTTCAACCTCAGCATGAAGCTGTGGAGTGCCGGGTTCTGCAACTGAGCCGGCCATGGTGATCCCATTTTGACGAATGGTTTCTTCGGCGAGGTCCGAACAGGGACCCTCGGACTGCGCAAATCCGAGATAGTTGTATGAGCTCAGGTTCAACGTGTCTGTGGTCGTCCCTCTTAGCCGGAAATGAAGGTTATCATCCGATTGCTGATCCAACAAAGTGATATATCTCCCTGGAACCCCGGTGGTCGGTCGCTCGAAACAGTCATTGATCCGCCGCTTCATGCGTCGCGTATAGAAGCTCTCGAAATCACTGTACAACGAGGCATAGCCATTCTGCGGGCGGAGGTGCTTGTAAGTGTGAGATCGAAAGTACTTGTCGCAAAAGTCATGGAAGTGGCCGAGGAAGATCAAAACGAGGAAGCTGATGTAGGTTGTGAGAGCAGTAAAGTATGGCGGCTCGTCGAGGATCGGGTCGGGGATTTCGCCGCCGCTGTGTTTGCTCACGTACAGATGCGACGGATCCCCAAGGGAACCAAACTCGGCGTGCTGCTTTGCCAATCTCTGCGCTTCGGCTTCACTGCAAACCTCACCAGAGACTGCTTGGAGGGAGGTAAGGGCGACGGATTGAGATTCAGATGCGCTCCGTCCGGTCTCGCCTGGTGTTGCTGGTGTTGTCGATGAAGTCTGGGAGCCAGTCACGCTGGTACGAGGTTTTTCTTTGCGTTTCCATCGTGGCATGATGGGAAACCGAGATTGTGGAGGAGAGATCCAGTCGTGATAAGGCAGAGGGATGGACGTTCTTGGAGGTTGAGTTTGGAAAGTGAGAATGGTTGCCTAAAGCTGACGATGGAGTAGAAACCTGAGGCAGCAAACTCCACAACATATGATGCTCGGCATTTGCGGAGTCTGGATGACCGACTTCCGACTTCCGACAGTTCCGACGCCTCTACCTTGCATCTTATTGGTTGAGATGAGCTGCACTGCCATCACAATCACATGACCTACATGTGTTCACCTTTTGTTGATCAGCTAGGACGGTAGGTTCAGTCAGTCTACTTCGTATGAATGTGGATTTCCATGATCAGTATGCAAATAAGATGACATGTTGCAGGTGGTCTCTGACAGCTTCGAGTTCTCACTCCGTGCAAAGCTGTCTAGACTGTAGCCTAGAAATATCCGATCGACAATGGTTGTACTTCTTCAACGTTTTACCCACTTCATAAGGTCAATAATCCATAGGGTCACTTCAAGCTCATAGGCAATGAGATCAGCTATCATCTAAAGTATGTTAAATAACCACCAATTCAGTTTACTGATGAGCATGCAATGAAAACTTCAGTAACCAAGTGACAGAGGAATATATCTCATAACCCCCATCCAAGGCAGCAGTAGGCATTCTATTGGTTCAAATATAATGCAACAGTAGACCCCACTCTCTAGGTCCTTCAAGAAGTCGGACATCCGCCGGAGCGCCGCATGCTCTGTTGGTTAGCGGAAACATATGGGTCCATTTGGAGCTTCAGATGTAACGTTGACAAGTTTGCCTTATGATAGATACATCCTCAGCTCACCTAGTTACACAGTGATACAATGCAGATCGTTATCTATCAAAGCAAGCTTCCCAAGCGAGGCGAAGCTTTGCTCCACATTTCTTGGAGATGTGCTTCCCCATAGGATGAGATTATTGCTCAGAGTGAGCGGGATACAAGTATTCCTCCCAATTAAAAAGCATGGGTTCCCCAATAGTAACTGCTGCTTGATGGTTTAATCCTGTCAAAATGCGTTTCGCAGTCAGTGCCATCACCCTGCTCGTGGCGAGCACCACCCTGGCCCTGGAAAATCCTCATCGCAAAGCAGCCAGACCAATCAAGGTAGACCATGGGCATCTGAAGACCCGGGCTGCCACTCTCGCAGATAAAGGAGGCTATCCGTATCTGAATCAGAAGACAAAGCGTGAGTTTAATCTACCCACAAGCCTTCCTCATCTGATGATTGTCAGGATTTCTGGTAAATGGCACGGGCATCCCCGAGGTAGACTTCGACGTGGGTGAATCTTATGCTGGCACTCTTCCCAACACGCCAGCTGGAAATTCCAGCCTATTCTTCTGGTTCTTCCCGTCTAAGAACCCCAAAGCACATGACGAGGTAGATGGAAACCCAGCATCAAAACTGGTAGACCTGGCTGACAGTCGGCAGATCACGATCTGGCTGAACGGAGGCCCTGGATGTAGTTCTCTTGACGGATTGCTGCAGGAACATGGGCCTTTTCTCTGGCAGTCTGGCACCTACAAGCCCATCCGCAATCCATACTCCTGGACCAACCTGACCAACATGGTCTATGTGGATCAACCGGCCGGAACTGGCTTTTCCCCCGGTCCGTCGACCGTAAACAATGAGGAGGATGTTGCAAGGCAGTTTAAGAGCTGGTTCAAGCACTTCGTTGATACCTTTAACCTGCATGGCCGCAAGGTGTACATTACTGGGGAAAGTTATGCTGGACAGTATATTCCCTACATTGCCTCGGCCATGCTGGACGAGAAAGACAAAAAGTACTTCAATGTGAAGGGCATCCAGATCAACGATCCGTCCATCAACGAAGATTCTGTCATGATATACGGTATGCACATCTTCTGCTATATCTCATGATTTTCAAGGCTAATACATCGATTAGCCCCCGCTGTGAGCCACCTGAACCAGTACCTGAACATCTTCTCCCTCAATGATACCTTCGTCAAAGATATCAATGAACGTGCTGAGAAATGTGGATACAACAAGTTTCTGGAGGAGGCGCTCACCTTCCCACCTCCAAAGGAATTCCCTGTTGCCCCAGACCCGTCCCAGAACAACTGTGCCCTCTGGGATGAAATCGTTGAGGCGGCCTACTATGTCAACCCCTGCTTCAACTTCTACCATCTCACCGACTTCTGTCCGTATCTGTGGGACGAGATGGGCTTCCCCTCCCTGGCCGGAGGCCCCAACAATTATTTCAATCGCTCGGACGTTCAAAAGGCCCTTCACGTCCCTCCGACGGACTACTCCGTCTGTGGGGAAAGCACCATCTTTGCTAAAGGCGATCAATCTGTCCCCAGCGCCCTTGGTCCTCTCCCTAGTGTGATCGAGCGTACTAACAATGTCCTTATCGGACATGGATGGCTCGATTATCTGCTATTCGTGAACGGATCTCTTGCCACGATTCAGAATATGACATGGAACGGGGCACAAGGCTTTCAGCAGCCCCCTGTAGAACCCCTCTACGTGCCCTATCATTATGGCCTTGCAGAGCTCTGGACATCTAATGCGCCGAATCCGTACGTTTTGGATGCTGGGGCTGGATATTTGGGTACGGCGCACACCGAGCGCGGCCTGACATTCTCAACAGTCTATTTAGCCGGCCACGGTAAGAGAATCCTCTATATCTACATGTTTCATGCTGACCAGCGCAATAGAAATCCCGCAGTATACGCCTGGAGCAGCTTACCGTCAATTGGAATTTCTGCTCGGTCGCATTGACAGCCTGTCGTCGCCTGGAAACTATACTGCTTAAGGGCCCAGGCTTCACTCAAAGCGGAGGATCAACAGGGCAGCAGATGTTCCATCTCTGCCATGTGGACTGGACTTCTTTTTGAAATTATCGCGATCCATGGAACGTCGATGAAGTATAGAAAATTTAATGTTGACCATCATGGGGAAGTGTCTGATGTCATTATTGAGCCGAGATTATCCCCACACTCGCAAAAGTCTCCAAATATTCAAAAATCAAAATGACTGCCAACCTTCTCCGAGTGTATAATTGAAAGACCGAAAGTAGGATGATTCCTCGAGAATACATCAATAAATTGCGGCTGCTCGCACCGCGTGTTCAGTATGAGTACGCAAGACCCTTTATTTATCGCCCAAGAAGCCGTCTGTTTCTATCCTATCAGCACCATCTATGATTCCTGTCCGCGTTATCTCTTCTACGCTCTTCTTCTGGCCAGCTGCGTGACACGATGGACAGGATGGTTGGCCGACGTCCTCCTAGGCGCTGCAGCTACATACGCAGGAGTCGCAGCCATCCAGGCGTTCATTCTCGTTTCGAGCCCCTCGTCGGCCGTGGACCCAGGGTCGGTTACAATCCCATATCTTCCTCAGAATACCAGCCTTTGGAGTAGTTTTCCTCAGCTCATCACGGAGAGAGACTCTGTGATGGTCCAGCCAGCCGCTCTGGAGTTGGACGCCGATGCAGTCACTGCTATTGTAATCACAGGCTATCTCGTGTTTCTGCCCTTGCAATGCTGGTCCCGCGTTCTCTCACAGGAGCGCATCCGAGTTATCCTCTTCTACCTCTGGAATATCTTGATGTTCGCAGGTTCCATTTGCGGGTTGATCTACTCAAGTACGGAAAAAAACACGGCGACCCAATACATGTTCTGCTATCCTGACCTGCCTCCGTTCGACGAAACATCCAGTGATGGGTGGCAAAGCTCGTGGCGAACATCCACTTGGAACAATAGTGTCTGGAGCATATTCTCCAATAGCACCCTCTGGGGCCAGCTGGGTGACATCTGCTTCAACCCTTGCTTCAACACCAGTCAGGTTCTTCGCCAGCAGACTTCATTGGACGTGTGGGTTGCGACCAGCAGCTCGGAACTGGACCATCCACACTCGTTCTGGAACAAGTTTGTCTATTCTCGGCGTTACATTTACAGTCTCCTTGGCGTCACTGTCATCTTGAACATCATCCTGCTTGTGTCAAGATTCTTTCCCTACAGCTCTCGAATCCCGTCCGTGCAGATGGTAGTTGTTTGGAAAGAACGCAAGGCCATATGGAACGGCTTTCGGGAAGGCTTTTCCCTAATCAAGGCACTTGCAAATACACAGCCATGTCCTGCTGCGGGCCAAAACGACTATCCATCACACAAGGGCTCTACTTGCCGCCGGGTTCGATCCGTCCTAAGCAGGCACTTTGCCACAGAATGCCTCCGTCTATTGGCAGACTCACTCCTTCTCATTGGCCTGTTACTCAGCATCATTATCAGTCCGTTGACACTGATCGCGTTTGTCGCCTGGATTGAATGGTACATTCACAATGATGGACCGTCCCAAGAAAATCCTCAGCAGGTTGGACAATGGTCGTACTTGGTTTCAATTGGGCTGTTACTCATCTCGGCGTTGATCCTGAGATGGAAGTATCACGTTGCTTCAACTCAAGAATTGGACGATGAAATATGCACGCTCAGAGCGCGCTTGACGGATGTGGAGAGAAGAAGGCTGTTGCATGCAGAAGCTGACAGACATGCTGAGCCCACTGGATAGAAACAAGGAGGCAGTCGATAGTCATACATTATTGGCCGCTGAGCGCCCTTCACTTCATCTTTGAAATTGGAGACTATATAGGACGATATGCCTGATGACGCGGTTACTGCAGGTGCGTACGGTTATTAGTTTGGCTAACATCGATATATGCCCCCCTAGAGTTCAAGGCTTGTTCCAGTGTCCCTTCTGGCACTTTAGGATTATCGTGCCAGGTGTCACCAACTGGCGTCGATTTCGGCTCCATATCTTCCCCGAATTCTGGACCTGGAGGTTGGAGACTGTCGCGAAATTCTCCTTCCAACTACTCGATCCGATATTGGCATTCCCGATGTAAGAGTGTCTGGGATTAAATTGACGAGGCGGGTCGGGTCATCTTGGAAAAGGGGCAATTGCTTCATCGTTCTCTTGCTGTGCGTTGGATTTGTGAGTAGAGTCTTCACTGCAGGGCTCAATGATGTGTCGTCAACAATGCCGTGGAAGCAGTCCAGTACGACTTTCAAATCCGCCAACGTCTTGGGGTTATCAAAGAGAGAGATAGTATCGATGATGCAGTAGACGGTAGTCTCCTTGGGAAACTGTGCTATAAGATAGTACAGCAAGTCGCATAGACACAATAAGTCGTGCCTTTCGAGGCCTTCGACAAAGTCCCAGTCGTCGATAAAGTCGAGGCCACAGCGGTTCATCTCCAACAGCCTCACCAGCAGCTGCATTGTGAGAAAGCGAACCAGGCCCTTCGGACCGTACCATGCGTCCTTAGGTAAGAAGTGCTGGCCACAGAAAGAGAAAACGACGACGTCCTTCGGATGTGCAGTCATCATACTGGTGACCAAGGTGGCACAGAATACGGACATAGGGGTTGTCTTGGGCATGCCGGGGTCGTCAATATTTGCATCGACGAGAATAAGATCCGATGCTGGGCGATTGAGCCATCCCAGAACTCGATTGTTTCTCAACACTGACTCTTGCACCTGCCCCTGAGTCTCTGGGTCCAGCTTGCCCTTGTACAAAAGGCATTTTTGCAGGTCATCGTTTGGTCGTTGGAGCATTTGTCTCAGGCCTGCCAGCTCACAGTTGCCCGAAAGCGGTAGCCCCGTGACGATGTAGAGGAGCTGATCACCCTTGATGAGCTCTCTGGACTTGCGGGTGTAACGAATTTCTCGCCGCAGCCTTTCAATCTCGGTACGCTGTCCTATTGTTCCTCACGGTCAGTGTCATCCAATTGATGGCCTCAAACAAGGGAAAAGATCCATCCTACTCTTAGACTCCAGTAAAATCTGGAGGACTTCATTTCTGGTTATGACCTGGCCTGTCTCTTGCTCCCTTATCATCAGGCTATTCTCTCTATTGTTCTCCCTTTCGACAATTTTCTGTGTATTTGCCCTAATTTGATCAAGCATGCTGTGGAAAGCCTCATAGCCCTTTTTGTAGTCCTTATCCCGCTCATCCTGCTTCTCACTGAACACTCTCACGCTCTCGTTTGTCTCCAGAATATTACGATGCATGCGGGGCAGTCTCATTGCCATTGACTGAGTCATAAGCCCTGTACCTTCAATCACATTGTCTCGTACCAGATCGACCACGCGTTCGAATTCCTTTCGAGCTTTTTCCAGCTTGCCCAAAATCGCGTCAGGATCTGGTGGTGGTGTCCGATGCCTGAATTTGGGGGCAGTGGCCAGTCTTTGTCGCCAGGGCGTCTTTTGTTTAGACGTCAGTAAGATCATATCCTCGATGCACTCCACGATCGACTGGTTCAAATGGTCCGCACAAACACAGATCTCCTCGTTGCTCCGGAAGCTCCTCTTTGCCGGATCGGCCCGAACAAGTGCTTCTCGGATAGCCTCGAAGGTCTTTTCGATCTTTTGCCGTCTCTCTGCTGATTTCTCGGCCAGCTACGGGATTTAGCATGTGGACGTTTGGCCAGGACTGCAAGGCATACCTTGAAGATCACTGCCAGACCAGTCTTGACGACGGCCAGCCCATACTCATTGGGAATGAGGGCAACCCATGCATCCAGAGTATCTTTGCTGTCACCTACATGGTACCATAGCGAATGCCAGAACGCCTTTTGCCGGTCCGTGTATTGAGCCTCGGTGTTCGCGAGCTTCTCAGCTAGCTCCTCCAGTTTCTTTGCGTCTTCCTGGAACTCCAAGCCCAAATTCGTTGGCAGGTAGCGTTTCAGAAGTTCTTCGAGCGACCTGTGCGATTTCTATTAGACATTTATTCCGACCTACAAGACATTGATGATACGAATTCTCCTTATTCTCACAGTCAAACACTCACTTGTGAAAGTTCGGTGGCACGAATTGGCGCTCATCATCGTCATATCTTGAGGATCCCGCCATTGCAATGTGGATATCAGGGCCCTCAGCACTGATAAAAGCGGCAGCCTGTGCGGTTAGCCTGCTCGCGCCAGGATCTCCTGTCCTCAACGCCATGATTGAAGATCCCAAGCCGGGCTGACTTTACGGATGACAGTCAAATAGAGCCTGTGAAGTGCGGGGCCATAATCATATACGCAACTTGCTGCTTATCGGAATCGAGTCCTCGGCGGACTTGACGGCTTCAAGAGAGACGTGGAATGGCCTTATTGGCGCGCCGTCATTTGCACAGCTGCAGGATGCATTTCAGCTCGTGTCCCGCTATGACTTGGGAACAATTCTCGCCAATGATAGCCTCAAAATAATCTGTCAGCCTCGCCTAAAATGTAAATGCCTGCGCATATTCTCACTATTAAGAATCAGCCCCTTCTTAGCGCGCCATCTAGTCCCACCACAGTCAGCCATGTTAGCTGGGCTCAGATTCTCTTTTATATTCACGCAAGTCTCTGATCATCCTCACGCTTTTCCTGCCGTGAGATCTTGTTCTAGAATCGGAAAAGATGGCCACAGCCCAGGCACCAGGCAGGGCACTTTCCCCAGAACCCCAGAGAATGTTACGCAGGCGCCCGACGCAAAAGCTCCTGGCTGATAACTTGAGTTTTGAAGAAGAAGAGCAGATAAATAAGGAAAGACAGGCGAAATGGGAGAAACAACGCCAGCAGATGCCGTGGAAGGTAGAAGTGCAAACCCTGGACTACCATCACTTCAAAAACCGGTATTCCCTCGAAGATGGTCTGGCTATCATTGAGGTCCTCCAAGGCCACTACAGCATCTACAACGAGGTCTGGCATGAGAACAATCGTCGTCGACTAGGCTTTATATACCCAGAGACACCGGTTGAGTTGGAGAATGAGGGCACTTGGATCCAGCGGGTTCGAATACAATCTCCCGAGCTTATCCTCCTGCTCTCCCGACTCACCGGCCATCGAGACCTGTGGGCCAAGCGAGGCCCTCGCGTCTTCTTCCGGCCGTTCAGCGCGTTCTACTACTATTTGCCAAAGATGAAAGAGTGTCTGGCGATTCTGGAGTCACGCTGGTGCGACAAGGTCGATGAATCACATCAAGACCCGATCGACTCGACCCGATGGACCCCCAAATTCACCCCCTCAAGCCATAAAGATATTTCCGAACCGGAAGATGAGAGCTTTCGACCCAGGACGCCGGCCGAGTCAGTCATCGGCCCCATTGCAGATTCTGTGACCGCGCTGCGCCACGTTCGCCTGTTTGTCGAGTTCGTAGAAACCGAGATCGTCCCCTTGTGGAAGCGAGCTGCCGGCACGACGCATCGCAAGGTCCCCTTTGCGGACCTGTGGATGTCATATCAGCCCGGCGAACTGCTCTATGTGGCATCACCCTCGGAAACAACCCAGGGTCAAATCTGGCCGGAACCCCTTTTCATGTCTCAGAATATCTGGCGACTGCACACGATCAGCCGCGACCAGTTCCAGGAAGTGTACAATTGCGACATGGCTCCGGGCTCCGTCCAGGAACTGGATCTCTGGAGCTATTATATCGATTTTAATGGGGTGTCGTATGAGCCGTACACTCGAAGGTTCAGTGTCAAGGCGTATGATGGGCTGAAGGACATCACCACGCTGCAGATCTACCCCTTGCGCTTTCACAAGGACGCGGAGAAGCTGCTAGAGAGCCGCCGGGAGCTGGGACAGATGTTCCAAAAGACGCTAATGGAGAAGCATCTCTACTACGAGGGGTGGACTCTAATGCACGAGCCCACAGAAAACCCTCAATCGCAGGATCGAGGGAATTCCGAACATATCGAGGGTCAAGTGATGGTTGACTTTGTCGAGGGACACAAGTCGGACAGCGAGCTCGCCTCGAAATCTGACCAGACCCTTACTGGATGGGGAGCGAATGACTGGCCAGAGGGGGAAGACACCATCACCATCAATCATTGGCATCAGTGGACCGGCGAAGACGAGGAAGAGTCAGAAGACGAAGCCGGAGGCAGAGGCCATGGTAAGACATATGATCCTGGTTTTGAGCTGGTGAAGGAGGAGCACGACAGCTTGCAGCTTACCGAAGAGTTTGCTGGGATCCTCAGCGACCGCGACATCGAAACCAACACCTTCCTCCGGGCATACATCGGTGGCAACGCGACGCACATCGCCCCTGATGACCTTGTCCTACTGCCGCGTCGCGTTGTTGCCTACGCCTTTCGGGACCGGCGATTCGTGCGTCTGGACGTGAAATATTTGCAGCCAATCCCTCCATCCGAGAATGTCTTCAAGAATCTGCGAATAAATGAGGAGCATAAGCGGATGGTCCGCGCTTTGGTCAAGACGCACTTTCAGAAGGAGAGGCTCAACCTGGACCTGATTCGGGGTAAAGGCTCGGGGTTGGTGATTCTTCTGCATGGCGCGCCAGGAGTGGGCAAGACCGCCACGGCAGAGGCTGTCGCCCAGGCGAACAAGAAGCCTCTCTTTTCCATTACTTGCGGGGATCTTGGCTTCCAGGCTCAGGACGTGGAGACAAGTCTCAAGGAAATCTTCCGACTAGCTCATCGGTGGGACTGCGTGCTCTTGCTTGACGAAGCCGACATCTTTTTGACTCGTCGAAATTTGAGTGACCTTGTCCGCAATGCTCTCGTATCAGGTATGTGGTCTCTGAGAGCATGTCTGTCTCACATTCCTGAAGATTTCGATAGTTTTCCTTCGGATGCTGGAGTACTACAGCGGGATTCTGTTCCTCACCACGAACCGGGTAGGGATCATCGACGAGGCCTTCAAGTCGAGGATCCACGTCAGCTTGTACTATCGGCCGCTTGACAGAGAACAGACACTCGCCATTTTCAAAAACAATATCCGCAAGCTGCGCAAGGTGGAAGCGGAGAAAGAGCGACGACACGCCTCGGATCCCGACGGCCCTCAACGACCAATTCTGGACATCGACGAGAAGAGTATTCTGCACTATGCTGGGTGGCACTATGACAACCATGTGCAGCACCGATGGAACGGTCGACAGATTCGCAACGCGTTCCAGATCGCCTATTCGTTCGCGCATTTCGATATTCAAAACGGGCCAGAGACGTGGCAGAAGGAAGCGGAAGAGGGAGACGATCCGGTTGATACCGATAGTGACGAGGGCAAACAGGTTGATTTCGCTGTGACCAATCCAGTCCTGGATTACCGGCATTTCCTTCTCGTCGCAGACACCATCCGACGATTCGACAACTACCTTTGGGAGACCACGGGCGAGACGGAGGAGGAGCAAGCGCTGAACTGGAGCCTGCGGGCCGATGATTACAATCCGGACGAGTGGGATGATGGCCCGGTCTATCAGCCTATGGGTCGTCAGACTCAACGCCGCGGATACGGCTCTTCATCCCGGGGGTCGATGAGGGGCAGGGGCCGTCCTCGGGGAGGGTCATTTAGAGGCAGCATGCCACAGGCTGGACGTGGTGTCCAAAGAGAGCGATCTCCTGTCCCGGAGTATCAGCCGCCGTTCAAGGCTCCGCTGTCTCACCAGCAAGCAGCTCGAGCTCAACCCATGATAGGAGCAGAATCATCATCCTACGATCGACTGTTCGGTCCGGGTGCACGCTCCGATAGACCTCGGGCGCCTCCTCAGCGGCGGTCAGAGCAGCACTCCTCGGTGCGGAACGTCCATTCTAGCAATGAGGCTCATTATGCTTATACGGAGGACTACGGTGATGAATTCGAGGAATTTGAAGAAGAAGGGTACGATGAGTATGACCAACACACAGGTCCAGCAAGGGAAGCGCGTGTGGGAGCTATCCGGGGATAGAGTGCCATGGAGAAAGTAATTAGAAGAGCGAAACCTATATATGATCCACCCATGATGTAGCAAGGCAGACCACATCAACCGACATACCTTTTATCTTTCTTAAAGATTTTGTTCTCCTCGGTGTCTATTTCATCGGCAGATATACGAAACGGGAAAGTGCCGAGATCGGAGAATCCCCGCAGCATCGACTTCTTTTCCATCGCATCGGCGCTTCTCCTGCAACTTCCATCGTGTCCTTGCTAGAGCCCTTCGAATTGAACAAATCATCAGGATACTGCTCGACTACTCGTATTGGATTGTCCATCCAATAGATCTTTCATGTCTTTAGACGAGGACTGAAGAGACCTGCATGTGATTTATGATGCTGTCTAGACGCCTCGGACGGCTCGTTCATTCTTCCAGACAAACCAACCAGAATGTAAAAATACATCGACCGTTCATGTCTAGCAGGTCTCTCTTATCCAGAAAGCAAAACAGCATTCCAGCAGCGTATTACCGCGGGGGGACGTCGCGCGCCATCTTCTTCCGAAAAGAGGATCTACCGTCCGAACAACAGCAGTGGGATGGTATCTTCCGCGGTACCATCGGCAGTCCCGATCCATATGGACGCCAGTTAGATGGAATGGGGGGCGGCATCTCTAGTCTGTCCAAGGTGTGCGTGGTCAGCAAATCCGATCGGCCGGATGCCGACGTTGATTATACCTTTGTTTCGCTAGGGGTGAAGAACATGGATGTCGATTATTCCAGCAACTGTGGGAATATGATCAGTGCGGTTGGGCCATACGCAGTTGATACTGAACTCTTTCCCGTGGCTGGCGAGGCCAATGACACTGTCTCTGTCCGTATATTCAATACCAACACCGGCAAAGTCATCAGGTCTACGTTCCCTGTAGTCGACGGGGAGGCTGCGGCTGCGGGTGAATTTGCTATCGACGGCGTGGCCGGAACAGGGGCTCGAATTCGACTCGATTTCATTGATCCTGCAGGCTCAAGGACGGGAAAATTGCTGCCAACTGGGAAGGTTGTCGATTGCTTTGACGACATTCCCGCATCATGTATCGATGTGGGCAATCCATGCGTTTTTGTGTGTGCTTCTGACCTGGGAGTTCCAGGGAATCTGGCACCAGATGAGATCGACTCACATCCTACCTTACTCCCCCAGTTAGATTCTATCCGTCGACAAGCTGGCGTGAAGATGGGACTGGCTGAAACACTGAAGGAGGTACCGGGGAGTGTTCCCAAGATCTGCCTTGTTTCGTCGCCGTCAGATTCTTATACTTCCGGCATGATGCAGACGTCAAAGGATGTCGATCTGGTGGTTCGCGCTCTTTCCGTCGGCCAGCCGCATAAAGCCGTTCCCATCACCGTCGCTTTGGCTCTAGCGGCGGCTGCCAGAGTGTCCGGCACTGTTGTGGCCGACGTGGTAAGCAAAAAACCCGTCGATCCTGCGGGCGTTACTTTAGGCCATGCCAGTGGCAGTCTGCTGGTCAGCGCCGAATTCGATGCCGAAGGTCATTTACGCTGTGCGACAGTCTATCGAACAGCGCGTCGGATTATGGAGGGGCGTGTCTTCTGGAAAGATACTTCCGCTTGAACACCTGGAATGATATAAATTGTTCTAAATATGGAGTTGCCAGGCTGAGTTTGGCAACTTCCACATTGTCACGAGATTTGTATATGCCGTTTAAAGCCAAACATACGACTAGTGAGATTCTGTTCCACATATATCCATTGCTTAATATCATAAATGGAGCTTCCTTACTTCATTTTACATCCTCCATCCGAAGGCAGATTCGTCAAAGGCAGTGCTGGCTGCGCCTCCCTAAGCCACCAGAAGCATTAGGCAAGGTAGGTCACAAAGCCTGTGTTATATAAGGATCAATGGGTGATACTACGCACTTTCAAAGTTCAAGTACCAATACTATCTTTCAGTTCACTATGACAGCCACCCAGCACGCCCTCCTTCTTCCTGAAATTCGCTGTTCTATCATCGCGTGGGTATGGGAAGGGCTAGACGACCTCGGCAACATCAGCGACGAGAAGCGGGAGAGAGAGATACATACAAGACAATATACCCTTCTGTGCTGTGGTCTAGTCAACAGAACCTGGTATCACGACGCGATGCCCTTGCTCTGGAAAGACCTCCATCCGTCCTTCTACTGGCATAATCTCCCAAAACATTTCCGGTCCATTACACCGGATCGTCGCCAGTTTTACGCCAACTTCGTAGAAAAGGCACTGCTTGATGCTGTCAAGGATGAAAATGACGAGAATGATGAAATCTTACAAGGGCTGGCGTTTCCTAAACTACGATCGCTCCATCTATTCGTGGACTACCACGACGGATACATTCCCCGGATTCAAGCTCATCGTATCGAAGAGCTTGACGTGGTTCCCCGACATCATGCATACCCAATAAGGATGGTGGACGCAGAAGTCATGAGTGCGATATTGGAGCAAATCCCGGTAAGTTTCAGGACCCCCGCTAGGCTGCCTCGCATTCACCAGCTCATTGAAGACAAGGTTGTATTCCCCGATGTCAGGAACTTGGTATTCGTGGACTGTGCACCGGTTTACAGAGGAGCTCCGCAGCGGTTGGCTGCTCGGCTTCCACGACTCGAGAAATATGATCATCGTTACTTAGGGGAGGTGAGGGAGCGATGACTGCATCCGTACCCTTTATGCGCATGGCTTCTGAGGAATGGAACGGGGATCGAATGGACCACAATGTACTTACAGATCGGCCATCTATAGACGGGATTAGACCTTCTTTTAGCTCTTTTCTTCATTGAGCATCCTGACCAGCACCTTCTCCAACCGACTGACTCCTTCGGTCAATTCTCTTTCGTTCTCCCACACGAAGCAAAGTCTCAAACATTGATCCTGATACGTTGAGAATTGATCCCCAGGGACGACAAACAGGTCGCCATTTCCGACCATCAGATTCTCCTCCCGCAGTGCTCTTTCAGTGACATTGCGAGCAGTGAGTGGCTGGGGTAATTTGATCCACACGCAAAAGCCTCCAGCACGCAATGAATCACTTGTATCCGCATGTATCTCAACTCCCAGGGGACACAGTCTCTCCTTGACCGCCGATGTCAAAGAGGAGTGTCGGCGAGAGTATGTCGGGATTAACACCTCTCTTATATGCTTCGTGACGGATCCCTCTTGTAGCATTTCATCAATGAAGGTCGACATGAGTTGAGATGGAGAGCCCCCTGACACTGTAGAGCCTCTGTATGATACCAGTTTAGCCAAGACAACAGTCATAGTTGGTAGGCAGAATGTCTTACACTTGTGACAGGCCATACACTAATTGAGGCTCTCCCTCGGCCCATCCAACGCGACACCCAGGGGCAACAATTTTGCTAAAAGTCCCATTGCTGACGACGTTACCAAAGCTATCTCGTGGTCCACCATCAAGCGTCCGATCCAGATCGACGACGCGAGGTAGGATGGATCCCCATGAATTTCCATTATCTGAACAATGAGCGGCGGGCCAGTGCAGAAAGTCGTAGACGTCGTCACAAATTACTAGAGCATTGAATTTGCGAGCTAAGCGGACAAGAGCCTCTCGCCTTCGAAGAGACATGGTGATGCCTGTGGGATTGGAGAAGTTAGGCACGCAGTAAATGACGTGTTTAAATATCTTCCGGTAGCTTTCGGGACGCTTGTATCCTTCTGCCTATGTGATTTTTAGCTTTAGTATTTTCTTGAAAATGGTTTCTTCAGCTCACCCTCTCTGCAACCGCCCCGTCTTTAGCGAGAGCGCGTTCAAGAAACTCCATGTCCATCCCCTCCTCATCCTCAGGAACAGCCCTTAACCTGCGGTAGAACCCTGCATCCTCAAAGATTCTGAATCCAAGATGATAGGACGCCTGTGGCATCCATATGTACCTTGTTTGTGATGGATCAGTGAAGACTTGCAGGATATTCGCCAAGTTCTGGCTCGCTCCTCCGGTTACGCAGATCCGATCCGCTTCAATCGGCTGAGAGGGTTTGTAGTATCCCGTAAGCCACTCGGCAAGATGAGTCCTGAATGGAAAATGACCTTCATCCGGCCCATAGTCCAAGCCGGTTACTGTGACTTCCGGCTTCGACAATGCCGATACCGCAGCATCACTTAGGCGCTGGGTGGGAAGAAGAGCCGTGGCGGGCGACCCTTTTAGCAAATTAATACAATGTGTCGAAGACATTGAAAGCACAATGAGAAAGACAGAAGCTTGTTGAGCACGGAGATCCACGAGGGCTCTGACGGCGTTTTATATACTGATGACGGTGTTGAGATTGGCTGGGAAAGCAGAATTTCCATTTTGGGTAATCGAGGCGATTCAACCAATCACAGCACGCCAAGCAATGGACCTCATGGGACCCATTCGGCACCAGACGACATGTACTCCGTATGTCCATGACACCATTGCAGCTGCTTAGAAATATAAATTCTTCTTCCTTCTTCTCTTCCTCCTTCTTCTACGTCCAAACTCGATTGTGACTCATTGTCCCGCACAAGACAGCAACAGAATGGTGCACATCAAAGAGTTCGCTGTAGAAAAGGCAAGTGGACCGCTGCCAGGTCGCAGGAGTTGATGACTGACTTCCACAGTGGATGGACGAGCATGAGACATGGGCAACTCATAATCTCGCTGAGACCTGCTGTGCCTCTGTCTCACTCGACGATCTTCTGGCCTTCGCGGGGAACAAGGATAGAGCCAGCGTTATCGACTTCTCCCAGAAGCAAACCTATGGCGCAATACGGGGCACTGATGCCTTGCGCTCGAACATCGCCAACCTGTATCGCGACGACCAATCCGAGCCATTGTCGAAAGACAACATCCTTATCACGAATGGCGCTATCCAGGCCAACTTCCTAGCTCTATATACCAATGTTGCTCGGGGTGACCATGTCATCTGCCACTATCCCACCTACCAACAGCTCTACTCTGTTCCCGAGTCCTTCGGTGCGGAGGTCAGTCTTTGGAAGGCAGACGGGCAGAACGGATGGCGGGTCAACTTGGACGATCTGCGATCGCTGATCAGACCGAATACCAAGGTCATCATCATTAAGTGGGTACTCTAGCAGCCACCAAGTTACTGCGAGAGGAAGTGAAAATGGGCCTGACAAATTCGTAGCAACCCTCAAAATCCTACCGGAGCTGTCCTAAGCCGTGATATCCTGCAGGAGATTGTGAACATTGCGCGTCAGCATGGCATCATCATTCATAGTGATGAGGTGTATCGGCCGCTTTTCCACTCCCTGCAGGACGAGCAGGAAGAGCCGCCTTCCATACTCTCCTTCAATTATGAGAATACCATTGCCACTAGCTCAATGAGCAAGGCTTTCAGTTTGGCCGGGATTCGACTGGGCTGGATTGCATCCAGAAGCCGGGAAATCATAGAACAGTGCGCGTCCGCCCGCGACTACACCTTGATTTCGGTCAGCCAGATCGATGACCGGATTGCTGCATGCGCATTGTCAGAGCCAACGGTGGGCAACATTCTCAAGCGTAACCTTGACCTGGCAAGAGGCAATCTCGATCTCCTTGATGGCTTCCTCAAGGAATTCGCCTGGGCTGCGCAGTGGGTCCGACCACATGCGGGCACCACAGCGTTCGTCAAGTTCGTCAATAAGAACAACCTTGCAGTTGATGATGTAGAGTTTTGCAAGCGTTTGCAAGAGGAATGTGGAGTGATGTGCGTGCCAGGCAGCAGGTGCTTCGGAGAAGATACAAACTTCAAGGGCTATGTCCGCATTGGCTATGTGTGTGAGCGTCAGGTCCTGATTGACGGTCTGAACGCCTGGCGAAAATTCATGTCTGATGCTTATCACTCTCTGCCAGTGGCCATTTGAGGAGTATTAAAGTAAATAGTCCCAACTGCCAAGTAGTTAGGGCGTAACAGGAATGACAAACACGACGTACTCGGGTCAAGTAGAGGAATCATCACAATGTCACAGAAAATAATATCCGTTGTCCATAGTTTACCTCGTGGGATGCTGAGACTTGATGGTAGTATAGGCTGCATGGCATTCAAAAGAGGACAAGTTCCAAGCCAGACTGTGCAAAATAGACATCCCAGCGCGAGGGTGCTCCCAACTCCCAGTAACGAGCAAGAGCATCCCTTGCTCTAGTAAAGTTCCCCATACCCATGGTCTGCATATTCAACATCCTTGTTTGGATAGATTGGCGTTCGCAAAGATCATCGGTCTCACAACCGGCGCTGAAAATGGGCCACAGGATGAGGACGTTTGCCGGTGAGAATGGTCTGATTATCTGGACGTTGTCGAGGATGGCCGCGACCTGTGCCCTGGACTTGGGATGACTTTTGGGAAGCAATTCAACTCGACGATAAAGGTGCAAAAGTGCGGAGTGGATGAAGGCGAGATGTGTGTTGTGCAGTTCGGACGCGAGAACTTGATCATGGGACGCGAGTGTGGCCGCGGACGGAGACTGGTTGGCAATGGAGATGATTTTTCTCTCGAGATCTTGTGCCTCATCTGTCAATTCCTCGGAAAGGGTAGAGGATGACTCTGTGAAGATTTCAAAGATTGACTGTTCATGCACGTTTCGTCGCGCCAACTGTCCGATTCGCGCCAGCAGGGGCATTAGTTCGGTTGAGTAGCCACAGATCTCATCAACCTGGCCAATACCACAACTGGGACTCCGAGTCAGGTTCCAGTACTGACCATCGTTGACGCATCCTTCATGTGTACCTGAGAGACCCGCTAGGATGTCGAGAGTAGCGAACCACTTGAGAAGACACAAAACAAATGGATCAATATCACCGTCAGTTGTACTCTGCCTCTCAAGCAAGGGGGTAAGTAATCGCATTACTCCAGACAGGTGGACCTTCCAAGTCCGTGCATTGCCATTACACACATCATTGGTACATAAAATCATCGCCGTCATGGCGGTCTGAGGCTTGAGAGTCTCGGTAGGATCCGACAGGGCAGCACGGAGACCCGTAATTGCGAGGTCCGTAAATTTTAGGATTGTCCGCTGACTAGTTGACGTTTCCTTGACAAGTCGAGCATGATGACTACACGAAGCTGCGAGAAGCGCATGAAGAAGGTGCGGCGTTTCTACCGCAGTGGCCACCAATGTCTGACCAAAGACAGGCGGGGCAAGAGGGAAAAGAACTCCAATAGTTTGAGTAGCAAAGTGATGCATGAAAAAGTGAGAGTCGGTAGGTGTCAGACACTCCAGTGGATTGAGCGATGCTCGGAGCGGTATGACATTCCTTTCGGAAGCTGCTGGGTTTCTCGACTTGCCACGTACTGGAGATGGCTTTCTACTGTGACTCCGAGCAACGACAAAGTTGGAGTCATACTTGCACTCTTTAGGGAACCGGATGCATCTAGAGCACACTGGCCTCTGGAGGTCACACTGTTGTGAGAGATCAGTGAAAGCAACCATTTGAGGGGAGTCGACATGGAAATACTTTCACTTTCTTGCGTCGGCATTCGGAGCAGCCATCGCGTCTGCGAGGCAAACGAAGGGTCTGCTGCGTGGCACTGGAACTTCTTCCAGTCATCTAATGGCAAGACGATGGAACACGGATGGTTGGCGGCTGGACTAATTCTACCAGTTGATGCTGGCAGCATTTAGGTTGAGAATTTGCACAATGGGCCACAGGAGAGGACCGAGCACGTGCCAACAAGGCAAAACTCGATGCCTCAGGCAGTAACAAGAACTGGTCCCGCTGACACTGCGGACTCCTCGATAGCATTCTATTTCTAACACTCGCCGACGGATTCATTGAATCGCCGCAGTTTATTGACCAAATATTTTATCAGATCGGGAGTACACAGAGGAAGACAAAAGTGCGATTGACATCAGATTCGTTCACCATGCATAAACCCTAAGGTCGATGGCCGACAGTGATATCTTCATACTTGACCTTCGGATCATCATTCAATCATCACATTCACTCTTGTCACCGGTCCTTTATATACCTTTTTTGCATGTAATTGGTAATACAACAGAGAGAGCAGGATGACACCCCCGAATATGACCACCGACCAGTTCATTGTAGTCGGATTGACCTGCTCGGTGAGAGGGAAGAAGCTAAAGATCCAAATGACAATCAACACAAGGATGGAGACGGTGTCCACAAAGGGAGTGAATTTCCCCATGCTCCAACGGGCAGGAGGTAGAGGCTGCTTGCGCCAGCGACGGATTCGAACGCAGGTGATGGAGATGATGTACGAGGAAAGGAGAGCCGCCGTGCCTAGAGACATGATCGCATTGAAGGCCACGGATGATCCAATATTGATCAGGGAGAGAAGGGAAACAATGACCAAGCTCACGCAGAGCGCATTCAAGGGGACGGTGAAAGTCGGATTGACCTGCGAGTTCTCATTAAAATCATTTCATCATCCGCTGGGAAAATAGGCCCACCTTTGACAGGAAGTTGGAGAATGGAAGCCCCTTGTCCCGCGCAAACGCATAGACCTGGCGAGATGTGGTGGCAACATTGCTGATGGCAGCACAGAACTGCATGATCATGATCACCACCGTCATCCCAGTGGCTGCTTTGACGGATCCTGTCGCGTTGAGAAAGACTTGGATGAATGCAAAGCCCGTCTGAGACTCCAACACTTGGTCAATATCCCCGAGGCAGAAGGCGAGTGTGATGATCATGACGAATCCTGTAGATCCGTTGAGGATAAGAGTCCAGATCATGCCGAGGGGGAGGACTCTCGATGCATCACGGATCTCTTCGGCTATTCATCTCATCAGTTGTCTATAGTCTGTCGGGGCTGGGTAATAGACCTACACATGTGGACGGCTGAATCAGGCCCTTTGAATCGTACGCATTGTCAGCAAACCAGATCTCAGGTATCTTGGTGATATCCAAACATACCGATCAAGGCATAAATCGGTCCGACCAACCCAACCAGACAAGCCAGACCATTGTTTCCCCAGCCGCCTCGATCTTCAATAGATCCAAAAACTTCCGAAGCTGCTGGTCTCGGCGAAAGCACCCAAAGAGGAATCAGAATGCCAAAGAATCCAAAGCAATGAATGACCAGGATGATCCCCTCGATCAAGGGCAGTTTCTGCGCCAGCAGGGTGTTGAATAGCAAAGCAACCAGCGCCACGGCAATGACCAGCAGAGTGACGTGCCATGGCTTGTAGGTATAGGTATCGGGGTAATTGATGGCAACCACTCCGACCATCATGTTGGCGACGGTATAGCAACATCCGGCGATTCCAGTGTGCCATCCAAGCACGCAGACCCAGCCCGTTATGTAGCTCAATATGCACTGGCAACTGGGAGGTGCGAACTCGGATACCCAGTGATATTGGCCGCCGGATGTTGGAGCCCTATCAGTCCATTAGCCGTGCGCCTGCAGAACAAGAATCGTCATAAGGGAATACATGGAAGCCATTTCAGCCATGGAGAGAATGACAAAGCTGAACCCGACGAGACCTCCTAAATAGGTGTATATCATGCCTCCCTTGCCGCCATTGATCAAGCCATATGATGCACCACTATTTCGATCAGTATTTTGCCTACCCCACGTTTCAGAGCAGACAGGGGAGAAACGCACAACAGAACTGCTTCCCAGGTACACATCAACACTGCCGTAAACCCCAGAACTGACAGAAATCGGAAATTGCGCTACTCGTGTTTAGCCAGCACCTCAGCGCTGTTCGATGGCACGTACATTCAGTTCCTGCTGCCTTCCCACTCGCCACATATCCTTGCGATCCTGCGCTGTTCCAGTCTTTGTGGACACCTCATCTTCATGGGCAGTGGTATAGACCACTGACTTATTTTCCGCCCACATCATGATTCGGCAGGCGACCAATTCCGACTGAATTCGACTAACGAAGAGAAGAATCGCAAATTGGCAGTTGGGAATGTCGGAAAGAGAGAAGAGGGAAAGGGAACTTTTTCAGGGGCGACAGATCTCGGTGCACAATGACTGAACCATTATGGTGCAGTAGTGGTCAACCCAGTACTTAATTATACTAAGCAAGGGTATGCTGCTCATGGTAATATCAAGCCGGATAAATGCCACCCCAAGTCGAAACCTGATGCTACTCTCCTCCAGCGACTTGCAGGGGTTCTGCTTGTGTTCTATCTTATCAGAGCTATTCCATTGCACACGCAATTACCGTTTAATATGGAGCCAGCTAAGCGTCCGCTGAACCCCTGCCTAGTCTCTGGGATGGCGTTGTGACGGCTCCCACGCCTTGCCTTAATCCATGGTCATTTCGTTTTAGGTGCGCGCTTTACAGGGGTATTCTTGCTTGAGAAATGGCGTGATCACACCTATATTTTCCGGATGATTAACAACATGTTACATCCCCTATCCGCGGAGGATAGCTCGGAGCCGTGCCGCAATTTCAACCCTGCCCATAGGGACACAATCCTAGTACATTCGTTCTCGAGATGGAATATCACCCTTGTAATGCGTGAAGGAAACCCAAGCTGCCTTTTGTTCTTCTTCCTTCAGCCTCCATTATGTCGGTTTGTACTCGTTTTCAACCTCTCGGGAGGTCTGCATTTCTCCTCCTCAACAGAAGACGCCCAAGATGACAGGTGATGCGCCCTTCGTGATAACAGCAACGGATAAAAGCGGATCGATTGTGATTGCAGCCACGTTGTTCATGTCATGGATGGTCATTGTCTGCTTGATCCGTCTCTATATGAGACTCACTATGAATGGGCCTTTGGGGATGGATGACTGGGCGGCTTTTTCTGCAGGCGTAAGTCAGGCCTCAAGTCTAATTTATGGCGAGCCTGATGCAGACAAGAAGTACTGACGATCTGGCGACCAAGATTATCGGTGTAGTCCATGTGGCGATGATCATGAACGGTTTGTCCCATGGACTAGGCAGATCGCATCAGGACAGTCCTGACTCCGAGCTTGAAAAAGCTGGAGAGGTGAGTTTGCCTACGCTGGTAGATTTTGTGGAATATTGCTCATTTCTCACCTCTTTAGGCATTGTATACGTCAAGCCTTCTCTTCCTCGCCGGTCATGGTTTAGCAAAGATATCAGTTTGCAGTCTTTTACGACGACTCGGTCGGGAAAAGGTGTATCTACTTGCTTGCAAAACCATTCTTCTCGTCGCGAGTCTCTGGTCCATCGCTTCTATTGTCGCTGTAGCTCTGAGCTGCCCGGCCAGATACCTGTGGTCCGTGGAAAATCACTGCCGTGGTCTCGTAAGTTCTTCCCAAGGGGTGGCTGGACATCGTGGGCAAAGCTGAGAATGGCGATATAGAATACTGCTTGGAAAGCAATTACAGCCTTTGACGTCCTAACCGAGGTTTTCCTCATTTCTCTCAGTGTGTTCCTCGTATGGGCCGTTCAGATGCGTCGCAAAGACAAAATCACTGTCATTTTCGCCTTCGGCACTCGAATGATGTATGTCAAGTCTCCCATTGCGCTGAACTCAAGGAATAACAGACTTTTGTGATTCTCAGAACGATCATCCTGGCGATAGTCCGCCAATCCTACCTCAATACGGCGCTCCACGAGAAAGACTTTCCTTTGTCTCTGTCCGACACACTGATTGCAACTGAGATTTTATTGCACTGCAGCATCATGCTAGCAACAGTGCCATGCCTCAAGCCATTTATCATTGCATTCAATACAGGCTGGGGACAAGGTGTTGCAGCGACTCCTGGAACCTCATACTACAAACAAACCGAATCAAGTGCATCGCAAGCACATCCAGATCCTCCGAAGGATGCTGATGAGTTGGAAGTGGCTATAAGCACACGATCTCTGGAGAGTCATAACTCGCAACAATTGATCATCCATCGAACACAAGAGTGGAGTCTGAGGGAAGAGTTTGAGATGCGGCCGATGGGAGGCTGATATATATGACTCGGATGGAAATTTTAGAGATACCAATTCGTCTATGTCTTCACTTATGAGTTGATTTCTCCACCGAGGTTTCTTCGCAGGAGATGCCAACTCTAGTTCTTGAATCGTGGCTCTCTAATCATCGGAACAGCGCCTTGTAGGTCGACCTCTAGATCCATTCGATCACGGAAGCCGAACTTTCGATAGAGAGGCGCAGCAGCGTGATGCGCATCCAGATAAGCGGGAGCCCCTTCTTCATCGGCTCGATCACAGCCCCATTGAATCAACATGGACCCAGCGCCCTGTCGTCGGTAGTCTGGGTGTGTCACCAGCATGTCAAGATCTAATCTAAGTGATCAGACGTTGTCAACTGAGTCGGAGTCAAGCACGTACAGTAGAACCGTATGTCTCCGAAGAACTTGTTTCGCTCTTTTTCGAGCATCCCAAACAGCTCGTTGCAAGCCTGATGATCAGATTCCTCATGCCAGGGGGGGAATCGCTCTCCACTTTGCTGCGGATTCAAATCCCACTTGGCATATGCAACTATAAAACCAGATGAAGTGACATCCACCACCTTGAGATATCTTCTGTGTGGGTTATGAAGTATATCCTGACGATGCGCTTCATTCCACCACTCCCGGACTCCTGGGGTATCTGGAAACATCTTCAGATTTTGGGGGATGCTGAACGCATTATACCAGAGCTCAGTGATTGCAGAAATGTCCTCCGGCTCGACGGGCTTGATTTCGAAGGTAGATATCGTGGGGTGCATTGTGTCTTTGGCCATCTCGATGTCTCCAGTGTCTCCAAGAAGAAGTCCAACGATTCAGCTGGTAGCAGGGTGCAATAAGTACTAGTCACTTATCCACATCATGTCAGCACTCCTGACTTGAAAAGTCGCTCCTGACAGGGGTCTGAGACACTACGCCATGCAGCAAGAATGGGTAGTGTGGTATGCGTTAATTGACCACAAGTAAAATTCTTTTGAATTCTCCTGTCTAGCACCAGTTCTGCTTTTGAGTATCGAAAAATGAGGAACATTGTATCAGGACCATTCCACAAAGACTGTCAAATAACACCCTTGTGCCTTGGGGTCCTTTGTGCAAGTTGGCGTAACCTGCAATCTAATAAATCTGGGGCATTTGCTATGGACCAAGTACTACCGTGTCAATCCTGATGCTTCTCTTTCACATTCAAGGGCAAAAAGGAAGGTAAACGCCGTCAGAGGATATACATGATTGCATCTACCTGGAATAACCCTCAAAAGCGGGGTATTTCCAGATGCCTGCGTTGAATAGCCGAAATGCCAGATGGGCCGAGCTATCATCATCAATCCTATCAATGATAATCATTTAATAAAGATGCGCAACGAGGAAAGCAAATCAATTTTACAAGATATCTGATATCTCAAGAAATTTCATCATGACACAATCGTTCGAATCTCCACCTCCTACGACCAAGCACTACCTACTTTCCTTTCCCCGGCCGAAAGTGCTCTTGGTGACAATCAACCGTGAAAAACACCGCAATTCACTGCCATCCGATGCTCACTGGGAAGCCCATGCGGTTTTCACTTGGTTCGATCATGAACCTTTGCTGCTGGTGGCTGTCGTTACCGGCGCAGGCGACAAGGCGTTTTGCGCCGGGCAGGACCTGATTGAGCGCAATTCGAACAAAGGGAGAGAACTTGATACAGCGCAGCAGGCACTTTCAAACCATCCCCCTACTGGCTTTATGGGCATCAGTCAGCGAAAGGGGAAGAAGCCGATTCTAGCCGCCGTCAATGGATTTGCTCTAGGCGGAGGTTTTGAGATCTGTCTCAACTGGTACATTCCACCTTCCTTTGTATATGTGCATTCCTAATGATCTTCCCAGTGATATAATTGTTGCCTCTCCCACTGCGCAATTCGGTCTTCCCGAAGCTGCCGTGGGCCTCTATGCCGCAGCTGGAGGGCTGCCACGACTCGTGCGGATCTGTGGCATGCCCTTGGCATCCGAACTGGCATTGACCTGTCGACGATTGTCTGCGCAGGAAGCTCTTGACTTCGGCTTGATCAACAAGATCTCCAACGCACCAGGTACAGTGGTTGAAGAATGTCTGGCCATGGCGGAGAGGATCACCGGATTGTCGCCGGATGCGATCATTATCACGCGCCAGGGACTACGGGAAGCTTGGGAGAATTCTAGCGTACAACAGGCTACATCTAAGATTCGCGAGGAATATGTGCATCGGCTGCTGGAGGGAGAGAATTTCAAGATTGGAGTGGGAGCCTTCGCACGCAAAGCCACGCCGGAATGGGTTCCTTCGAAGCTGTGATCAGATGCCTGGTCGCGAGGAACGCTTGAATGTGGCTTTTAGTCGAGTCAATTATATGAATTCTGAGCACAAAATGCTCTAAATCGTTCACAAGCCGCTTATTAGCCTTTTGTTCGGGCCGAGGATAGTGGAGGAGGCGTTGGCTGCCATCATTTCCACGCCTCGGCTCAATTACCCCACAATATCCTCTTTTAGTGTAGATATGGCTACTACGGTATATGTACTGGACATCTAGATGAAATGTACTTAGACGGCAGTGTAATGAACAAGATCTTAATGTATCAGATCGAAAATGATTCCAGTTATCATCGGTGTGGGCGATGTGAGAAACAGGTCCACAAAGGTCGAAGATGCCAAGGAACCCGCTCAATTGATGCTCGAAGCAATCAAAATTGCTCTATCCGATAGCCAATGCCCTTCTGCCACTTCTCAGAAACTCAGGACGAGCATTGATAGCGTTAGTGTAGTCCAAACATGGACTTGGCCGTACGCAGACCTTCCAGGCCTCCTGGCAGAGAAGCTGGGAGCGACACCGACATACAAGCATTGCTCTGAGCATGGCGGGAACCAGCCTGGAAGGCTGGTGGATGAAGCAGCTTTGCGAGTGGCCTCGGGAAAAAGCAGCGTGGCAGTCGTCACGGGTGGCGAGGCATTGGCTTCTTGTACGTACCCCTGCCTCGAACAGTCTCGAGTAAAATTATGGAATAGCTGAAGCTCGGTAGTGGCGTTGTGTGTCAAGGCCCAGAAGCTCCCTCCACCAGGATGGACAAAACCTGCGATCCCAGTGGAAAAAGTCTTTGCACCATCTGCTGACCGTTTCTCGAAGGGTAGGTAGAGAAGTTAAGAAATCTTCGGTGGTACAGGCTGATAGCAAGGCTGGAATAGACGGCCCGGATGGCATCCATTCATTCGGGTTACCCATCCATATCTATCCATTGTATGAGAATGGATTCCGTGCGTACCGTCGACAATCGCTGAAGGACAATCATGACGAATCTGCCCGACTGTATGAACAGTTCAGCCAGGTGGCTGTGCAGCATCCATATGCTTGGAATTTTGGGTCTCAAGCAGAGACGTCCACGTCGATCGGGACGGTCTCGCCGAGAAATAGGATGATTTGTTCCCCATGTATGCATTCAGACTCCACAATCACAAACATTGCTGTCTGCGGACTGACTGTTCAACTAAGACCCTCTGCTCATGAACGCATTTAACACGGTCAATCTGGCTGCTGCTTGTGTCATCACCACGAGGGAGTTTGCCATTGAGCTGGGGATTCCGAGACATCGATGGATCTACCCACTCGGCGGTGCGGGTTCCACGGATGCTGCTGAATGTAAGTATCGTACATGGATACAATGCGTGTAGACTCTTTCTGAGACTGACTATCTGTCTGCTTAGTCTGGAAACGCCCCAACTACTACTCTAGTCCAGCAATCGCCAAAAGCCTCGATGTCTGTTTAACGTCATCCGGACTGACTCCCAAGGACATTGACCTTTTTGATTTCTACTCGTAGGTAAACATGACTGTCGGACACAGTCTGAACTAACGAGACCAGATGTTTTCCGATTGTGCCCAAATTGGCCTGCCACCACTTGGGTCTTCCGCTTGTAAACTCTCCCGAGCCAATTACCCTACTGGGTGGACTGACTTCCTTCGGAGGCGCTGGGAACAACTATTCCATGCATGTATGAGATCCATGAATAGTACAATGGGTAAAACAGTGTTGCATCGATTAACTCCACTCAGGCAATCACAGAGATGGTTCGACAACTCCGGCAAGGCAAGGGTCGCCATGGTCTGATCCTGGCGAACGGAGGGATCCTGACGTATCAACACGCCCTTTGTCTCTCGACTGGGCCCAGAGGGGACGGATCGTACCCGGATAATCGAGAAGACCCTCGTTTAGCGGCGACTGAACGGGTTCCACCCCTTTCGGCTGTTGCCGACGGAGAAGCCATCATCGAGGTATGTGAATGGTACCACCGGTTGGCTGAGAGTGGACTCACACTCTGCGATTATTTCCAGATCTTGGTAAGATGAATAGTAATCATTATCGCATAACTAATAATCCGGTAGGCATATACGGTGGAGTTTGGACGCGATGGACGGCCGTTCCGAGGTTGCATTATCGGTCAGCTGGTCAGCAATGGGCACCGCTTTGTGGCAAACCATGGTGATACCGCGGCGTTGGTGACTCTTTCGTCCTCGACAGAGGAACAGGTTGGTAAGAAGGGTTATGTCGTCTCTACTGATGTAGGCAATGGAAGAAGAAGGAACATGTTCTTCTTTGGTCCCAAGCCTCTGCTGTAGGAGCAGAAAGTTCAAGAGCTTGGTAGCAACCCGGGGAAATATGGGGACCACTCGAAAGAGAAACATGTCTTAGTGTTAGTCGACAGTCAGACCTGAATAAGCTGCAGATCTGCACAATGATGTCGATCTGAAACATGCCAGCCAATCAAGTTGTAGTCCAGTATAACCGAGGATATATATAGCCATTCTGCTGAAGATCACTTTCCCGCCTAGGAAGAGTTTACGGAGATGTGGATATCTGAGGATTCCATTGGGGGAGAAAAGCATTGCCATCTGTAAGACTGGGCCAATCATCTGCTATTCTTGTACTGTGCCTAGGTGAAGACTGAAGGTGCAATTGGAAGCAAGACAAATAGAGAGGGAAACAACATCGAAGGTCCAAGTCGAAGCTATTATCTATCTAGCAGCGTGAGGCAAAAAGGTTACCATGCATGTCTCCACGTGGGTCCTTGACTCCTCTATTTTAGTGTGTGGTCATGATCCCAACCAGCAATAATAGGCTGATAGAAGGTAGTAAATGAAGTAATTGAGACAAGCAGATGCTGGTCTCACTTACGTTACATCAACTAGAGGGCATCGATCATCATCAGGATGCACTCGGAACTGAGTTCTTCTGTCATGGTATAAAGACAGCATCTCCCCAACCCATCGTCCCCATTCTCATCCTCATCACAACTTCATCTATCATTTCAACGCCCTTGAACCTACAGATTTCCAACCTCCTCAGCCACACCACTACATCCATCATGAAGCTCTCTGTCGTTGCCTCTGTCAGCTCTCTCCTCGTCGGAGCCCACAGCCTGCCTACTGCCCGGGCCAATGACAACGGTCCCTTCCAGGTCATGTCCATCCGCTCCGGCTCTCCCATCCAGTATCTCGGCATGACCGCTTCTGGCAACAGCTTTTGGTTGGGCGGCGAGACCACAACCTACTGCCCAGACGTCGTTAAGCAGCAGGGTGGCTGCCCCGATGGCACTCAGACGGTCCTGTATACCAACGCCTTGGTGAGTCTTGACCCCTTTATCAACCTATTATTATGAATCCTGCTAACCTTTCATAGGACGTCTCGGTTCCTGGTGGCCAGCAAATCTACGTGGACCCCTCTGGTGCCGTCAAGTTCACCACCGCTCACTCCGCCTACATGCCCCCTGGCTCCGCCGTCGGGGGATTCTCCTACACTTCCGGCGAGCCCATCGGCCACTGGAGCTTCAACGGCCTGGGCGCCACCGGCTTCATGGCTTGCCCTACTCAGGGCGATGCTCCTGCTCCCTACCAGGTTTTTGCCGCCATGAGCAACGCGACCGTTCCCACTGGCAATGTCGCTGACTGCCTCGGATTCGATGCGGCTGCTGTTGCCTGGACTGCTCCTGAGGGGCAGACCTCTGCTGCTTGGCAGTACATTTAAGTATGACACGGTTTTCTGTACGCTTTATGATGGAACTTAATGATATGGATTGTTGCTGCTCAGACGGGATGGACTGTTGGAGAACGGATGGTGTCTTGTAAATACGTGCATATATATATCTAGCGTCATATCATTCATTGAGCCATTTCAGACAGTACCAATTTCCAGAATGCATCTCTAGCCCTTTTATTCATACGTATTTCTAGGATTCCACAACGCTGATTTCCCCAGAAAATGAACGAATCATGGATACTACACAGTATATGAGCATTGATCCAGAGATATCATCACGTGGAACTGAAGCCGTGACGTCAGCGTAGAAGCGGGAGACAAACAACGAAAAAGCAGCATCAACTATTCAACAACTCAGAGATGTCATCCTGTTCGATGATCTCTTCGAGCTTTCGAGCATCAATTGTTAGCTTCGATAATGGGTGCATCTCCAATGTCCCCTTCCCACTCTCCTGCTCCCTCCGAATCCTGGACCCCGGCTCGAAGACCCAGCCTTGAAGCTGAACGGGAGATCCTGTCGACACGGGGCCATAATCTCCCAGCACTACTTCGCTGGCGATCACTTTCAGTCCCCCCGGCTACTGCTCGGGATGAGTACGTTGTAGAGCATGGCGATGGCGCACCCTTTCGGGACAGACGCGAAAGTTTGCCGTTCTTTCTCAGAGGAATGACCTTGATCGGAGCAAGTAATCCGATGTACCAATGGTACGAGAAGTGTCATCTCGAAAACGTGGTATATCTCTAATTGACAAGACTATCCTTGTAGGCATCGCTATTATAAATCCCCCGAGGAGCTGAAAAGCATGAAGAAACACCTGTACGTCAACGTTCAGACACCCTCAACGTTGGAAGACCTATACTGACACTTGCAGGCGGAAATACTACGAACGTACCAATGAGCTGGTTTTGCAGTATCTGTACATTGATCGATTGCTGGACTCATCGCTACCACATCGTTTGATAGACGAATACACCCATGATCACGATACAGTCGCCCGCCTCTCGAACAGAAGCCCAGTGCAGAATGGTGAGGGTTCATCCGTAAACACGTCAGCCCGGAAGATCAAAAGGACCCCTCGCAACTTATACCGTCTTCCAAACGAACGGTCACCGCTGCTACCGCCAACCATCGAAGAAGACGTCCCGTTTCCCCCAATCGGTTCCCCAGATGATCAAGAGTTCGTCGACGGCGACCATCACATTGTCACAGTCGCCATCTACATCATCTTCCTCGCAAATGTGTTCTTGCTGGGTGCCAAAATCACCGTCATGAGCTTGACGAATTCCATGTCAGTGTTGGCCAGTCTGGTAGACAGCGTATTGGACTTTCTGAGTACGATGATCTTGTGGACGACAACCAAGCTCGTCCAGCGACAGGACAGGTACCGTTACCCCATCAGTCGACGGCGGCTGGAACCTCTCAGTATCTTGGTTTATGCGGTGGTTATGGCTACCTCGTTTGTGCAGGTAGCCATCACCTCACTGGGGCGATTGCTAGGTCCTGACCACGAAGTGGTGAAACTCACGCTTCCCTCGATTTTGATCATGGCTAGTACAGTCGGGGTAAAACTTCTCTGTTGGCTTTGGTGCCGATTGATCAAGAATACCAGCGTTCAAGCCCTGGCGCAGGACGCCATGACGGACGTGGTCTTCAACTTTTTCAGTATTCTCTTTCCATTGGGTGAACTGCACGTCTCTATCCGTTGCGGACGCGAGCTGATTGATAACTAGTCGGCTTCTTTGCCAAATGGTGGTTTGTAGACCCCCTTGGTGGTCTACTGCTCTCGGTCTACATCATCTGGAACTGGAGCGCGACGGCAGCTGAGCATATCCGCCATCTCACTGGCGCCGCTGCCTCGCCCGCCGATCACAGCGTTCTGCTGTACATGACCATGCGATTCTCCAAAATCATCTGGAAAATCCAGGATTTGAAGGCCTACTACGCAGGGGATCACCTTAATGTCGAGGTGGACATAGTTGTGGATGAGAGGACGAGCTTGCGCGATAGTCATGACGTCGGTGAGAGTCTACAGTACATGCTGGAAAGCCTGCCCACCGTCGACCGCGCTTTTGTGCATCTGGACTATGATCCGTGGAATATTCCGAGCCACATGAATCAACTGGAGGCATAGTCTGTGTATCCGGGCGATTTGCACATTGATCTTTGAGGGTATGTCAATGAATATATGACCCGCGTGTCTGAACAGATTACCCGGTATGTGGGCTGCATTCAGTCGCATTTGAGATATATTTTCGGGGAGACAGAGAAGCGGCTGATAAGGTCAAGTTCAAGTATGAAGGAGCTTCAGTTAGAAATCTAAACAGCTCAAGAACTTCACTGGTTTTGTTCACGTCTCAAGCATTCCGGGCATTATTAGTCCGCATGCCAGTGGAGAAATGTGTAACGGAGGCATGTGAAAATTATGTACTTGCGACTGAACATGACTTCTATCTTCGGTGTCTATCGACCACGTGTCCAATGACAGGTGCTGACAGGTTATTGATCTTATCCGCTCAAGCACGAGCCTGTGAATGCTATGCTAGATGCTAGGCAAGCCACAGGGACCAAGATCAGATATTCAAATCTAGGAAGAGGGTTTCGCGAGGCGGATGGAATGCAGCTAGTGTTTACTGTTTACCGTCAGCTGCACAGCCAAGTCACACTGTCTCTGCTTCTCGCGGTTCCAGGGTATTTTGCTGCCTACTCCTTGTCTACGCCTCTTCTTCCTGCTCCTGCTTAGACAAGGATAACCAGACCGGGCACCTCAAACTATCAAGGGTGCGCTCCCAGAGGTTTATCAACATTCTCCAACCCCAAGGCTGTTTACCTCTTGCAGAGGGTCGAGCACCATCACATTCTTCTATTTGTCTCACGAGGTGCTTATGCATTCCGCATAGATCAGAAAGCTCGTGATTTGACTCATTCGAGTCGAACAATGACCGATGATGAGCGAAAATCCTGTGGGTGGACTGGTCCCGCGACTACATAATGGCGGGAGTTGCTTCCTCGGAAGCCCCAGGCAACTGGTGGCAGGAATCCAAGTTCCAGGTATCTTCGCTCTCCATAAGCACAGTCACGAACCTCATCTCTATTACCATAGATAATGGCGCTCGAAACACCCTTTCAGACACCTGTCAAAAGAAAGGAGCAACGGGCGAACAAGAAGCCCCCGCTAGGAATACGCGTCCCGGTAATCTGCGTTCCATTTTCTCAGTGTCTCTCATTCTCTCCATCCCATGTTCTCTCCATGCTTTCCCTGCGACCGGGTTCTCTCTCCGTCCTAACTTTGCCAATAGGGGCAGAGGGCAGGTGTGCGACGACCCGCGGATTCACAAAAGCGGTCATCTCATGAATTATTGACTCGACAAGTGAAAAGAATCAAGTCCAGCCCCAAGGAAACCCAAACGCCTCAGCGGCAACCAACAGCCCCGGTGGTTGACGAAAGGCATCTATCTGACCCTCGCGACCCTCACAACCGTTGTGCAGCCCAAAGAGAACGGTCAGGTGTACCTCTACATGACGATACATCGCCCTGCACTTGTGCAGCCGGGAAGAAGAACATTTTTCGACGCCGCGGACTGGTGTCGAAAGCGAGGAGGAAACTCAGTCAAGCACAGCTGGGAATGAAAGGAATGACCGGACTGCCTCAAGAGCTGTCGAAAAAAATTGAATGAAGGCGGCTAGTGTATTGTGAATTCGCGATCGAGTAAGAGAGCGGCATTCTTGTCAAGCCCGGGCGATGTTCTATGAGGAATGGTTAATACGATATTGAGAATATATTCTTCTGAATGCAATTCTACATGGTCATTGACCTCTCCCAGAACAGAAGCAGTGGATGGCGGATTGGGCCATGGCGTGACTCCCTTTAAGGCCATTTTCTAGCACGGAATCAAGCCCATATAGTCGCATAAGGAGCACGGTAGGCTCAATAAAGCAGGCTGTCTGGCCATAGAGGTATCTAGGCTATATTTATCCCCAGGATTCCCCATGTATGCCCGTAGAGGATTGTATACGACGGGTTGTCCAGTTGGTCAATTCAAATGGGCCAAGTTGTGTCTGGACTGGGAGGGGAGACAATGGGTTTAGGTAGCTTAGTCTCTCTCTATTTTCTCCCAGAACGTGTAGGCACATCATGTACATCTTGTCGATCTAAGTGCTGTCGTTCTACCGCGAATACAAGCCAGTGGATCCTGCTCAGATGAAACCTCCACCCGGCAGTTCTACCTACCTATGGTACTCGGAAAATTCAGGTATGCATTCCTCATGGCCCATGATGTTCTTGCTTGGTGTCGAATAAGAAGCCTTGTTAACAAAATAAAGCAATTGAAGGGCCAACGATCGAGGTCAAACGCACGCCCAAGCATTTTCATCGGTGTAATTGCCAGGTCCCACGTATCGATTCCGCTTGGGATACTTGCAGTGCTTGCGATGATACTCTATCTTACCGTCGCTGGACTTCTTGGAGCCACGAACATACTTGGGCGCAATACCTTTTTCCACCCACTGCACCATTGCCATCAACACATTATCTTCCGCATCATCGCCGGCATATGTGGAGGATCCCTGGCCGATGGAAGAAGCGCCCGTACCCGGCGAACAATGTCCCATTCCACTAATGGGGAAGAAGCGATAGAAATGGTCGAGCTCCGAGGGACTCAGCCCCATAGTATCGGCAACGTGCTTGTAGTAAGCCTTGGAGCTATCCGAGGTGATGATCGGATCTTCCATGCCGTGATAGTGCAAAACCTTGCCGCCAGCCTTCTGGAAACCGGAGATATCTCCGTTGAAGGTGGAGATCTGGAAGGGATCTTGCGTGTTGGCTGCCGCTGCGTCGGCAAGAGTCCAGGTAGAGTGGTCCCAGTTGCTGTTGTTGTAGACGACGTATTTGAACCAGTCGTCTGAGTACTGGAAACCCTTTCCGCTGTAGTAGACATAAGACGCGGCAAGTTCTGAGCCGGGCTGCATGCGAGGGTACAGCCATCTGCCGTCCAAGCCGTACATAGGGGAGAACACCTCGTTGACGGTATTGGCCTGCACACCCGTCAGGCAAGCCGTGGTGTCCGCGGCCGTGGAATTGCAGATGAGGGTTTCGACGATGGGCTGGCAGAGATCGGTATCCTCGATGATACCATCGACCGCACCATCGAGAACATCACATTGCCGGATAATCTCATTATGGATCATGGACCACTGCGAATTTGTCACAAAGGTATCTGAATCTGGCGATCCGGTGATTTTCAGGAATCGAGATCCCCAGTTGGCCAGGTTGACAAAGTTGAAGGCCGGTGCTCCAGCTACCACGCCGTCAAAGTCCTCTGGGAATCTCTGGATAGACTTCCATCCTTGCCGGCCGCCTGTCGAGCAGCCCAGGTAGTAAGAGGTCTTGTATCCATGGGGATAGAATAGCTTGGTCAGCTCTTTACCAACCACCGTCCCCGTGTGCAGGGCTCGGTAGGCAAAGTCCTCGATGACTTCGGGGTTGTTCAGGAAGTATCGACCAGTGTCACCAAAGTGGCCGTTATTGGTACCGATCGTTGCGAACCCGTATTGACTGGCGTAGATCATGTCTCCATAACTGAGACCTGATGTCTGGTCAGTTAACGTGACCGGGATAGGTATAAGGGTTACGAACAGCCATTCAGCCCTCCATTCCCCGTACTCAAGAACCTTCCAGTGTAGTTGCTGGGTAGCCAGGCCTCCATGAAGAACTGGCTCTTGTCCGAAGTGGTCACGTTCAGTGCAACCTGACAGAATTCAATCGTGCTGGTCGATGGGCTGGAGCCTCCACCGCAGATAGGCGGGTTATAGGCCATGGAGATGTTGGATCCAATGGGAACATAAGTGGTAGAATAAACATGCACATTGTCGAGGTGGATTTTCTTTCGGAATTGTTGACAACGAGACTCGAAGCTGGCAGCGTTGCCTGTTGCAGCGGCCGAGGCCAGCCCGATCAGAGGAAACCACCACTGCATCACGACTGCAGTAAAGACAGAGACAGAGAGTGTGATTGCTCACTGGCAGTGAACTATGATCAACGAGGTCACTTATGCATATTTATAGTTGTAGTCATACTCCTTTTCTACCCCTAACCCCGGCTCCACTTCCCCGCGTTCGCATATTATGGGGGTAAATGGATAAATCCTCTACGCACCCTGAATGGTGGGAAATCTGGAGACTAATAATATGTCATGCTTTCCATCGGCAGATCTTCAGATCTCCTGCTGCCGTGCCTAGGTTTTCTCACTCGGGGGAGGACGCGATGCCGTGCCATGCAGCCGATTCGACAGTTGGCGTGTCCTCCGACACCCTAATTAGGCGGATCTTTATCCGTGGCGTGGATGATTCGTGGTTTTGAAAGCTTATATAGTGCTTCTCATTCTTTTATGCCTAATTGAAAAGCCAGGAATTTCCTGTATGTAGTAGTGGTGGTCCTGCCGCAGCACAACAGCAACTAATTTTACTCCAGGAGTCCACTATCTTGAGCATCATTTTACATACCAGCTATGTAGTACCTCAGTGGAACATGATAGGAATAAGGCTGACCGAAGTAGTCCAAGGAAAACAAGTTATGCCCTCTTATCCTTCTGCGTCTTGTACACCGACACATAAACAAATGGGTAGATGGTCTCTGGAATGAGAGTGACAATGATAATCCCAATGCTCCAGGGGGACCAGACATACTCCCAATTCTGAGGAACATTGAAGTATCGCCAGAGGAAAACGCCATAGGCAGTAAAGCAGCCCAGGTACCGCGTGAGCCTGAATCATCAGCAATGACCTTTCCACCTCGTACAGTGTACATACCATATTTCTAGAGAATGACCCTTGGTGCTATGATCCTTCCACAACTGATACAGACACATCCACCCAATGGGAAGCTGCAGGATGATTCCAGTCCAATATGCAGTGACTTGCTCCCGCTCATCAGGATACATCTGAGTTAACATCCAGAGAAAGGAGATTCCCGCCAAGCAACCCAGGATCATATTCCGACGGATGACTCGTCGTTCGGCCGGGGTATGAGCCTTCTGAAGCGCAACAATCGTAAAGCTCAGATCGAGCTCGAACCAGGCCAGAAATGCCAGCTTTTCGAAGCGAGTAGATGTAGTTGCGAAGGCGTAGAAGATCTCATACGCCATTGTCAAGCAGCTGGCATGGGGGTCAATCGCTGCACGTAAAATGCACGGGGGTGGACATACAGAAATTGGATACTTCCCGAGCGAGCGCCCGGGTAGGTCTTATCGGCATAGGTTCGTATCACGCAGAATATGTAGCAGAATGCATAGAGTACACCGCAGCTGATGATGAGGCCATCTTGGACAAACAGGTAACTCTCGGGTGGGTTCAGTCGTTGGTCCGCCGGTTGAACAATGAGATGCCGAACCTTGTCTGCCAGCTCGAAATTCGACATGATTTACCTTAGGTGATTCCAATAATCTACAGAGAGAAGGAGTATCTTATAATGCCATTGTGGAAATTCGATTGATTTATCCTGTTCGATGAGTCTCGGATGCTCGGATTCGGCATGACATCAGTTGCCCTCTTGGCGGGTCTCGGTGTCGGTATGCAGGAGGGTGATGTCAACATCCTGATGAATACTATTCTGACCATTGCCAGTCTAACGATGGTCGTATAGTATAATGCTAGGCTGACCATAAGCGACTATATACATGGGAACATTGGTGGCAGCGCCTGCCTTCACCTGTTGTATCACTGCTACAACACAGCGCCGCTGTCTGGCTCCTTCGAAAATGGAATTATTGGACCAGAGAAAAACAAGTTCCGTCAGTCCGCAAGTTCTCCGGATCAATGTTTCTATCAGCTATGCCCATGCTCCAACGAGGCTCATGCAGAAAGCGCCCATGAAGACTAGTAGACACGCAAAAACACGTTTCCGGCCCCTGAGAACACGCCAGCTTTCGTCACTGAGAAAATCCTCCGACATCAATTCGACTAGAGAGGCGAAGATGAGAAGACCAGAAGAAATTGCGTTCATGGTACCCACCAGGAGCAGTCCTACTTCCGAATCCGGGCTGTAAAGAGTATGTGTTGCGAGGCCTATTGCCTGGCCGATCGGAGTTCTGAAGAAAATCAGTATTTCAAGCGGATTGAAACCAAGACACAATCAGAGAGCTTACGTGCATCCGTAAGCCAAGGACATAAGCCATGGCTGGGAGGCCCTTTCCGGCCAGTCAAGGGCAGCGATGCGAGAACCCAATGCGAGACCCTCGAATGTTTCTATCTGATGTCAGCTGGACCTAATGCAAGAATCAAGGGCGAGAAAACATACGATGGAATACGATGGCGATCAATAGGACCACAAACTCGCTGCCTACCGACACACTGAGTGACATGCCGATGAATACACTGTGAAAGAGGATCCCCATTTCCAACAGGAAAACCTGCATGACGGCTTTTTTGTGTTTCTGTTCTGAACTGAGGGCAAGGTTATCGCTCCTTTCCAAGTCCTCGACCGGTTGTACTTTGCTTTCTTGAAATACTTGCGTGCCTTCAGGAGCAGAAGCAATCCGCATGATGCGATCGGATTCTTCACCCATGCGGTTGATAGTCCGACTCACGCTAGATTGCCTGCCAATCAATGGGCCAAGGTCACGCAAGTGCGATTGGCTTTCGACCCTAGTACAGGTAGGTCGTTTGATCTCAGCTGGGCATTCTGATTCTTTGTCAACAGGGACAGGGGAGTTGTAGACACTATTGTCGGTCTTCTGCTCAGAGACTTTGAGCCCACCACGGCACACATGTCGTGCGGGACTGAAGACCATCTCGACAACAGTCACCAGAAAAATGCCTCCGAGGGCAATGGCCCCTGGCATGGCCGGGTAGTCGGTGGTCCAAAAGTCGGACAAGCATGGATCATTGAGGGAAGTAAATGCAGTCGGAAGCAGATGAACGAATGCCGTGGCAATGAGGACGCCCGTTCCGAAATGGCTCACCGTAAAAAGAACCGATGGAGGGATGCGTAGACGAGGGAACCATGTTGCCAATACGGGAAACGCACAAGCCAAGGTAGAGACGCTCAGGATGATAAAAAGAGCGCCTATATGCAGAGAGGTGTTATATTGGCTGTTCTTGACGCCTCCTTGGGCGCATGTTGATCGTTTGACGACTTTTGCTTGGGACTCGGCTGGTATTCCTGGTCATTATTATCCGGATAGTCTGAAGAAAGGTGCATTGTCCCCTACCTGCATTATCAGAGACCGAGACGGTAGAGCTCAAGTATCTTCCCAGGCTCTCATGGGAGATGAGCGCAGATGTCAAGAGAACCGATAGCAGCCACCAGACCCAGCCCTTGATCTCTTCGAGTGTCGATCGATCAAGATGCCGGAGACAATGAAAGTGGCTAGCAATATTGTGGTTTTGAAAGTAGTTGAGGCGTTCTTTCAGGTGTCAACAGATCTGCATGAGTCTAGTCGGTCATTGGGAACATACCTGACTGTGTCAGCGACGCCCCGAGTGACTTTGACTTATCCGCTATGGGATTATCTGGGCGTTCCAGCATAGCTTGGGTGTCATTCCAGCTGGTCAACGAAACGGCAGCCAGCCCAGTGCCAGATCTGTACACACGGGCATTGGTGATGCCGTTGAAGTCTTGGCGGGTGGTCAAATCCGGCGCCAGAAAAGGCGGATTCTGATTCCATTCGCAGTGAAGAAGAGTGTCGTCTGTTCGAGAGGGACAGTTCATGTTGATAACCCGTCCAAGTCTTCTTTACGGTCAAGTCAATTGATAGCAGTAGAATCGAAGGAGAATCATGAGAATCCTGACAGTCAAAAGGGTCGAGAGAACAGCCATCTTTTAATACGTAATCGGAAAGGAGTCTTTCTTGGCCCCAGCAGGAAATGGCTTGGCATCGGAGGATCGGATTCGCCTCGAGATCAGATGGGAGGAAAGATCGCATAGATATCTCTTACTGAAACTGTATAGACTATTAAGCCAGGGTTCCCTGCTCAATCGCATCCAGCTCCGGGTGATATATCTCAGCCATGCCTCTCAAAATGTGTTGTCATACAGCTATTTGCTCTTATTCTACTCCAACCCGAGGTCCTTGGCGTCCCACTCCGGTTTCTCCCTTGAGGCCCACAGTCCTCGTGAGATGAGCCTGTGATGCTGCCTGAGATTTGAATACTTCCTGTTTGTTTGCGGTTGGGATGGGAAGCATTGATATCTTACCTTAGAATGGGGTCACTGTGTACTGCTTCCCTCCAGCACATTATCGCTCACCTCAGTTTAGGACGCTTGGGTGGATTTGCTGCATCTTTCTATTCACAAGCTCAGATTAATAAATAATCCTAAGGAGTTATTGAATCAGCTAGCTATGATTAGCAACAGAATGCTGGTTGGTGCATGCGCTATGCATTCAGTCATACCTCTCTGTATTCTGGTGTAAGTCGGAATCATATTCCATCGATCGAATCAGCCCTCGAAACATTTCCATAGTCAATTGATTCTGAGTATTTAACTCGCACTCCAAACTAAATCACCTGTGGAAGCAAATGGCTGTGGTCAGGCATTCGGAATGATTCTCCAATGAAATCTGGCATTTTCAGGCACCCCACTTGCCGGACTCCATTCATGACTGTTGTCTCTGTGTCAATATCCGTCAACCTTCACGCAGATATCTGAAGCAAGATGCAGTACCACGGACAGTGCCTCGTTGACACAGCAGCCACCGGCAGACTCCTCTACGCCAGTGTCGCGCTGAGTTTCTGGGCCGGAGTCGATTCCCAGACCGGAGAGATTATTGACCGCCATCATCCTCTGCATGGACAATCGGTCAACGGTCGCATATTGGCCATTCCGTCAAGCAGAGGGTCATGTACAGGCAGCATGGTGCTGATAGAGCTCCTGTTGAATAAATGTGCCCCCGCCGGCCTCATCTTCCAGGAGCCGGAGCAGATCATCACACTAGGCGTCATCGTGGCCAAGACACTCCTCGACCTCTCGATTCCAGTACTTGTCCTCGGACCAAAGGATTTCCAATCGCTAAGAGAACACAAATACGCTGCAATTACTGGGCCGATCCTTCAAACAGGAGAGAGCCCTCTGCTGCCACCCACCTACGAAGCACCTACATCGCCCCCATCAAAGACCCTGCACCTGTCGGAAACCGACCAGGCAATCCTCCATGGCGCCCATGGTGCGGCCGCGCAAAAGGCGATGGAGATTCTCCTGAGCTTCGCACATATCCAAGGCGCAACGAGGCTCATCGACATCGCCCGCGCACACATCGACGCCTGCATCTACACCGGCCCCGCCAGTCTGCGTATTCCGCAAACCTTTCTGTCTCTGGGTGCTCGCGTTGCCATTCCGACCACGCTGAATGCGATCTCGATTGACCGTCGACGCTGGAAGGAAATCGGCTTCAAAGAAGAACTGGCAGTTCCCGCCGACCAACTAGTGGAGACCTACCTGGCCATGGGCGCGCGACCCGTCTTCACCTGTGCACCGTACCTGCTCGAGTCTCCCCCCACGGCCGGGCAGGATATCGGCTGGGCCGAGTCCAACGCAGTGGTGTTTGCGAATAGCGTGCTGGGTGCGCGGACGCAAAAGTATCCCGACCTGATCGACGTGTGTATTGCGTTGACGGGGAGGGCTCCGTTGGCGGGCGGTCATGCGGATGAAGGACGGACCCCGTCGGTGGTGGTCGAAGTCGCATATTTGCCAAAGATTGATGACGCAGTATGGCCGCTGTTAGGATACCAGATTGGTCAGCTGGCTGGGGGAGATATCCCTTTGATTGTCGGGGTGGAGCGCACAAAGCCTAGTATTGCGGACCTCAAAGCCTTTGGGGCTGCTTTTGCAACAACAGCATCCGCCTCGATGTTCCATATACGAGGTGTGACGGCGGAAGCGACCAGGTTTGAGGGGATAGGGCAAACATTGGAGCGGATGGTCGTGCACGAATCCGACCTCGTGCGGACGTGGGAAGACTTGAACACCGCTAAAGACTCGTCAGTTGGTCTGGTGTCTTTGGGGAATCCTCATTTCTCGCTGGAAGAATTCGAATCGCTCTCTCGCCTGTGCGCCGATCGCAAGAAGGATCCTTCGGTGCAGATGATGATCACAGCCGGTCGAGAGGTCTATCAGCTCGCAGCGAGCAAAGGTTATATTCAAAGACTGGAAGCATTTGGTGCAACAATTATTACTGATACCTGCTGGTGCATGATCCGAGAGCCGGTAATACCTCCACAGACAATCAATCTTATGACTAATTCAGCCAAGTATGCGCATTATGCTCCAGGAATGGTGCAGAGAGGAGTGCATTTCGGAAGCCTGGCGCAGTGTGTGATGGCCAGCTGCACAGGCTATTTTGATGATGGGCCATCATGGAAGCAAGACAGTACACCATGATGATAGTTGGCTCGTTATGACTGTGCCTCGCTATAAAATCTGGGTCTGCAGTGCTCCTTCCTGGTTACTCTCTCCTTCCATGGATCAACAATCTGGTACCTGTTAAATGCACGTGCGAGGGCAAGTCCAGTATACCTACTTGATGACGGAAGAATTACCGCCAAACAGCGCTCATAGCCTTGGGGATATTGCATCGAAATATAAGTCAAGATCATCATCAACCAATCCACTCGTTTACCAATATGCGTTCCAGATCAATTCTCGTATCCTCCATGGCTACCTTGTTCGCATCACAAGTCATGGCAAAGAACGTCCCCTCAGCTCTCAAAGCCTTCTACAACAAGGCAAGGAGCGGCGGCGACTGCACCGGTACCCACGCTCTCCAAGCGGGCTTCTATAACACCGAATGGAGCGGCGGCCACACAACCTACTGCACCAGATACCTCCCCACCGGCAAGGGCTTCTACCTCAAGGGTCCCGGGTCTGACCTGGCAAACATGGACATCGACTGCGATGGGGAGCAGAGCAGCGGCGACGGACGCTGCAAGTCGTCAACCGACACACAAGGCCAGACACGGTGGGGTTTGAAGCGCCTCGAGAAGTCCGGAGTCAGGGACCTCAACGCAAATATCCATCCGTACGTCGTTCTGGGGAACGAGGGCAGCTACAGCCCGACCTTTGACCCGCGCACAGTCGGCGTCGAGCCCCTGAGCATTGTGGCCGTCGTGTGCGGCGACGAGCTCATATACGGGGTCTGGGGCGACACCAACGGGGACGACAACGAGCATCCCATGGTTGGAGAAGCCAGTCTGGCGCTGGCGACCGCGTGCTATGGCACGAGTGTCAGCGGTAACAACGGCCATGATGAGTCGGATGTGCTGTACGTTGCTTTTGCGGGCAAGGAGGCTATGCCTGACAGCGCCAAGTGGGACGCAGACAGCTACGAGGCGTTCGAGGAGAGCATCACTGCGCAGGGGGATAAGCTGGTCGCGCAATTGTTTGGCGACAACGCGGATACGCCCAAGTCCCCGACGAGCAGTGGCTCTGATCCTCAACACACCTCGCCTTCATCGAGCAACGGCGACAGCGACAACAAGGAGGACTCGAAACACAGTCACAAGTCCGGTGGCACACCCCGAAACACCATCCCACTACCTTGTCTCATCATTTTGAATGCCTTGATCGCCTTCTCCTGATTCATCAATTCGTAATCTACGGACTTTGTCGGCGATATGCGGTGTTTGCTTACGTTGGGGTTGAACCTGCACTGGGGTATGTGTAATCCCTGACATCTTGCTGCAAATCTTGATTCTTCGCCTGTCTGCGATGGAGTCGATGGAGAAAGCTCGGGTTGATTAGTTATCTGCCATGTTTTTGCTCGCATCGATTCGATGATGTATTTAGTGATTAGTCTTCCTCGATCTCCACCTACATCATCGCCGTTTCCGGGCTCGCCGAAGTCAAGATAACGGCCAGCAACTCGATGATATAATGCAGGGCAGCGATATTTAAATAGACTGGGATTCTACGAAGGTACTCATGTATATCCACTCCATCGAACATTTCTGTATATAAACGAGCAAAATGGCTATTGATTTTACAGTGTACAAAGGGTCCCAAGACGGATCGATCAAAAAAGCCACCACCCACCGGGATGACCTCCAAGGCGACTCCGTCCTCGTGCGCGTCACCCACTCCGGTGTCTGCTTTACGGATGTGCACTACAGGAAGTCCGACATGGCGCTGGGCCACGAAGGCGCAGGTGTGGTCGAGGAAACCGGCCCCAACGTCAAGTACCTGAAGAAAGGCGACCGGGTCGGCTGGGGCTACGAGCACGACTGCTGCGGCCATTGCAAGCCGTGTCTGACGGGCCAGGAGACCTTCTGCCCCGAGCGCAAGTTCTACGGATTGGCCGATTTTGACCAGGGCTCGTTTGCGACGCACGCCGTCTGGCGCGAGGCCTTCCTCTTCAAGGTCCCCGATACGCTCAGCAACCAGGACGCAGCGCCGCTGATGTGCGGCGGTTCGACGGTGTGGAATGCCATGGTGGTCGGCGGGGTGAAGCCCACGTCGCGTGTGGGGATCGTTGGGATCGGTGGATTGGGCCATCTGGCCATCCAGTTCGCGGCCAAGATGGGCTGCGAGGTGGTTGTGTTCTCGGGCAGCGACAACAAGAAGGACGAGGCGATGGAGCTGGGCGCATCGGAATTCCACGCGACCAAGGGCGCCAAGGAGCTCAAGGTCAGCAAGCCCCTCGACAACCTCCTCGTCACGATGAGCACTCAGCCCGACTGGAAGCTGTACCTGGATGTGATGGCGCCGGGCGCTGTCATCTCCCCTCTGACCATAGACAATGAGGATCTGAAATTCCCATATATGCCCCTGCTGGTCAATGGGATCCGTATTCAGGGCTCTGTGGTTGCGCCGCGCCAGTCGCATCGGGAGATGCTCGAGTTTGCGGCACAGCACGGCATCAAGCCGATCATCATGACGTACCCGATGAGCGTGGAAGGAATTCAGGATTGTCTGAAGACGCTGGAGGATGGCAAGATGAGATACCGAGGTGTTTTGATCGCAGACAAGCAGTAATATGACGATATAGATGATAGTGAACATAGCCTAGCAATACATATGTCCGCATTCCGGTTGGGAATTTTGTTTGTACGACGATCTGGAGATCTTTTTCATCTGGTCTATCTAGCATAAAAAGCAGTGGATTTTCAACAAGGGCCGGTTGGTGTAGTTGGTTATCACGTATCGTTAACACCGATAAGGTCGCCGGATCGAACCCGGCACTGGTCACTTTGTTTTTTTTTTTTTTTTTTGTCTTTTGTTTTTTGTTTTTTGACCTTTCGAGGCATCGCGATCCAAATCATATTTTGAATTTTCCTTATTATTTGTTAGCACTTCATCAAGTATATTTGATTGGTGTTTCTCGTAAATTAAGCAATACCAACCGGCGCGAAGCGGAAGGCAATGCGCATTCCAGAGCTTGTGCGACGTCAGTTGTCTACAAAAGTAAGACAAACATATCAAAAGAACCCATAGAAATCAAGGTACGTCAAGCTGTTTCTCCAACCTATGATTAGGGCCCAATATCTACAGCATTGACCAGTACCTTAGTGTCACTAGTACTAAAAACGATGGAAATCCCTAGAAATCATGCTCTTTTGGTTCTACTGCTCTATTTTGTCCCTTATTCTGGTTCTCTGCTTATCATGGCGTCATAACAATCGAGGTTGATCAGAGGCCAGAACTTGATCATCCATGAACATCATTATGAAATATGAATAGCTTAACCATTTTCTCCCACATATGCGGTATAAAGGCACCAATAGGAATGGAATGTTACGCACGCAGTCGGCCAAGAGGGGAACTATGTCGGACATAGCGCCGGGCGATTGGGGGCACTCTAGTTCCCACTGGAGTCAATTGCAGCGGCAAACTCTGTTATTGGCCTCTGGCAGGTGCCGCTCAAGCTTAATATTGCTGGGTGGCACGCGTCCTGTGGGGCCATAAGACAATCAGACATGCCTTGCTAAGGTACCTTAGCTGCTGCTGCCTTTTAAAAGCGCCGAGAGAGCCTCGACTCTGCTGTCGTGTGGATGTGGATGTTGACATTTGACAGCGACATTCCGTCATTTCGCTGATGACGCCCTTTCAGCCTTGGACCCGTCCTCCATTGCGACGGATCTATCTCATCTCGCCTGTTATCGGTCTTCTTCTGGTTTACTTTGTATTCTTCTTTGACACAGCAGCATTCACTCCTGAAATCGTCGTCCCTCCGATCTCATCACAGCAAGAAGTGGACTGTCCCCCACTCCCAGCCATCGACGATGTCCTGGTGATCCTGAAAACAGGCGTCACAGAAGCCCTGGAGAAAGTGCCGGTTCACTTTCAAACTACACTTCGATGCATTCCCAATTACGTGCTATTCTCGGACTTTGAGGAGGAAATCAACGGAACCCACGTGCACGATGTACTTCGCAGCGTCAACGAGACCATCAAACGCACCAACCCCGACTTTGATCTCTACAACCGTCTACAAGAACTAGGACGCAGCGGACTCTCGCAGGACGACCTCAGCCGCGTCCCCAACACTGCATTCGGAATGCCCGACAATCCCGGATGGAAGCTGGATAAATGGAAGTTCCTCCCCATGATCGAAGAAGCACTTCGGGTCCGCGACGATGCCAAATGGTACGTCTTCATGGAGGCGGACACATACTATATCTGGTCGAATCTCGTGCAGTGGTTGGCGAAACTCGATCCGAGCAAACCCTACTACCTGGGTAATCAGATGCAGATCGCCAGTGTCATCTTCGGTCATGGCGGCTCGGGGTTTGTACTGTCCGGGGAAGCCATGCGTAGAGCGTCGGAACTGCGAGCTCAAGACATTGACGGATGGGATCGATTTACCGATGAGCAGTGGGCCGGTGACTGCGTGCTGGGGAAGCTCCTCCATGATGCTGGAGCGCCCTTGCTGTGGTCGTGGCCCATGCTGCAGTCAAATCCTCCCGCAGAATTCGATCACTTTTCCGAGGCTTATTTCAAAAAGCCGTGGTGTTTCCCTCCCGTTGCGTATCACCATGTGACGGCGGAGGACATCCAAGAGCTAGCAGATTTTGACCATGGGTTCCTTCAGAACGTAAGTTTCCCAATTAAATGTCTTGTGGAAATTACTAACGAGAGAAGAACTCTGTCATCTTGCACAGCGACGTGTTTCGTCATCTCATCCACCCGCAACTCAAACCTTTACAAGAAAACTGGGATAACCTCTCCGAAGAGGAGCAAGTCACTGAGAGTTTGACCAGCTGTGGGGCCTTGTGTGCGAGCAAACATGAATGTCTCCAGTATTCTTATGAGTCCGGGAAGTGTCGCATTTCCAAAACGGCGAAACGGGGCGTCAAGAAGGCTGGAGTCGCCTCTGGATGGATGACTGACCGGATCGACACTGTTGCAAAAGAGCTGGGCTCGTGCAGGACACCGCAATGGATTCTCACATAGCTCGAGGAGGCTAATTTGTATATAGTCGGATGCTCTAGTCAGGCTGGCCCTGTCTGGTCATCCTATCATGTTATGACCACTCTTATGCATTCTACAGTACATCACGAAACAAGAAAAGCAGTCCTGAAGCCGGAAATTCATTCCCTTCGCTTAGAGACAACCAGTCTTTCAACCCCGACGGCATCAGCATATGTATTCAGCTTGTCAATGTCCATTCTAGTCAGAGGAACCCCGGATCTAAGCCTCTCCTCGTAGGTTAGTTGCTCTCTTTCCCCTGGATAGTAGATCCGCTCCACGCCGTCCAACGGTTCCGAATCAACCACAGTCCGATAAAGGTGATCCGCACGCTTACAATACTCTTCCCATGGCATGAACAGATCCGGCTTCAAGACAATAAACAAATGGCCGATATCCGAGAACTTGGACACGTCATCCGGACTGCCAACCTGCCCGGCAAACGCCGACCCTGTAAAAACACCAGCAAACAGATCCATCAGGATAGCCAATGCAGAGCCCTTGTGGTCACCAATTGGTCTCAGCCCTCCTTTCAGCGCTTCCTCGGGATCAGTGGTCGGGTTTCCCTTTCGATCAAGGGCCCAGGTGTCGGGAATTTCCTCCCCATTCCTCGGCGCCTTCAGTATCCTCCCTTTTGTCGCAACTGTCGTAGCCATGTCCATCAGAAATGGTTTCTCACGTCCACCAGGCGCACCACAGGCGATCGGCGAAGTGCCCATGAGTTTGACACTCCCGCCCCATACAGGCACCGTCGGCGACGCATTCGTCAACACCATGCTCATCATACCTGCATCGAGCGCTTTCTGCACCACCCACGCGGACATGCCCAGGTGACTCGAGTGTTTGACAGAGACTAATCCGATCCCGTAGCTGTTCGCCATGTCGATGGCCCTTTCAATCCCCTGTGTGGCGGCTACGTACGCCAGCCCGTTGTGGCAGTCCACCTGTGCAACCACAGGGGTAACTTGCGCCACGGTAGGTTTGGCTTTAGGATCTAAGACCCCGGCTTTGATTTGGTCCAGGTACGAGGGGAGACGATTGATGCCATGGGTGTCGATGCCCCGCAGATCAGCGAGTGCAAGACAGTCTGACACAATGCGGGCAGAGGGAGACGGGACTCCATGGCCTGTCAGCACAGACTGGATAAAGTGCTTGAGGTTGTTGGCTTGGACAAATAGGTTTCTTGCAACTGGCATGTTTATCCCCTATCTGATCCTCAACAATCCTGAGACTTGATGCCTTCACTATTCTCTCGCAACAAGTCAACGGCTCACCATGAGACAAGTGGAGGATAAGCTTTCGCCACTCAAAGTATAACTGTTGCATCTTTACAGTTCCTGAAAAAGGGCTAGATAATGGGCGTCTAGTTACGTGGCCTTACTGCAGTTTAATGGCTTTGATTTATTAGCTAATTGATTTGGTTGCACAGCAGCACTGTAGGTCACAGAGATAATGTTACATTCCAGCAAGCCATTTGTGTCACCAGCAATTACGGGAGGATGGTTACACTGGAGAATGCACAAGAGACACCTGGAAGATAGGATCCTTAAGAATAAATAAAAGCAAAGCCGTGTTGCCTGCAGCGATAGAGAAGCCAGTATACTTATCTACACATCTACACTATTCTCTTGTACTAGAGGTGGACAATAAGCTTACACTAAGAATGGACTACGACTTATGAATCGACCTACACAAGGAGTGAATGATTTCAGTTGATCAATTGATAATTCGCAATCTTAATTAGAAGCAGAATACATGACAGTCTCTTGACAAAGAAACCCAATTGGTAAAGTTTCCTTCCATAAACTCCTAAACTCCCATACCCAAAATCCTCCAATGGCAGGCACCAGTAAAAAACCCTTTGCTTGTAAAACCTCAGGAGTAATGGATGTCTCGCGAGGGAAAACCAAGCAAAAGGAAAAAGGTATGCCTGCCTGTTCGGTTCGAAAAAAAGTCGATTAGATATCGTTCTGACAGCCCCTTGTACATAATGTCGCGGTCTATCGTTTGAATCGTGGCCAATTTGAGATTTGTGTGGTAATTGGGAACCAATTTCCCGTCAGATGAGTATTTTGCGCGATTTGGGTATAAAGACGAGCTATGAGGTTGTCGTCCTTCGATATGAGTATTCTGACCTCAATAGAGGCGAGAAGGGGAGGTCGAGGGCTTGAATTGAGTACCAGGTATAGGTGTGATTCTTCGGTCCATGATGTCACGGAAGAACCGGCGGAAGTACGAGTACACCTCGTTTGTCTTTGCGCCGCTGTTGGGTTGCAGGATGGTTCGGTGGAATGAGATCTATGGATTGTTGGCGTGCTATCGATGCTGATGCTCGGGAATCGGGTGTCGTACCATGTCGTTATCGTCGATCTCGAGGAAGTAGAATTCTTTTCCGTTGGTCACAACGCCGTAGACCGAAGTAAGCCGTTTGTTTTCACTCTTTCGGGCGTTATGACAAAGTGCTATGATGTGTTAGCAACTTTCCCGCTAGAAAGCTAGGCATAGAACTTACCCATGAATGAGATACACTGCCAGATGATGGCCACCGGCCACGGATTGACGCAGATGACAACACCGATGCCATTGCCTGGCTCCGCGGCATTGTTCACAACGAAATCAAGCTCTCCTTCGATCGGGAATCTGACACCCAGAGCCTCAACCTCTTGTCCGAAGCCTCTACATTGAGGAATAGACAGAACAGCTGAAGAGCGTTTGGCGGGATTCTGTTTACGATAGTCCAGCTCGTCCACGTAGCAGTGATGCAGGATTTCTCTGATTCGTTTGCAAGAGATTTCGTGATCGACGTACTGCGGGTCGTTCTTGTCCAATACAGCTAGATTGCGTACTGATGCTGGTCGGTCTCCGAGTTTTGCTGATGATGGTGAGGCGTGCGTGCTTACCGAGGCTGATGGGGATGGGGATTTTCTCGTCTTGCTCTAGGGTCCACACCCCACGTGGATTTGGGTGACGAGACAAGCCGAACAATGGATAGAGCATATGGGAAAGAAACTCTTCCGTGACCTCGTCCGGGGTAGGATCCCTCTGGCGCGGAGGAGGCGAAGGAGGCAAAGGCCCCTTTCGCCCGACAAAGGGCCAGTCGGTGTCCGCCTCTTCGTTCTCTTCGAGGGCGATGTTTGTGTTGGCGAGGTCGTTGATGACCATTTCTGCGAGGGTGATGTTGCTGCTGGCAAGAATGTCGATGAATATGGCTTCAATGGCCATGTTCATGTTGGCGAGGTCGTTGGCGACCATGTCTCTGAGGGCGATGTTGCTGTTGGCGAGGTCGTCGTTGACCATGTTTTTGAGGGTGACGTTTGAGCTGGCGAGGTCGTTGAGGACCATGTTCATGGTGGTGAGTTCGTCGATGACCATGTTTTTGACGGCGGTGTTGCTGTTGGCAAGATTATTGATGACGGTGGCTTCGATTGCCATGTTCGTGTTGGCGAGGTCGTTTGCAATCTTATTCCTGAGGATGATGTTGCTGTTGGCAAGGTCTTCGATCACCATGTCTTCGAGGGTCATGTCGTTGATAGAAACGTGTCTGATCGTCATGTTGTTTGTCGTTGTCGTTGTCGTTTGCTGAGGTTGTCGGTGTTGCTGGTCGATGTTGTCGGATGGATGTTTGAGCAGAAATGCAGAGCTGGAGGACGGGTTCATATAGTGCTGCCTGTCTGTGCAGTCATTTCTTCTCATAACCATGGTAGTATCTGTCTTTTGCTGGTTGGAGATCTAAAAATAAGACACTCGCAGAGTTTTCCAGCAGTAACCACGAAACCCTTTAGGTGCTGCTAGGACCAGCCTTGAGAATGATGCAAGTATGAGCGTATATGCTCATAAGAATGTCGTTCGAGAGAAGAGTTGTTTAGAGGCAGAGGTTTCGTCTTTTTTCATCTCCATGATAAGTTCAAAAGGCCTGTCTGATATCCTTCCTCATACCCATCTCTGTAGGTTTGCATATTGTTGCTCAAGTAGCACTGATACACACAGTTTTATCCTCCCAGAAAAGGAAATAATAAACCTGCTCACAAGACTGAGCAAAGTTTTTCTTCTACCTTACAAGAACGTGTCTTGATGAAATCATGCTCTCATTCGACTGGTCTAGGCAACTATAGACTGCAGCGCGTGCCAGAATACCAGATTACAGTCTTACTACCAGGCTTGATTGACTTCCAATCGGTCATAAAAAAAAGTTCTGGGATAAGCACCAGAAACATAGTGATGCTGCTATGTTAGAAACTGCCAAAGATGGGCTCCGTCTTGTATCAATCTCCACAATTTAAAATTAAAGTTATCTCCGTTCTCCCCGCATATAGATTGTCTAATCCTGTTCTGCCCAATGCTCACCAAAAGCTTCAGTCAACGCCCCCATGGCCATTCATTTTATTCACTTAGCCTAGGCTCTGTAAAGCGTACGCCCAAGTATAGCTTAGGCCATGTGATGCTCTCGCTTGGCGTAGGCCCCTCTAAAGTATGGGCTCTTGTATAAGGGGCCTGCTTTGAAGACCCGGCAGCATTGTTGATGCTATGAAGGATATGTTGAATACAGAAGATAGTGTAGATGCAACGGGTATAATGTATTTTTTTGTCATTGACTATTGCGAGCTTCGCCGTACGGCGGTATTACTCCTTTTCCATTCTCCTTCAAGAGATGGAAAAGGGGGGCGGTGGGCCAGGAGAAGGGAGACTCGCTCGATCAGGTAATTTCGTCCTGGTGATATTGGATCTTCGGGGTGATGAACTCCCTTGGCTTCGTCGTAGTTGTCAGCTGTCCCTGAGCGTTAACTTTCAATAAGATGACCTACTGTTTCCTGTCAGGACAAGGATGCAGCCCAGCTACTGCAGACTGAGATTATCAAGTCTCTACGCGCTTCCTGGACAGCGTCCTCTCGCGAAGACCTCTCGGTCCGGATTCAAGCTCTGTCGACAGCCGTCGCACCCATCCTATTGGCACATGCGGATGAGCTGAATGTGGCCGTGTTCTCTGAGAGCCTCAGTTGGTCTGTTGAATGTGTTCGGGACTTTGTGCTTTAGCTGTTGCAACTTGTCTGGCTTGATACACTGTTCTCTGCTCATCCCGCCGGCCGACGGCTGCGAGGAATTTCGAACGATTTAGCTCTGGACGGCCACTGTCTGGCATTCGGGGCTGCTACAGGCGATGTCTATGTACCGCTGTTCGCTCGAGTCGGCATGATATTCAGTGGACGATGCAACGTGATGCAAACCTGGTACCTATATGGACCTCAAGTAGGAGGTTCCCAGCACATACGACCATAGGGTGTGGAGAACAGGGCTTCCCGTCCGCTCAGCCGTACTTAAGCCACACGCCGGCCGGTTAGTAGTTGGGTGGGTGACCACCAGCGAATCCCGGCTGTTGTATGTTTTTGTTTTTGTATTCTGTATTCTGCTTCGTTGGTCATATTCCTAACTCCCATGCCCCTGTTGTGTGACCATGTGTGGTGGTAGAGGTCAGAGTCACGGACGTTGCAAACCCATTGCTGGATGTCAGACCACGCCTAGCTTGCGATGTGGGAAGATTAAAGTCAGCTTGAAACCTCATAGCCTAGAACCACTCACTATTGTAGAACTCCAGGCTTAAATCATTGTAGTGTTCAGGGTCAACAAAGCAGGAGGCCAAAGCTATATCCTTCTCAGAAACCGGGTCATGTCACATCCAAGAGGCCGCGTCAGCACCATGGGAAAACAGGAAATTCCCCTGTGATGAGCCTCAAGTGTGGATAATGCCAACCTCCGTTATCAACAAGGTAGCTCGTGCTATTCGATATATCTCTCGTCCTTATAGAGTGGAGCACGTCAGTTAGTAAACTATTGTAAATCCGGCACCATCTGTTGATCTACAGAGAGCTCTAGATCCTCAAGCCGTTAGAGCCCTACGTACACCCTAAAGAACGATGCAGAGGCAATATCCACTTTGAAAGCCATGATAGAAAGCTTACGGCCAGGCGAGATTTGGGTAACCATAGTGACAGATAAGATAAATCACCCTGAACTAGCGGAATCCTAGGTATAGAATGAGGGCGCCTCCCATGTGTACGACCAGGTAGCCTTCGAACAGACCGCCCCAATGCAATTTGAGGTCAGCTTTGCAGGACTATATTCATAGATTCCAGTGAGTCCATTCGTTCTTTACAAATTATAGCCAGAATTAGCTGATAGGTGTCTTCCAGATATGATATCAATCCCAAATTCACCAAGTCTTGCAGTTGTCACAGAAAAATAGCAACTTATGCAGGGTTTCCAGCTGCTTTTGATTTTATTCTTAGATATCTTTGCCCTCTACGAAAGATATACCTCAGGGAAATAGTCAGGCCTGGCAAAGTCCTGTGTGGTGTGCTCACATTCAGCCTTGTTAATTGAGGTTGTGCTAAATACTCTGAGATAGTAACTGTCCTAACCACACCTATTATAGAGGAATGGAATAATGGCGAGTCTAATATTACCATCTCTTTTGATGTGATGAGCGCTGAGTATGCGTCCGAATATACCAACAGCATGGATGATCCTCTGGCCACACGCACAGGCATGGCGATCAAAAGCATCAAGACAACAATTGTCACTGGTGCTGAGATTATCACCACCGCAAAAGCAGCAGCGGAGTTTATTGCAGCTATTATAAAGAACAGGTTGGATCCGAACTCTTGTACCTTAACCTATGCGGCTGACACGGCGGACGATTACTACTATGGCTATGCATATAAGGCAACCACCACGGGCTCCAACTGCGACACCATCGCTGGGGAAAAGACAATACTCGCAGGAGTTGAGAAGTGTGCAAACCTCCCAAGTCGTAGCCAGAGCAACCATAATCCACTCCTCCAGTATGCTTTCCAGGTCCAGTCGGAACCAGGTGGCAGCCAAAGGCCAACAGAGTCATGGCACGGGCCGGCAAAAATGACAAGGCCATCGTGGCAGTGGGCAGCCGTGAGGCATTTGTATATTCTAAGATTCAATTTCTCCTCTTGTGGCGTAAGTGGGCGGTTGCAATCAGATACCTGGAGGTAGTAGCGCGCTATTCGGTCATCTGCAAAGCACTCTGCAAGGGAAGCAGCAGCGCTCCTGGCTTCTGTGAATGGAACTGCGCGGGCCTTAATATTTTGGCTTTTCGAATGCATGATATCCATATATATTTAGCAATTTAGGAGATGAATTAGAGCACATAAGGAAGAAAGAGTGCAGCTAGGGCTGGTTCTAGTGATAGAACTTGATACCAAACATCTTTTACCATCGTCTTCTGGACTATTGGTTAAATAGATGATACCTAAGCAGTGCTACATTAATTGAGGTACTAAAATGCCAAAACTACGTTTGAGGTAAATCAAAACAATACTTTTGCAGTAATTGAAACAATGCACGAAGTCAATATAAGCAGAGATACATGGTTTGTGCAGTTATCATGGTAGGACACTGCTACAGAACTTTTTTGATGAAGCTAAGCGCAGCCAGGTACACCTCCATAGCTTGACTGAAGGACCATGCATAGGGCAGGCTGATTTAGACAGACACCTTGAAAGGGACGTGGATGTGAGGACCACGGTAAGAGGATACCTCTCTCCTCTCGTCTCGTCTTCTTTCAGCATCCATCTCATTAGACTGGACTTGTCTTATCCTTTTCACTACTCAACTCTTCTTGTTGCATAATAGTCTCGATCTCAATGGCTCTACGAGCCCAAAGGCCTATAGTTAGGCGCATGCTTGTTTGTCCTTTGCCACTCAGCATCTCCGGAGATGCCCGCGGATTGATATGCAAGATACACTGGTTGCGTAGGCATGGCTGGAAGAAGAAGGACAATGTGTGCATAACAACGCGGGCTGCACCGCGCCCAAAACCTGTCCCCGCCCACAATGGGATAGGCAGCTTTGAGGAACGTTGGCTTCATACGACAGATGACCCTGTCAAGTTGCCTCTATCGCATTTCATGTCCTGAAAATGCAGGGGTATTTACATCGAGCGGTTGCCAGGTACCGGTGTGAAGATAACGACAGTCATAATGGTGATACTGGAATATTAAATTAAAGCTGTTCGATGACATATTTCACTGTTTCAGAAATATACTAGACTACTGGAGCATAGGATCATGTTGGGTTGTCGATAGTTTGCAATTCGACCAAGAACGATGAAGGGGAATAGCGAGGGCTCCGTGAAAATATATCGCCTGCTTACGCTGCGCTCAGGAGTTCGCACAAAGTCAGCGATTCTCCTATTTCACCAGTATCAATTCTGGAACATATTACAAGAAGAGATGAAAGCTCTAATAAGAATATTTACGCGACATTTCCACCAGCTGAATGGCTTCAGAACAACATGTGGCTCGTTCGAGGACTGATCATTGGGATGGGTAGTTCTGTTGAGTTTTTGCTATATAGTTTAGTAATTTATGCCATATACCAATAAGAAGGGCTTGTGGTTTAGGGGTATAACGCTCCATTCGCATACACTGAGTCTTGGAGAGGTCCCGGGTTCGATTCCCGGCGAGTCCATCTTTTTTGCACATTCTTTTTTTGCGTACGCGCTATTCTTTCCCCGCTGCACCAATTGCTACACTAGGAGATTTACTCAACACTTGAGTTACAAGAGATGCCACCAACGCTTCGAAGTCTGCGTTTACTTGCGATCATTGAGAAGAGAATTTGCTATACCTTCTACAGGCCAACCCGTCTTCTGTCCCCATATCCTCATCTCACCCAGAATTTCGCTTAGTTTTCGGGCATCTTTCAACCACAGTCCACCTATTACTATTAGCATACTCCATGGCTCAGAGAGGCATGGCAGAAGCTTACAAAATGCTATAGGCCCAAAGGAATTCACCCAAACAGGCGCAGACTTACTTGACAGCGCTAAAGCGCATACAATCGTCGCGTGGTGTACTAATTTGCTTTCCAGGCTGTTGATCCTTTCGATGTGCTGCAGAGTGTTGACCGATGAAGGACAAGGTTCCGCAAGCCATAGAATTATCATCGCCGTGTGATAGTATTGTAGACCGGCAGCTACTACTATCAGTAAATCAAGGGCTTACCACTAGAGGGAAGGATGCGTACCGTGCCACCCCGAGGTCGTCCACATACTCGGAAAGCCGCTATTGGGGAGTAGATGCGGTGTCAGTATGGGGTCAAATGACGAAGAGAGCGATGTCCTCCAATCCTCGAGCTGATCTCTCAGACAGTTCCACTCGGATTGGCCCAGGGGAACAGCATCTCGTAGAAGACACCGGTTGATGACTCTTCCTAGGAGATAAGTGATGCGATTGGCGAGATCATCATCGCATTCAGCCCTCGTAGGTAGAGGTTTATCCGGAAGCTGAATCATGAGGCTTCGTTTCTCTATGAGTGCGACCGTGATGTCCTCTCGCAGGTAATTCCAGAAACCGGCACTCAACAACCCAGACTCTAGCTCGATCGGATGGCTCGCCAGCAACGAATAGGACCCTTGAAGGTGATTCTGGCAGGTAACATTTTCTAAGGAGTCGATCAAGAAGACCCTCAGCTGGTAGATACCATTTCCTCGTAGTGATCACACTTACGCGATATAATTTCGTACGATCGAAGAAGACATATCGCAGCCAAGGTCTCGCCTGTTCGAAACTCATCAGGATGCTTCATGAGTGCCAACAGTCTTCTCACACTCTCGAGATGATATGCATCGGCTAGATCCTTGAGGGGAGTCGATCCGGATGATGAGCCCTGGCTGGCAGCCGCGAATGCCAGTATTGCACTGAGAAGTAAGGCATTTTTTCTTGCGAGGATAGGAACCACGTCCGTAAAATGACGTCTTCGATCATTCAGATCGTACCAACCCGCTAGATTTTCGATGTAAGATCGAAATATGTGAGCTACTCGTGGGTCCTCTAACGCTTTGGCAGGGTCGCTGGTCGAGACATATTCGTCGCTTCGGGATATCAAGACATCTAGACTCGCTTGAACACGAATGTCTGGCGATGTTGCAGACTGGCCGTGCTGGTTTGAGGATGCTATTGACCGGGAAGACCGGCGGACGCCGTCGCTCCATGAACAGTGTCGCGAGCTTCGTTGACAACGTTGGCACCGAGGTCGATTTCCATCACCTGAACGAAAGAGTACAAGTGAGCTCGAGACGACGAAGAGCAAGCTGAAAGAAGAAGCTTACACTTGATCTTTCGCAAGCGACACGGTTGGCTACAGGCACAGTCAGCTATCAGCTTGACACCTTGGTGTCAAGTTTTCACGAACCAGCCTGACAAGACGACGTTAGTAATTTTGTGCACCAAGAGAGGTTAAAGGTAGAACGAACGATCTGTGCGAAACGGGCGTGGCATGGGTTCTCGTGTTCAATTCCAATCCTTCAAGCTCGCATTATCAGGAGATACGAAGAAAGAAGATGAAAAGCGCGTGGCTTCGCAATTGAAATGCGAGACTTGAGAGTGTCCACCATTTAGTTCAGGTTCTAACTTACATATCCCAAACCCTTCTTTTCCTAGTGGCTGATGACCCCACATTGACCCCCACATTAATGCGAAATGCGAAAGGCCAAAGGCGAAATGCGAGGACACTTGATGACCGGTAATTGGGTAGCGTTCGAGGTATAAATATGTCGGCCATTGACAAAGTCGAAATATCATTGCCAGTCACTCATACTCATGGCTATATAGCTAGCTATACAAAGACTTGCATCTCCAATAACCTCCTGGTCTCGCTGCGCCCGTCCGCCAACTGACCTTCGCCTTCGGGTACAGCAAAGGATGACTTCCAGCTATCCCACCAGCATTCGCCCTTCTGCAACAGAGATCAAGAACCGCCAGCTCACGCCTCAGAACCTGGAGATTGCCATTCGCAGTCTGTACCACGATGGTCTTGTTGTGGTCGAAAATGCAGTGCCTCATGCCGCCCTCGATCGGCTGAATGAGAAGATGGTGCGGGATGCATATGCCCTGCAGAGCAGAAAGGAAAATAGTCCATATAATTACAACCGGGGCAATATACAGCAGGATTCTCCTCCTGTGAAAGACTACTTCGATCGGGACATTTTTCTGAGTAAGTGCCGTGCCCCAACGACAAGATCCTGCTAACAGTCTATTCCCCAGACCCAATTGCCACGCAGATAACAACCACTGCCCTAGGTCCTCGTCCAAAATGGACCTTTTGCTCGGGAAATACAGCCATGCCTCCAACAGCAGACTGTCCCCCAACATCGCAGCCGGTCCATTCAGATGCAGACTTTGATCACCCAACGCACCCCTTTGCCTACGTCGTCAACATTCCCCTGATCGAGATGACTCCGGAGAACGGATCCACCGAGATCTGGCTAGGGAGTCACATCGACTCTGGCCTGCATGTTCAAGAAGGAAGGCACGGTGAACGAGCAAGCGGACGCATCAAGCTTGACGAGCTGGAAAAGCGACGAGCGATCCGGCCACCGTGCCAACCCGTCGTCCCAAAGGGCGCGATAGTACTCCGGGATCTTCGACTCTGGCATGCTGGGATCGGTAACCAGACTGATGAAGTCCGCGTGATGCTTGCGATGAGTAAGTTTCTCATTGTCTTTGCGTAGTCATGGCTAATGAGCAGTTCACTTTGCTCCCTGGTACCGGAATCCGATGCGACTGGAATTTGCCGAGAGTGTACGATCGATTATGGAGAAGCAGGACGGTCTCGAGGTGCCGGTTGACTGGGTGACTGAAGAAGACGCAATGTCGCGCTATCTGAACCGTGCGTTTGGCAATGCATACGACTTTAGCCAACAGCGTTAACAGAGGGATATAACTCAGGTTGTTTTCATGTGTTGTTTCTCCTTAGGAAAGCATGAGAATGGACGCGGTAGATGTGTAATAAGTTGGATTATGTGTACATACCAGAAAATTACCAGTGAGTATGAGGGATTTGGAGCGCGAACGGTCCAACAGTATTCTTCTTCGTTGCAATGATAAGTTAGATGCGTACCGGCAACTCTTGTGGCTCCTGTCGAATTGGTTGGCTGTCCAGCTCTGGTCGATATGATTGACCCTCCAGCTCCTGTGGCCAACCCAAACCTTTGGGTTGAATGATATAGGTACCCTGAATCTCAGTCGGAGGGATGGCGCGTTCATTAAGCCTTGTTGATCGCGCTCTATAGGATCGCAAGTACCAGAAAATAAAGGCAAGAATAGCTAATGCAACCGCCCCTCCGGCAACACCCCCGGCAATTGCTGCTGTGTTTGTGGAAGATGCTGTTGAGGATGGTGAAGGTACTATTGAACTAGTGGATGAGGTTGTTATCGAAGTTGACAATGATGCCGAGAGCGATGTTGTTGTGCTTATAGGCGATGATGTTGACGATGCGGTTGAAGATGATATTGTCGTTGAAGAGGAGACTAAGTGGTTTGTCAGCGCTAGGATAAGCACAATTCTTCCATGAGATTCCCACTTGATCCAGACACTATAATTGACAATGCAGTCTGTCCCTCCGGCAAGACCTCGTCCAGCGATGCGCAACCCACGTATCCATTCGAGTTGACCTCAAACCCCTTCGCGTCCTGATCACAGCAGAAAAAGTCTACCGCAAAATACAAATCCCAGGTACTATTCACACAACGCTTTTCCTTGGGCTCTGATCAAGTCTTTCAGCATTCATTACCATAATCACCCGGCCCGCAATATGTGGCCGTAGGGCAGCAGTTATGCCACTAACCACTAACCCCATATCTGCCCGCAATCAAGTTCATTACTTAGGCAGGTGTTGTTCCTTCGAACCGCGAATCCGTCAGTCATTTGTAGAGATAGAGTGTGAGACAGTCAGAGAAAACTGAAAACAAGTCATAGATGAGAAAAAATGTAATAAAGGCAGTTAAAGAACCAGGGAAGGCTGCATCACGGTCTCCAGATCCAGCCGCTTTTTCCTTAAGGGCGAAGGGCTTACAAGAACTACCCAATGAAAGAAGATTAGGCAGTTTCATCACTGAGACCAGGTCAAATCAGCTCAATCAGTTTCCGCGGGGTGGGTGATCATGGAGGATCTCGGCGGCTAGAAAGCCAATGACTTCTATCTGGTATCCATGCACTTAAGCCAATTGGTACATGCCAAGCAGCTTTGTTGGTAGCAGATTCAGGGTTTTTTTAAAGAGATGGCAATCAACTGTGATACTAATCTATGAAATCCATTGCTGCCACTGTAAACCATAATGATTTATCACTGGAGTCTTGAGCTGAACGACAGAGACACACGGCAGCCTCCTGGCTCGTCTTGAAATTTCTCTGCTGAAGCAAAACCGCAAATGTACCTGTTTTATATATTGTGACTGGGACAGTCTTATGTTTTCTGTTGTCACGACTTTTGCATCGTCAATAGATATAATGAGCTGATAATGATACGATATTAGATTTTACCGTTGTCTCTATGTTACCTGGTATCGAGGACCATGCGCCATGATCAAGAAACACCTAGCATTACATCTACACAAGCGACGAAGTTGAAACGAAGAACACAGTGTGCTTCGAAGAGGCAATCCATCCCATGACAAATTGTGTTTTCTATATTTCTAAAGTGACAGCTTGCCCCCGAATTGTGACCCGTCCCAGGTGTCGCCGGACCGTGGAAAAGTGCGACAGCGACGGCCTCGTTTGATTGACTTTGATGCCCGGAAAAGGATCATCAACAAGACCGCGAACAAAAGTAGACTGCCCATAGATGTCTCGTTGCCAAGCTGTAAAACCTTTCTGGCAGTAGCAATGACGCTATCTTCGCTTGCGAGGGCATCTGCCGAGGCTTTTGAGGACACAAAATAACCGTGCGATGTGGGCCTGTCCTTTACATAATGTTGTCCATGGCGCAACTCGTCACTTCCGCCTAACACATCGTCCTCCGTCTGATGTTCGCTTGAAGATTTATCGTTGTGAGGTTCCGCCGAACTTGGTGCATACTGTGGTCGCTCCCCGGGCAGGTAGCTCTGATCTTGCTCATGCTGCCATCGTTCATAGTCGGTTTCCGGTCGCTCGCGCTTCTGTGTGTTGCCGGATAGGGTTCGTTGTGTGGGTGTGTCTGACATGACCTTGCGTGGAGCCATTCAGCGGCAAGAAGAGAGAGAGTTTGTAGATCAATACAGGCAGAATCTCAAGAGTCGTTCGCCAACATGGTAGGTCAGAAGCTCAGAACATGCCTTGTGGGAAGGGTTTAAGCTTCTCAGAGCATGGGGAACTGTGATTGATTATAGATTGCGTTAAATGATCGTTTGTTCCTCGATTATTGTTTCCATATGATGTGAAGGATGTACTTTGGGGATATCCATGTGCCGGTTTATCCTTCGAGTCAGTGATAGCTAGGATGGCATACTAGTTTTATTTCACAGTTGATAGAGTCGGCCAATCTCAGCAGCTCATCATGTATTTACGGTACCTTCATTTTCCTAACTCGGATTAAAGCTCTTGCTTGGAAGCAACTGACAGGGTACAGCACACTAAATCAGCGCTCTTGGCATCCTTGGCCTTGGGTAGTGACTCCTGCGATTGAACCAAACAGCAGGGGTGTGTTTGCGTGGGGGACTGATTTGGAATAAAGAGTCGGGTCTATCCGTCAAGCACGGTTTGATCCATGAACGAACCTCAGGGTAACTCCGAGTCTCATATATCCACAAGTGGACTCGTCATGCCCTAGATTGATATCGGTCATAAGGGCAGAGACGATAATACCTCAGAGCCGATATGATATATTCGTCCTCTATGCCCTTTTTGCTCTCTTCCTTTTGGGACTTCGTGCAGCCGCTGACATTTCCATTGAGCAACGTCTGATGCAGCTATCGGCTGGGTTGGCGAATGGCGACCCATCGCCTGCGCGCCACACGCAGGGTTCACAATGAAACCAACACTTACTCGATATTTTACTCGAGATGCCACTCATGTAATGCTAAGATTCCACGGCCCGCCCCTGATGACTGACCAGGTAACTCTAAGCCAGACACCCTCTGATACCCGAGGCGAGCCGAGACTGGACTTGCCAGCCTGTGGCGTATCTCCTAACCTTACGGTATGGGACGTCACAGAAGAATGGATCAGCAACGCCATTGTACGGGCTTCAAGTCTCTCAACAAGATGGGTGCAAATGGGATGATTACCCTCATGAACTAGGAAATAGATTAAACAAGCACCGGGCCACCGAACTACCAACACATCCATCACCTTGAACTTTCAGGCTTTCTTCGTTGATCATACGGCGCAGAATGCATGTTATCTGAAGTCGGATGATTCTATTCATAATATCATGGGTGGCAATGAGGTCAATGGGACTTATATTGCAGCTTTCACAATATCATAAAGAGGAGACTTACAAAAAGCTGTTGGATCCGACAATGGGGGAAGGAGGCAAGGCACCCTATAGTATAGATTCTGCTACCACGCCTTTATGTAATGACGATGCAGCGGTGCCTCATTTATAAGATGAAACTAAGACTAGATAAAGAGCGATGCATATACATACATAATAATTATTATAACTGCTTTTCTTTTCCCATTCGAAATTGCGGCTGTGCCTCCCCCCCTCTCTACTTCATAGTAGGTAGTTTCCTTTCCTGCTGTCAGCTTTGACTGGTTGCTGACTACTGAGCTAGCTTGGCTAATTTTGTCCCTGCTTCTTTACTTCTAGTGAATTCATACAGATTACAGGACAAAAACAGTGCATTCTATGTCTAGGTATACTGTGTGTCATGTATGTACTTGGATTACCCAGATGATGATGAGATTACGCCTCAGTGAAACAAATCCAATGGCATAAAATGCCTCACTCGCGACCAATTGGAGTTCCATCCTCGACTTTCCAGTCTGCGCCCTGTTGCACAAGACTGTGGAAAGAACACCGCTGGAAGCACCGTCATTCGTGGATGTGCGGTTTAATCTGCACTCAGTTTCAGCAACTGCCATTTGGGGGTAATGTTCAATTGAGCCTTTCTCCCTCGACCCAAACTGCACTGGCAAATTTTGTATCTTTAATACCTGAGAGTACTGTTGTTTTAGTCTACAGGGTTCAGCTCAGCTCCCCGGGCGCTAAGACTTCCCACTCCGCAAGACAGGAAAAGCCACAGACCACACCTTCAACTACAAATTCGCAAAAGAGTCTATAGTAGATCCAGGAATCCACCACATCTCTTGTTGTCGAGGGTGAGAACCCAATACTCTCTCCACTCGCCCACCACTGCACTAACTAACTAGTCTTTCAGACGTGGACAGATTTTCAAAGAAAGCCGATGGCCTCAGCACAACCAGAGAAATTCTCTAGACCGGAAACCGACTACGAACGATGGCTTCGCGAACAAGATGAGCACTACAAGCCAGGCGATCGGCCAATATATGGACCAGGCATGCAAGGTATCGATGGCCCCGTTGAGAATGGGAAAGGCAAATCACCCCCGGAAATTCAAGAACAGATCATGTTCCACCCACCAAACTCCAGGCTTATTGGCCTCAAAAGCTACTCGATGATATGCAGCATTATTCTGTCGGTCTTGCTCACTATAATCATCATAAAGTCAGCCAAAGTATTTCGAAAACGGCGCCACCGAGAGGGTGATATTCCACTGTCTGGGAAAGCTTGGGACAAATGAAGAACAACGCGTGATTCAGACGGTAGTTATATTAAGACATTTCTTAATGCACTGAGCGATGGGGACTTGGATTTGTCTGCTAGGCATTTATGATGCTGTCGCTGTGCCTGTTTTCTCTCTAGAAAATAGGATCAATACAGTAGATACCGACGACAGCTTTTTGTAAATGAAGCTGCTGAGAACGTGCTCCTTCCCCGGCGGGGATTTGCCTGTCAGAGCAGCCGTTGGATGTTGACCCACGGACACTCACATTGGACTTCCCCAATAGTACATTAATGGTACTCCGCGATACTGATAATAAATTTGTCTTTAGGCAGCTGGCAAGACTTGGTCATATGAAATTGAGGGGGACAGCCTTCTCCGCATGTAACTTCTCCTCAATTGGATAGTTTTGCATCTTCTGGATGTCTATTCCTTTCAATGATAATGTGGCTCGTCCACCCTCAATCGAATTTGAGCCCTGGACTAGTTATTACCCCTCAATATGCCTATTTGTTGGGACGGAGGTCTGTGTTACGATTTTTGAAACTGTTACTGTTCGTTGCTGAAGCCGCAGTAACACTCATTCTGGAACAAGAAATACCGTCAATATCCCAGTCGATCGCCATTCATCCCAACACGCCGACCAATGTCCATGACAGCCCACCAAGCTCTATAATCGCCTAGCCTAGAATGGTGATACATCCATGGTACCAGCACTTGACAGCCTCGCGACCAGCGTACTTTTACTACCTCTACCATCTTCTCGCCCTTTCACAAACGCAGATAGCTGTTTAGAAATTTAGCATTTTCTGGCGCTTAAGACTACTGTTACGCCAGATCAATTTAGTTCATGGACAACCATTATATAGAGTCATTAGCAATCAAAATTTCGAAGTACATACATACATCTACTGTAAGTGGTTTTCTCTTCATTAACAACGGAAGAAAAGACAAATTAGTATTCAAATCAGTCTTCACTACCTTACGAGGAACAGCAAATCCCTCGATTCTGAGCCTCTCATGGCAATGGTGGAACCTGGTCTGCTGAGCTGAAATTACGGGGATTGTGGGGAGTCAGGCCAAAGTAACAAGACTTATTATAATAGCTAATCTCATTATTTGTAAGGAAAATGAATTCAGACAAGGAAAAAAAAACTCATAATATTGAGGCTTGTGTTGGCGAGTTTTTACTGTATGTTGTGAATACTGTTGTTTTAGGCGCGGCCCTAATTCAGGAGTATTTAGGGGGACCCACCGCGCTAACAACAGACTTCCCGGTAAACACTGCTAGCGCCAGCTCTAATGGATGGCCTGTTCCTTAAAATTATTTTTAGTAGTTAAAGTACTCCAACAAAGTCAATCTGTTCTAGCAAAGATCCCTGGACCTCTGCTATCTTGCGATTTGGGGGGAGTTCAAGAAGGTATATTACATATTACCTGTATTTATGCACCCTTACTGACAAGCTACAATACTTATCCCACAGTATACATCAGGAGACGAGTAAGTCATGAATTTCTATGTGACACCTGACTCCCAAGACTGACTTTGAAACGCACAGAGTTCAGCCAAGACTCAATCACTCTCAGCCCCAGCTGTCAACAATTATATAGCAATCTTGGCACGCGCAACCTTCTGCTACACTAAGCAGTGCTGAATGTGCCGGAACGGCCGGATGTAACCCCCTTGTCTTTTATGATATTAAGAATTCTATGGACTAGATCTGCATTGGAAAACCACCTTCCACCCTTGGATCTGTCCTATGCATGTCTCATAAACTAGTCAGCGAAAGGCCCATTTTTGGCTTTTGAGCTACCTAAGAGGGCTATCACAATGGAGGACATGTGCCTTTGCCACTGAGTATGGGCTAGGAGTTTGGGGCGGGATAACCCTGCATGGCAGGCTTGGTTGGCGTAGATCAACAAGCATCACTGGGGGTATTTCAAGATGAGTAAGTGATTTAATGAAACCAAGAATTGATTCATACAATACTATGAGGCTGATGGATCAAGATCATTTTGTATAATTGCCTAGGCCCTTGGCTGTCCTACTACTTTATGTAAATTAAGGAATCATCTGATTTACTTCCACCAGCTTCTCTGTACTCAACACACTGTTGTAACTAACAGAAAAAAAAGACCATCATCCGCCACGCGTCTCTATTTGCTGAAAGCAAATTACGTGTTGTAGGCTGTAGTATGCTCATGAATTGCCTCGAACTTGGTTGTCTGATTTCAAAGTATCCTTTATGATTAGAACGGCTTTTGCCTGCAAAGTAAGCCTAGGGCTTCATGTAAAGACTTAGGTTTTCCAGGAATGTATTCATTGAAGAGTTTGTGTTGGAAATTAATCAGGTGATTCCATAATTTGCATAAAGTGGTGTCCGGAGTAAAAAGAGTTGTGTCCCTGTCAGTTCCCGCCTGAGGGTCTAGGCGGCGGCATTACCCTAGTGCCTTCACTATGCTTACTGAGGCACTTTCCCTGATCAGCGGCTTCCCACGCCACGTCTATCTGATCTCCGAGTACCTGCGGGGTCTTCTCGGTCGAATCAGAGGCGCAGAACAGTGGTTGGGGCCATGTCATGCATGCTATGACATGACTCGTGGCATGTATCAGTATTTTGCGATCGATCTGCAATATGTCATATGCCACTCATGCAGATCAAAAAGCTATGCTGTGTCTAATTGTGGTTGCTTGGACGCCTTATGATGTATATACTACTATTCTGAAACTACTGTATTAAATTCATAAAATATGTAAATTGAACAGTTATATGATTGTTAAATCTATGAATAGAATCAGTTAGAATGGATTTCTAGGATGATGCAGGAAGCTGCCCGGCTCCTCTATTACTAGGCTTGACTGTTGGTGGAAAACTGTGGTTCATGGAATGACGCTTCAAAAGCAGACTGCATCCTGTGAGTGAGGTAATCCACATATCAGAAGAGATGGACCTGAACCAAACCAACAGATGTAATACCAGAGAAGTCAGGTCCAGGAAAAAAACTGCATAAGAATGAGTCCATGTAGGCAATACAATTAGTGAATGTTTCCTTTTGTTGTCCCTATTACTTTCCTGTGTTGAGACCTCTGGTCTAAAGTAAGCTTACTCAGATTCATGCACTTACCTAGTGTAGCAACTGTTGGTTCTCAAACCAGTGAAGTGCAGTATGCTAGATTAGCCCAGGCTGTTGATTCTATCACAAGAACTCTCCGCATCTTAGTTTTCTCTGTATCTGTGCTTTTGCAGACCAGAGCATGACAGCCAGGCAGGGGTGCTATACAGCTTTTTCAGGAGAAGGAGCAACATAATTTCGTAACGCAGTTTCGGCCGACCAACCTTCGCTCATAACCTGTAGTTAACCCTTAGGTAATTAGACTAGGAAGATGACTTGACCTTTGCTTCGAAGAAGTATAAATACATCAATGTCTCCTCCAGAAACTCAGTACTCTTGGATATCAAGCCTTCCTAAACAATCAACTTCAATTAAGACAGACACCTCGTTTCAATATACAACAGCTCTTTCACAATGAAGGTTACAGCTCTCCTCTGCACTCTTATGGCTGCCGCCGCCGTAAGTGCTTCAACAATCCCTCGAGGGGAATTCGAGGTTCAGGACACCTGCGGCTCTGGCTATGGTGGTGACCAAAGGCGTACGAACAGTCCTTGTAATTCTTCGAACGGAGATAGGCATTTCTGCGGTTGCGACAGGACCGGTGTGGTATGTTAACATGTCCCGATTGGAACACCAGACCATCTTTGCTAATGTTTATTCCTGAGAAAAGGTCGAGTGCCGAGGTGGTAAGTGGACAGAGATTCGAGACTGTGGTAGGGGCACATGCCACGGTGGCAACGATGGTGGAGCCGTGTGCTAGAACGATGACAGTCAGGCTGGAATGGTATTTTGACCAATCTCCCGCCGGAACTGTTGGGCCAGCATCACTGATATGTTCTCGCGGTGTATAGATCCAGTGTGAAAATGGGGGATTGCGAGGGAGATATCGTTGGAAAGATTCAACATCAACCAACTTGCTGGCTTTTTCTTGAAATTCAGATCTATACTAAGTTAACCAATGTGTTACTTATCATTCATTAAATTTCAAATAGTTTACAAGTCCTTACACTTCTGTTAAGCTAGCTACTTGACAGTTTTGAGCACTACTAAGCTTTGGTTGAGTGACCATCCGCTCTGTGATTATATATTTCATATGCCAATTGTGTGCAACCATCCTGTGAAGGTTTGTCAGTTACTTTACACACTAGGTGATTGAATCATTAGCAGAAGAGAATAAAAGAAAATTCCAGATGCAAGTCATAGTAACTTGTACACATGGAATATGATTATGTCATATATACATGCTCTGCCCCGGTGGACCTCCAAGCTTTTCTGATTGAAGATCAATCTCCTCCTTCAGTTCGAGGGAATTCTGGGTTTGCTGCTGTGACATCGCCTCCGCGGTTCCAACACTGGTCACCACAGGACCTGATTAGCTGGTGTCAAGATACCCACTTGAGTCCCCTCAAAACTGAAGAGTCAGTTGAACAACGTCCCATACTGCTTTTTCCTCAAAGCGATGTCGCAGCCCCATTTTGTTCTTCCGTCCCCTGAGCAGACTCCCACCTTGACATGGGAGTAATACTGGCTCATTGACTCTTTCCCTCCTCACTCCGTCCATTTCAAGCCACACCGTCAAATAAAGTGTACTACGGTGGATTACTAGACTACTATAGGCAAGTCTGACTTTAATTAACATATATCAATTGAGTGCTCTGGCTCATCTCCATGCAATGGGTCTGTAAGAACTAAGTCTGTCTGCCATTACGATGCAAGCAAAGACAGACGTAGGAGGTCCAAAAGACAATAATTAATATTCTGTACCGCGGAACTGATGATGATCTTAATAAATGAGAAGCTGAGATTATGTTATGACACTAGGGGGTGTCGCTATATCCTCGCCCTATATATCACTTCACCTTGATTTACTATGTTACTATAACTGGTTGCGGGTCATGGTAACTAGTCAGGATCTTTAGGCACACAGGTAATGCTTAGGTAGCGGTAATACTACCTATACTATATAAATCACTCCTTCCTAAAAGCCATCCAATGGACGGTCGGGCCGTAGGGCTCCCGGGAGCCATCCGATGAACGGATGGATTCGGCGGGGCGGATTGCGTCCCCCTTCGCTGGGCCCGCCGCGGGATCCCGCTGATCCGCCGCAAATCCGCCCCGAACCGGCAGTCGGCCTCGGGCGGATCTGCGGATTGGATTGTGCATGTCTATTGTCTATGATGGATTGCTCAAACAGGATATCATTTCATACCTACATAGGCAGCCGTCGATTGAGAATACCTAACATGAAGAGGGAATAGCTGCAGCTGAATACAAGCCAAGTGTTGATCAGCCACCTTTACCAGAACACACGACCAGGGTAGAGTCCTCTCCTAGCTACAGCGTACAGCGTCCAACTCCAGCTCCATACACACTCTCCTCCATACTTATAATTTTTAAACACCAACGCAAACATAGTACCCCAGCCACAAATTAGTGCAAGCCGCGTCAACCTGCGTATTCCACGCGCGGAACTGCGCAAAGGTGATCCCCGCATCTGTATAGATAGACCGGCAGCTCTCACCACTCTTAATCAGGTGGAAGGTCTTGCAGTTGTCGACAATGCCGGGCATTTGAGGTGTCGGACCGGAGGGCTCGTCAGTTGGTTTGGGGGCTTGCGATGTGGTTGTTGCGCCGGGGACGTGCACGCAGACGTAGTAGTCTAGCCAGAGGTTTGTGCAGTCTATACCAGAGGGGTGGGTGTCAGTTTGATTTTGATTTGATCTGACGGGATGGTCCTGCAAAGTAAAGGAAGGGAAAAGGAAAGGGGGGAAAGTACCATCGTTAATCTCAGTATTCCAGCTCTTGAATTGGGCTACGCTGATACCGTGCTTTGCAGCAATGGTGTCGCACTGGTCGCCGGAGGAGACCTTGTAGAAACCGTCACAGTTGTCTGCGATCCCGGGCATGGTGGGGGAGTTGCTGGGCGCGGTCTTGGTGGTGGTGGTTGACGTTGTTGTTGTGAGTGTGGTACTGGTGCTCGTGGGATCATCAGTGACGGTGCTGATCACGCAGTATGACTGGCTAGTGTCGAGATTAGGGCAGCTGATGCCAGGGTTCAGCTGCTGGAGAGTGTCGACTGATAGCCCCCAGCTGCTTGCGAAGCTTGAGCATGTAGCGCCCGCGTCGGCAGTCGTGGAAAAGTCGCACTCCACGGCGCGGCGGGACAGGGCCGCGGCCATTCCTGGGACGAGGCCCGCGGTGAGAAGGAGTGTCAAGTACATTCTTTGGACTTGGACCTGGACTTGACTCTGTAGAAGAAGGGCGTCAGTGAGGGTTTGCTGCTAAGCAACTTAATCGAGGGTCACATACGTAGTAAAGAGTAGAATGAATGAGGGAATGATTGGCAACAACTACGGCCTGTACAGAGGTTTATATAGCAACCTGAGGCCCTAACAGTTCCTACTCGACAGTGGCTATCCTCTGGCCTGCTTGCAAGGGTACCTACTACCCACCCACTTAGCGTGCTGTAGTTCATTTACTTCTTGACTGCTTTAGGAACAAGCAGTGACTTTTGTTCGAAACTGAAGCCCAAGCAGCACGTTTGCTGCTCTGAGGGAGACCTTCCTGATTTCAGCCCCAAGCCTAATGAGGATGGCTCATGCTACACATACCAGGTCAAGGAGGATGATAACTGTGACAACCTTGCTGCTGAGTACAGTCTGACCAGGGATGCCCTTGAAGACTTCAACAAGAATACCTGGGGCTGGAACGGCTGTCAGCTTCTGTACAAGGACACGATCATGTGCTTGAGCAAAGGGACTCCGCCTTTCCCTGCCCCAATTGCCAACGCAGTTTGCGGTCCCCAGAAGCCAGGGTCTCAGCCGCCAACTGATGGCTCGGATATCGCTGAGATGAACCCCTGTCCGTTGAACGCATGCTGCAATATCTGGGGGCAGTGTGGTATCACCAAGGACTTTTGCGTCGACACCAACACCGGTGCTCCTGGAACCGCTGAGCCGGGCACCTACGGGTGTATTTCCAACTGCGGGATGGATGTTGTCAAGGGCGACGGAACGGGTGCTATCAAGATTGCCTACTACGAAGGATACTGCTTGAGCAGAGAGTGTCTCTTCCAAGATGCCTCCCAGATCGACACCTCGGCGTATACACACGTCCACTTTGGCTTTGGCACGTTGACCGCTGACTATGATGTTGAGACTGGTGATGTGCTGTCCTCATACCAATTTGGCGAATTCAAGCGCATTTCTGGCACGAAGAAGATCTTGTCGTTTGGTGGGTGGGACTCTCGACGTCGGCTGATACTTATCAGATTTTCCGCAACGGTGTTAAGCCTGCGAACCGGCTTACCATGGCGACGAAGATTGCCAACTTCATCAAGGAGAATGACCTGGATGGCGTCGATATTGACTGGGAGTATCCTGGTGCGCCTGATCTTCCGGACTTTGATCCCGGTACGGAGGAAGACGGGCCCAATTACCTTGCATTCCTTGTTGTTCTCAAGAACCTCTTGCCTGGCAAGTCTATCTCGATTGCCGCCCCTGCCTCGTACTGGTACTTGAAGCAGTTTCCTATCGAGAAAATCAGCAAGATTGTGGATTACATCGTCTACATGACCTATGATCTCCATGGCCAGTGGGATGCGCACAACAGCAATGCCCAAGAGGGATGTGACACCGGCAACTGCCTGCGCAGCCAGGTCAACCTGACAGAGACCAAGCAGTCGTTGGCGATGATCACCAAAGCCGGTGTTCCCGGGAAGAAGGTCGTTGTCGGGGTGACTAGCTACGGGCGATCCTTCAAGATGGCCGAGGCAGGATGCTGGGGCCCCGACTGCGTGTACACTGGTGACCGATTGAACTCGAACGCGAAGAAGGGAAAGTGCACCGGTACCGCTGGGTACATTGCTGACGCTGAGATTGCCGAGATCCTGAACGAGCCAGACCGAGTCGTCAAGCACTTTGTCGACTCCAGCAGCAACAGTGACGTTCTTGTCTATGATGACACGGAATGGGTGGGCTACATGAGCGCCTCAACCAAGAAGACACGCACAGCGCTCTACTCCGCCTGGGGTCTGGGAGGTACCTCCGACTGGGCCAGTGATTTGCAGAAATACCACGATGTGCCTGCGCCGGCGAAGAGCTGGGGCATGTTCAAGCAACTCGCCCTCGCCGGGGACGACCCCAAGGCAGACCACACGCGGAACGGTAACTGGACGGAGATGGATTGCACGCACGAGATGATTGTCGACTCAACGTACCACCTGGGGTCTGAACGGTGGAGCACTCTGAACGCGGACGCCGCATGGGCGGACGTGGTCAGAATCTGGCAAGACACCGACCAGCCGAGAGCCGGGATCTCGTTCATGCAGTCGGTCTCAACTACCCTGCATATGGGAGCTGAGGCCAACTGCGGCTCACTGACGGCGGACAGCTGTGTCACGAAGGACTGCCCCGCTGGTGCGAATGGTGATACCTCTGGACCCGCGGCGCAGCTGATCTGGAACTCGCTGGTGAAAATCCACATGCTACACAAGGACTACCACGACACTCTGTTCGAGGTCGCCGCGCTTACCAGCACCGCTCTCAAGGATCTGGAGAACAAGTTTGCGCCCATCCCGCCGGAGGAGGACAATACCTGGCTCTTGCTGCTTATTGACCTGCTCACCCTTGGAGCCCTCGGGACTGCCGGGCCTTTCTTCAACACGGCCCTCAGGAAGCTGCCTTATTTCCTCGAGAAAGGAATCACCGTTGACAACATCAAGGATACCAGCATGACCCTCATCGGACAGGGTACAACCATTGCCAAGGACGTGCTACCAAGCAAAGACGCCCCATGGACGCCGGAGGCACAGGATGAATTCTCAAACTATATGGGGCAGGTCGTTTGGGGCTGGGCCAATGTCACCACTATTGCCCTCAAGGAAATATTCAACGGAAGCGAGCACTCGCTTCAGATCCTCGGGGACACCATGTCCGGCGGGAAGCTCATCGAGGGTGCATTCGAGCAACAACCCCCCGAGGAAGATGAGGATACCGATAAGAACGAACTGCGCGCCAACATCCAAAAGTGCTTCTTCGGCTACTCCATCCCCGCCCTCTGGCAGGTCTCCAAGACATACGCCTTCATCATTGACGCAGGACACGGCTGTGACGAGGGCAAGCAACTCACCGACTACCTCAAAGACGACACCATGGACGCCACAGGCGCCTGCGTCGATGGGCAACAGTACTACCTCGTCTACCCGGACGGCGACGCCGTGGAATGCCACTGCGAGTTCTACGACGGCGGCCCCTGCCAGCGCGTCTGCGTCGACAACAAATTCTCCGTGCCCCCCGGCCTCGACTCCCTCGGCAACGGCAACTTCGGTGGCATCACAAAGGACGACCTCGTCAAGGGCTCTGTCCGGACGTGGAAGCAAAACGGCAAGGAAAACAGCGGCGGCTTCGCGGACCCGACGAACAAAGGCACAATCGATAACCTGATGGATGTGGACGTCACGACTCCCGGGTTCATGCGTATCCCGGTTTTCTCGCCCGAGCGCGCCTTTCAATCCTGGGATACCGCCGAGGCCGGGTCGAGCCAGTTCTACCCCTGCGATATCCCCCCGGGCAAGGACGAATGCGGGGACTCGTCGTTTGAGAACCAGACCAGTGATGGCTCGCCTAGTGTCGAGGACTGCCAGCAAATCATTAAGAACATCGAGGGCGACGCGGGCACGGACTGGACGACGCAGGTTGTTGGCAAGAATCAGCGCGAGATTGCCTCGCACGGGTCTTGTGCGTTTGGGGTTGAGGCGACCAAGGTTGATGGCAATGTGAACTTTGTCGTCGGCGGGCAGGATGTCATTGACATTATCAATGAGGCCATTAGGCGGTTTGGTGGGGGTGGCAGGGTTGGTGCGAAGGGGAACATGGATTGTAATGGAAATGTCAAGAGTCAGCCGGTGTTGTGGGGGATCTACTAGACATTTTCATTTAACTACTTTGTACCTATCATTAGTTTCCTCTGAATCAATTGATATACCCAAAATAGCTAAACCCTGTGATGCTTTCATAGATCGATAGCCCTAGACGATTAGGTTACAATGAACGGTACACGACAATGCTTGCTGTGCTTGCCGACGCATCTCCCTGCATACCCAGAAGTAGGAGACAGCCGCCCAGTTGATAATAAAAGCAAAGAGAACACCAAGTGATAATCCAAAGGCATAGTGGAATTGCAGCGTCCAGATTACGGACGATACACACCCCAGATAAACGCAAATCCCAAAAAACCACCAGACTGTCAGTAGAGGAGCATGCGTCTAAAAGCCTTGGATGACTGATAGCGCAGATTGTAACGTCTGCGAAATTCGCGGTCCTGTAGACCATCAACGGCAATGAAATCCTCCGCGGCGTAATAGATGAACGGACGTAACGCCGTCCCTTTAGCCTGAGAGTCGATACGGATCGGCGTCGGAAACGGGATGAAAGTAGTAAGCATCAGGATGGCCAGAAATCCCAGAAGAAAGCTTGGAGAATAGAGAAATAGCATAGGCATCTCCTGGTTACTACTAACAACAAAAGGAACCAGTGCGCAGATCAGAGAGACGCCATAGACCCATGAAGTCGCGTCGAGCTCCCATCGGGACCGTGATAGAAGCGGGGCGCAATCATCGGAGTGAAGGAGAAGGCGACAAACGCGCGCGATCAGTATATATAGCTCTCCAACACCAAATGAAATGATAGTATAGCCCAGAATATGTTTGTCAAGTTCTGGCTTGCCCAATGGACAACCATTCATGGTGCAGTCCTTCTCCCATTGGGATCTGTGGGCATTATACCAGACATAGTAGATGATGCATGGGACCACAAGGTCAAAGAGTATGATGACTGGGAGACCAAATGTAATGGGATGTTTTGCAAGCTTAGGCCTCTTTTGCATAAGCTTCTCAGACCTTGCACACTCTTGGCACGGCACAGGTGCTGATTGCTCTGATCATGACATGATTTAAGTCAGTATTGCTAGTTATATTAATAAGAGTCTCTTCAACTAGTAGTATACGCCAAGGCAGTCCAGACAGAGGGAAGTGAGTCTGAGTGGTCCAATTTTACCTAAATTAGTTTGATGCAGATGCCGATTTTGTTCTACCATCATATGAAATAGCTTCAATTCCTTATTGATATTTGTTACTTGTCTGGTTTTCATGTACTTTGGGAATGGGACACACATGTCTGATGGATGACCTTTTTGAGTCACCTGATTGGTTTATGGGATACTTCAGATGACATTTGCTCCGTCTCTCTTCATTATTCTCATGATTTATTATGTTTTTATTGTAGTTGTCGCTGGATTTATAGTGGAAGTTGTGTTTTTATCACCTGAGTGTGTGTGTGTGTGTGTGTATATTTTACGGCCGTGGCTCGTGACTTGCACGTTTTCCACTATCCCTGATCAGGGCAAAGGCCGCCAGGGGGTGAGCCCTGGGTGTCTCTAACTATTGCTAGTTCTA